TCACTGGATACATGGTAGGAGGGATGCACAGATTCATACATATTCTGTATTTCAATTTATTCTCAAGTCCTCTGCCTTTCTCAAAGATATTGAAGTGACTGTTATTTTTGTATAAAAGCACAACAATCAATATATACAAAATAACAGTCACTTCAATATCTTTGAGAGTCTTGCACTAATGCACATTCTCAAAGATATTGAAGTGACTGTTATTTTGTATATATTGATTGTTGTGCTTTTATTTAGGTCTTAATGTGTGCATATGTATAAATGTGTCTTTGATTATGTATATATAGATACATATTTGCATACATATTTCTGCATTTAGGCATCTGTATATCACTTTAAACTATGAATACAGCACCATATTTTTATTCCAGTGCTCATAATGTTCCTGATTGTCTTGCCTCTAGTTTGGAAAAGGTATCTACTTTGCTGACATGTCATCAAAGAGTGCCAACTACTGCTTTGCCAATCAGAACAACCACACAGGACTGCTGCTGCTGAGTGAGGTGAGTTGGTTTCACATCATATTTACACATATTCAGCCAGAACAACAGATGCAATGGAGGGAAAAGGTAACGTGTCAGTAGTCTGAACTTGTATTTAAATTAATAAAAGCGCGCCTACAGGTTTATATCAGACTCTTTAAAGCTGCCAATACTCATATTAACAGTAAAACCAACATGATTTGAACGTCATATTCAGGCCAGAACAACAGATTCAATGGAGGGAAAAAGTAACGTGTCACTGTCTGCTTTTAAATCACTTCTTAAAACCCACCTCTTCTCCTGAGCGTTTTGACATCTTGTAGATTGTTGCTTTTATTGCTTTTAAATTGTCTATTGTTTTCACTTGTACTTGTTTTATGGTGTGTGAGCTGAGCTGTGAGATTTGTGTATGTTTATTTGTTTATTGGACTGTACAGCACTTTGGTCTGGAGGTTTTTAAGTGCCTTTATAAATATAGCTGTATTGTATTGTACAGTATAGTCTAAATTTAAGCTCCTAGAAAATGTATTTGATTATAAAAAAAGCTCCAGGAACCAATTGTGCCAGTAGTCGGTGCTAACGGGTTTATATCAGACTCTTTAAAGCTGCCAATACTCATGGAGTTCCGTCTAATTCAAAAATCTATATATCCACAAGTAGCAATAAGCTTGACTCCAACAAAAATAAGTCTCAGGAAAGTTTGGTTGACTCTTTACTTAAACAAAAGGTATCAATAGAGTGCCGCAGTGACGCGTCCTAAAACCCGAAAGTAAGTTAGCATGTTATCACTTCCTGTTCCTTCAACAAAAAGCAATGCAATTTCTCCATAGGATTTAGGAAAATAGCTCGAAATAAGTTCTGTGGTTGACACACATTTAAGAGACGGATCACGTTTTGTTCAGCCGGATAATCTCCACATGTCTACCCTACTTTTATAATTTTCGAATGGAAGGAGTTCACTTCCGGGTTTTAGGACCCGTCACTGTGGCACTCTATACAAACACATATTTTCAAAGGTCAAAAAACGATGTTGCTCCGTGATTCTTTTCTCCTTCTCACTTCTAATTACCAGCAGCTGCAGTCGTCTATGACGTCAATTTTACGACGCCTGGTTTAAATAACTGATATAATAATATTAATAACAAATTATTACAATGTTCAACTATATCTATATACACACATAATATATCAAATCATACATTTTAACATGTGGCTCCTACAGCAGACTCTTTAAATCTGCCAATACTCATATTAACAGTAAAACCAACATGATTTGACGCCACACTGCTTAGATTTAATAATAATAACACTGTCTGTGTTATGTGTGTGTGTGTGTGTGTGTGTGTGTGTGTGTGTGTGCAGGTCGCCCTGGGAGACTGTAACGAGCTGGTGATGGCCGACTACGAAGCCCAAAATCTTCCAGCTGGGAAACACAGCACGAAGGGCCTCGGACAGACCGGACCCGACCCCAAGAACGCTGTCACTCTGTACGTCTCATTACACTCGTACATCTCATACAGGCCAATCACTGTTACACAACAACATACTTAAAACATCTGAGAGAGGACGTTTGTTGATTACATTAACAAAGAATGTATGCGGAACAATTAAATAAAATACACGAAGGAACACATGTAATAATAGAACAAAGAATACAATAATTAATATATAAAAAAGCATCATATTCTGTAAAATAATTGTATTCTTAGTTAATTACAATCTAATTTCCTATGTGAACAAATAGTAATAGTAATAGAAATTACAACTATGTTTGTAAATGGCAAAAGGGATGCTTTCCTATTAATGTCACATAATAATGCACAGACTTTTGTTATATATGTTTTACAACAAGGCATCATTCAGAGCAGTACGTAAAGCTCAGGGACTTGAATATATTCAGAGTGATGACAAACTACTGAAGCTTTTTACTGTATTCTTGTAGATCTATTTGTTCAGAGTTATTTCAAGCACTCCATAGAAAGGTCACATGGGTTTGCTCCAGAAAGAGGCACTTTGGAGTAAAACCATTCAGCTGAAAGTCCACACACTGAACAGTGAACTCCGTCTGCTCTCCAGTGAGCGACTCAGACTAATGGACTGACCTGGTTTGACCCCCTGAGTTCAGCTCTGATGCGTCTTCTCTCTGTACATTTCACAGTCTGAACATATACTGTTTCTACATAGAGAGCCGTTCCCTAAGCATGAAGCATAACATGTCATGAAGTGTCCTCCTTCAAATCCTCAACAGAGAGTGCTGCATTTTATGTTTTAGCTACAGTGAGTAATTAACAATTAGATTAGAAACAATATATAGTGAATTATATCTGTGTACATTCAGAGTTTTTAACATTTAGAAACATAATAATGGACTTCTGCCACTTTTTTAAAGCAAAAAATGACAAATATCAAATTGCTCTGCATCCTCAAATGTGAGAATGTTCTGAACCTGATTGTAAACTGAATATTTTTGGACATTTAAAGACAACGCCTTTTGCTGTACAGGCATTTTTCACAGTTTTCTGATGTGTTAAAAATCAAACCATTAATAACTGGCAGATTATTTAAAAAAAAAAGTATTAGTTGCAGCCCCTGTTTAAGCCCATTACCTACAAAAGATCTTAATCAGGAAATGAATTGGCTATTATCAGTCATTCCAGCCAAAATCTTGTGGCACCAAATTCTCCAATGTTTATATTAAGGCGACAAAAGGGGATTTATTTTCCACAAGTTTTCTCGACCTGACGATTAATCAATTGACTGAGAAAAACAGAAGCATTGCATTCATTGATAATAGAAATAATCGTTGTTGCATGCTGACATGGACTGAACCTGGAAACTCTGAGAGAATAAGTGTCACGTGGGAAGGCAACTTGCAATTATTATTTAAAAACCACCAGAGAGGTCCTTAAATATATATATCTAGACTTTTACTAGATCTTTAAAACCCCCACTTGTTGCCATGCCAGCCTAAACGTCACTGTTTTTATTCTGTTGTTTACTTTATTATATATATATATTATTTGTGTTGTTGTGTTGTTACTCTGTAGCACTTTGAGTTTTGTTTACTCAAATGAAAAGTGCGCTTATAAATAAAATTGATGATTGTTATTATTATATGCATATTTAGTACGAATGATGTGCAAATCGTTTCACTTTTCTGCATTTCTCCGCTAAGTTCAGCAACACACTTACTTGGTGTATGTAGCTAAATGCAGCTCCAGACACCATTCAGCTATTAAAATATTCAGTTTTTTCTGCCTTTTCAGCTAAGTTCAGCAACACATTTACACGGCTTACAGCTTTCGCACGCATTTTCAGCAGGAAATGCATTTTGTCTAGTTTTGATTGTGTCCCTCTCTATTTCTCAGGGACGGCATGACGGTGCCTATGGGTCCGGGGGGGAATACGGGGACGAGCAGCGACGGCCGTTACCACCTCCTGTACAACGAGTTCATCGTTTACAACCCCGCCCAGACCCGCATGAAGTACCTGCTGCGGATCAAGTTCAACTACTCCTCCCTTTGGTGAAGCAACACAGAAAGGAGATGACGAAATCTGGAGGTTTTCTCTCCACAAATCTCCAGCCATTTACAGTTATATTCTGGTTCTTTGGTTTAGGATGTGACACCGTGAAGCTTTGCAGTTACTGGGGGAATGTTTATTTTGTGATGGAGAGCTGCAAATATTTGTCAGTCGGCAACTATCTCAAAACATTATTGTTTATTCAGTCAATGCTGAAAGTGGTTGAAGCTTTTCTTTCTCATATGTTATATCTGTGGGTTTTACGTGATGTAATACCTCACCCTGGGCTTTGAATGTTTAGACTTTGCATTTTTTCCCCAGTTTGACATTTTATAGACCATTTTTTGGATTTAAAGCTCACACGATTGTCAGATGAATTATTTGCATCCCTACTTTAACATCCTGAATGAAGTGTAATACAAGCAATGCTTATACAACAGACACAAAAAGTACATTTGAATGTTAATTTTGAATTTAAGTAAGAAAAATGCTACTTTTTCTACATTGTGTTTTCTCTCTGAATACAGCATTGCATCTTCGATCTTTTAAAGAAAGTGATGTGAGACCCTGTCAAATATATGCTGACTGTGTTAGTCCGGTAACTTTGATAAGTCAAAAAGAAGAGAATAAGTTCACGTTATAAGAAAAAATATGCTCGACTTTTTGCACTACTCTTTTGTCTATGTTTCTTTATATCACGTACGTCCTCACATCTATAAAAAAAATGTTTTTTTTGCAATGTGTGCTGCGCATAAAACACAAATGGCCTTATGTGGATCTATTGGAATATCATCGTCTGACTTTTATAACATAATGATCTGGAAGTTTCTTTAGGCAAGTTGGACGTGAGCATTTCTACTGAATAATTACCTAAATTCTAGTGAATGCCTCAAATTGGAAGTAAACATTTTCATCTGTTTTGATAATTGTTGAGTCAAATTTCTGTATGTGTGAACACGAACTCCCAAAAAATAACAAATACTGTTACAATTGTACAAAAAAAACATGTTTATGTAAACAATAATAATCATTCTTTCATTGTCAGTTCAAACAGGATTTACAGTATATACGTAGTAATCACAATAATAAAGTACATTCTACATGTGGGTACAGTTTGGTGTGTTTGTGTGTAAATGTATTTTGTGTATACAGTTTCACCTCCTCCCTAGCAGGTAGAGGAAGATGAGCATTACGTCCAGGTAGATGTTGAGAGCAGCGTTGATGTATTCCTCTGGATTCAGACGGTAGCTCATCGCCCCCATCATCAGCTGACAGTCGATCATCAGGAACTGAAGGGAGAGAGAGGAAGAAGAGGAGGAGGAGGATGAGGAAGAGTTAGGACAGGGTGAGAGTATGCACCACCAGATAACTAATAGTAAATCATGAAATGTGTTATAATACAGTGTTGTCATGGAAGACATTTGACATGTCACAGAAGAAAAAGTCAAAACAATGATGGCTGAATTGCAGTCAACCAATCAGAACATAGACAGCCAGCTAACCAATCATAACAGACTGGGCTCTTAATGGTTTTAGACAGAAGGTGACGAGGTATTTCCAGTAAATAATAATAATCTTTATTTGTATAGCACCTTTCATACAATAAGTGCGGTTCAATGTGCTTCACATAGACATTTCACAGAAAATGTATATCACACAGAATACAGTTACCAGTAAAATACATAAAACATACATTTAGATTAAAGGTACAACGATGAAATTGTGCAATAAAAGGGGGATAATGCAAATTCAACACACAATCAATTTAAATGACAATATACATATAGAAATGGTTCTTTTCTCCCATACCAGTGAATACAGCAGAGCACCAAAACATCCGTAGGCGATGTCACCGAGATAGGAGGAGTAGAAGGTCGAGAAGATCCCGAACATGATCAGGTCCACGGACAGAATCAGCAGAACACCGTAGCAAACGGTGAAATCATAACGAGTCTGGAGTAAAAACAGGAACACATAGGTACATTACATCCTGAATAGCTTTTGGTCAGTATATTGAAAGCTCTTTAGGACATCTTTTGTTTTTTCAATTGAGTTTTTTCAATTGAGTTCTTTAGTAAAGTACTTTCACAAATGTTAGTCTTCATCCATGACGTGTTGATAAATAAAGGCCTTCATAAAATGCTGCATTTCATATTTTTTTTATTATACTAAATTGCCTACCTATAATCGGCCAATGGAGCATTTTATTTACAACACATCTTTGGATGGTCATGCATGGTTAATTTTTTATTTTAGTGGGAATGCTGATACAGCATTCCAACTATATGTTATTCAAAATCTTGATTCCGCCCGTTATTTTGCCGGTCTTCTTCTCCCATAACTTTCATAATTCCCGAGATATATCCCATAATTCATCACATTTTTAACCATTGAAGTCAATGGAGAGAATCTTCAGACTCGAACAATCTTCATGCGACTTCAACTGCTAACTGTTCCTTCATACTTTCACTCAGAAACCTCATTCCAACTTTAAAATGTTACACATCTTTCTGACATTATTCATATTAAACAACTTTTAAATCAGATTCATACTTTTAGAAATATTAAACATTGTTCAGACCTTGGTAAAGAGGCATTCTTCAGCTTTAACATTGCGCAGCTCGTTAAATAATTAATAATAATTCGAAAAATAATTAAGCAAAAAAATTAAACAAAATGCCTCTTGAGGGCATGAAGTGACAAAAACGTTCAACATGTCTCCATTAAAGCCCATTGTCATTTCAGGCTGATATTTCCTCACAGCAGCAGCCGCACACCTTTAGTTAATCTGCCAAAAAGGCCACATTATTGACCCGAAAGTACACAAAAAGCACACTTCAGATACTCAAGGTCCTTGAGATGCTTCACGCTTTGAAATTTCACCGATATCTGTTACGGTTCTTCGACAAAACGTTCACATGTAAGAGGTTTATCTCTCATTCAGAACAATGGAAACCTTTGATCTCTGGACACGTCGTTAGCTCAAATATAAACACCTGTGTCATGGAACACGATGATGTCATAACTCCAACTGACATGCTTAGAGCAGCAGACTTCAGATAATGGTTAATGGTCCTGCCCTCAACAGCTCTACGTCAATTATGGGGTGTCATCATATGCCGTTTCTATGGAAACGCATCCCTCGCCATAAAAGACGATGTCGCTTTACATTAACTCCTATGAAAATGTTCAAAAAGTGCTCAAACTTCACATGTGTGCTAACAGTCCAGCCGTGACGACATCTACGTGAGAGTTTTGAGATTTCTTCAAATGCCGTTGCCATGGTAACACAAGGCTCGCCATGAAACACGGTTTTCTCATAACTTCAGTGAAAATGCTCCAAACGGCCCAAAACTTCACAGGTTTGGTAACGATGCAGCCATCAACGCATCTAAGCGTATTATGGGATGTCATCAAATGCCGTTGGCATGGCGACAGATCATTCGCCATCAAGTTACTTCAAAAGTTTGCAGTTCAAATATTCTGCTGCTTTTCCAAGCCTTTTTACTTTCTTTTCTTCTCTCATCACACATTCAAGCCCCCAGTGTTCATGTATCATTTCAATCTAAATTCTTCACTTTCTTCTTACACATTACATTTCAGCATAGCAATTCAGCGTCAGCTTTTCAACATAAAGCATTCCCACTAGCAATTTCTTCAGGAATTGCATTCTCTAGTCTTATCTACTACTTACATTTGATCTTCTTTCTATCAATTTATCGACACATTTTTTCATGCTTACATTCACATTTTGCCTCCTCTGATTCTAGTACAAGTCAAATTCTCAATTTCTTTACAAATAAAAGGTGAGAGCTATAACTTCAAAACTGATATGTAAAGCAGCTTAAAAGTGTGCATGTTTCTTTGCCTTTTGTAAACACAGAACAGGATGCACAGGCTGGTATCTGACCTGTGCAGAGAAAACGATGATTGCCACAGTGACGGCCAGCGTTACTCCCATAGTGATGACCACAGAGGTGGTGTTGTGGAAGGAGGCAATGGTTCCCACCATGTAAGACAAACTCAGGGTGACAACAACCTGCAGGCACAAAACGAAATGTATTAAACATCTCAAGTATCTTTTAAGAAAGCTTTTTCCATATTTTGCAGACACATTTAATGCATTGCATAAAATATTTAACAATCAATATTCAAATGCTTGATTGTCAATAACTACGGACTGGAGCACCAGAAACTTCTTTTACACTGCTATGGACAGTCTTGCACTACATTCTCAAAGATATTGAAGTGACTGTTATTTTGTATATTGATTGTTGTGCTTTTATTTAGGTCTTAATGTGTGCATATGTATAAATGTGTCTTTTGATTGTGTATATGGGGCATTCTACCGATTTAGTACAAAGTGCGGTCCCACAACAAGAAAAACTATTTAACAAAACAATTAAGTATTCAGACATAGATATTTACTAAGAATATGTTATGGTCTATTTAAACTTAAGGCATTACATTATATAGTGATAAGCTTAATATATACAAAAACATCATGTATAGGGTACTTTCTATTGGGAAGTAGCTGTCCCCAACCCTGACATCTACATTTCAATTTCTGTAAATAACACTTAAACATTTTTTTTAAATGTTGTTCAATGGTGTATTTAGAAGATCTTTATGATTACATTCAAACAGAAGTTGGAATATTTAGATTTATTGTGGGTATCATTTTTTTATAAAAAAACTATACTCAAAAGATCATTTTCCCAGTTTTCATGTCACTACCGAAACACAAGGGGTTTTAGTCCAATGGCTGAGCCTGGTTTTTAGCCACACCTCTGCATTTTTGACAAGGCAGTGACACTGCATCCCTGTCCCTCGTGGCTGAATGGCAAGTAGCTATATCCCATACTTTTAATATAAATCTGTTCCAAAATCTGAAAATCGGCTTATAACCTTAAGAATTGTCACTACCAAACACATTATTATCTTCAATTAAGTAAACTTTTTCGGGGTTTTATGCAAAGTATTAGGTTTTTATGTGTGTAAACCTCTTCAAAAACGTGTATGCTAGCCATGTACTTGCTAGCATTCTTTAGTTAGCTATATCCCATACTTTTGATATAAATCTGTTCCAAAATCTGAAAATCGGCGTGTAACCTTAAGAATTGTCACTACCGAACACATATTATCTTCAATTAAGTAAACTTTTTCGGGGTTTTATGCCAAGTATTAGGTTTTTGTGTGTGTAAACCTCTTCAAATATGTGTATGCTAGCCATGTACTTTCGAAGTCACTACCGAAACATATGGTTACGTTTTGGTAATTGACATGATCGTTTCGGTAGTGGCAAAAGTAAGCAGGTAAATCCCATGGTTTTAAATAAATAAGTGTTAAGGTCTCGGGTGCATTCATTCACACCTTCGCTTCTCTGGTGCGCACCAGACCACAGTTTGTTACATTGTTTCATTTTTCAGAAGGTTCGGTTTGCACGGGCAAAACTCAAACGGACTATAAACTTTAAACACAAGTCATGTGCACGGAAATGCTGTTCAACCATTGGTCAGACATTAAGGGGGTAAAAACGCAAATCCCGGCAATTTCTACCGGAGCCTCCGCCATGGAGCATCGGCAGGTTATTTTCATGCTGTTAATCTGGAGAGCAGATCAACAGACTCTAGTGCAGGGGTTTTCAAAGTGTGGGAAGGTGAGCCTCCCCTCAGAGAACATAAGAACAGCCGCGCCCCCCCTCCCAATTATTATTGCTATTATTATTATTATTATTGTTGTTGCTATAATGCAGGGGTATTATTATCCAGTGGAATGCCCTTACCTACTGGCCTAGTTAAATCAAAGTGGTTACTTATTTGTCTGGGCAGTGTAGTTTTACACACCATCTTATTTGACTTTCTCAGGGCAGACCCCCACAAAGAAAAAAATATATGTACACACGTAAGGTCATCATCTTAACAGTTTTTAATGCTCGAGTCATCCGTGAGCAGAGCATCAAGTTGGCATGCCTATTACAGCTGAATGCGGCGATTACCATCTTGTTCAGCAAAACGCCTCACGAACGTATTAACATCCAAAGCTTTAGTGCGTTTTGATTCAATGCTGAGCACAGCCAAACTTGACAGTCTCTTCTCTGTCATTGTAGACCGCAAATACCTTATTCCTTCCGTGTACTTGGGTCCGAATGCTTCTCGTTTTCTGCCGCCCGTTCAAATGAAATCGCCGCCAATCACATTTCCTCGCTCGCGCCAGGGTTACAAGGCTCGCGTCTTGTGCTGCATTCACTTGCACTCGGACATCAGGGATTTTCTCTGATAAATGTCCGATGAGCCACAACTTTTATTTCAAAACAAAGCTGCCAACTGGGGTGGCCAGACGCTGTCTCCTCTCTCACTTTAGGTAACTTCACTAAAAATCGATCCATGTTGCCGCTCGCATAAAGTTAGCTGAAGTTAACGAGCTAGATTTCATTGTTTCTCTTTATTTTTTTCTCACGCTGCGCCTCCCCTGAAGCTCTCTGGCGCCCCCCAGGGGAGGCGCGCCTCACACTTTGAAAACCGCTGCTCTAGTGGACACTGGACAGCACATATGATTACATAATCAGACAACGTGCGATAAAAAACATTGTAACACATAATGAGAGACGTAAGGAGGAGGTTTCACCGACGGCAGGTGGCTCTGACTTTTATATATAGTTTTTAGTTTGATAGTTGTTTTTACTTTACACGACACTGTTCAACACATCATTCTGCTTCACTCTTTCACTAACGATTTTGAAGACATCCGCGTTCTTGTGACACGTAAATACTACGCTTCCTATGTTTTGGTGCGGACTGCGTTCACACCAGCAATGAACCGCTCCAGAGTTCGCAAGCAAGCGTTCCGAGACCACCTATTTTAGCGGACCAGAGTCCGGTTGTTTAGTTCACTTAAGAGGTCTACCCAAATGAACCGCACCAAGCGGCTAAACATTCAACCGGACTATAAAAGGCTGGTGTGAATGCACCCTTATTATACTATTTGTAGGCATATATTATAGGTCTCAGATATATGAAAAAACATGTCTATGAAGTGTTTTGCTCAAAATACCAAACAGATCACCCATTCTAGCCTCATTCCCCTCTATTTCAGCCTGTTACTAAAGTGCTGATTCTGGGTCAGTAGCTTCAAACATTCACACTTCAACATAAGGCATGTTATGAGTTAAGATTAAGCAATAAGGTTGAGGGAATATGATACAACCTTGAGAACAAAACACTGCAGTCACTACCGAAACAGTGCAGTCACTATACCGAAACACTGGATGTTTTGTACAAAATAAAGTATATTGAGTTATCAACTAAAATGATATGATACTGATTGGTTTAATGTATGTTCAATTTCAACAATCATCAACTCTGGAATCAATATGATCAGTATTATGCATTTTACAAAGAAAGTTTGCATTGTGATTTTTATGAATTGTATACATTTAACTTTGAAATGTTATTAAAAATTCACTTTTATTAATTTAATTGTAAAAACCCTCAAGAAATATTTGTTAAAATACTATTTTGAGAATGGAAGGTAAAACAATCTTAACAGGTTAATATAACACTTTTTTACTACAGTGTATTTACTATGTTTCGGTCGTGACCATTTTTGGTAGTGGAAGAACATCCCAATACAGTCTGAAAATACGATATAAAAATGTACGGTTCTTTTACTAGATATGTGTAATTTAGATATGGTACAAAATATATATGGACAACGTTTTTGGCAAAAAACATACAAAATGTCTAAACATTTCCAACCTGACTTTGGTCCAATTCGGTAGAATGGCAAAACCTCAACAGTCACAATCAAATGGCACATGAACACAAATTCAAAGGCAACTTACATTTTAGACTAAATCAAAAATGTACTAGATTCTAAGTTCTTAGTTAAATGTAAAACTAGGTCTAAATGGTGCAGAAAACCAAGCAGGAACTACAAATGTATGCAAAATGTTTTATCTATACTAATTCTTTAATGTATTTACTGTACTGGGATATATTTTACATGTACCTTTTAGACATATACCCTTAACCTTTTAACTTGTTTTAGCACCTACCGTATTTAAAATGTTGTTTTTAAACTATTCTGTATCTCTTTTATGCATGGTTTTTATGAATCTGTAATTCCATTATGTTTATTTATTGTATTCCTTTCTGTTGTCTTATTAAGTGTTAATGATGATGTAAAGCACTTTGAATTGCCTCTGTGTCTGAACATGTGCTATATAAATAAACTTACCTTACCTTCAAAATATTTCACTTTTTAGGATGCTACTCTGTGACCTCAGTTGCATGGCAAACTATTCCTTCTTTTATACTGCAAAGCCGTTAGTTATTGTATCATTTCAGATGTAAAATATCTGTGACACTCTCTTTATTGTGTGAACTGTATTTCCCCACAACAGTAGATATTTGGGGGTTTATGCTCCTGTACTTTTGACCCACCAGTCCCGAGATGTTCCAGGGGTGACGCCGGCTGAAGTCTCTTCTGTAGCTGAGGGCGAGGGAGACCACGAGGAAGATGATGATGGAGCTGAGGTAGGCCCCCAGGCTGGTCTGCACCGCATCTTTCACCACGCTGGAGAAGGTGAACACACACACCACACTGAAGGTGAACAACAGCTGGAGGGTCAGGATGCTGAACACCTGCAGGGGAAGACAAAGAACAAGCATGTTGCTATCGGTTACTAGCAGAGATGGCAAAAGTATACGCATGCTTTACTCAAGTAGAAGTACAGATACTTGTGTTTAAAAATACTCTGGTAAAAGTAGAAGTACTGACTAAACTTCTTTACCCAAGTAAAAGTAAAGAAGTATGGGCTTTGAAATGTACTTAAGTAAAAAGTACCCATAACTAGCAGCTGTTTTAAAGAGTACCTGACCTCCCTTTATATTAATAGAACAATAATGTCATTGTTAGCTAATGAGTTGTACTCCAATACTTCCCACCTCTGGTTACTAGTGAATTTATTGAGGAAGCGATAAATCTATATTTCCAGATAAACACTGACTGTTACATGCATGCATATAAATACAGAGTAATCATATTAAGAAAATAGTTACATTTTTCGAGTTCGATAAGATTTATTTTAAAAATGTTAGCTAGTATGAGTCTAATTTTCTATTATTATTGATTTAGACAATGTATTTGTGTATCAAAATAGTTAAATTTGTTTGATTATAAGATACTATCTCTTTGAAGAACAATAAATTATATAAATGTTGTGCCTCAGCCCAAGGACAAAAGTTATTTGCCGCCAATTTACGCCTCTAGACCGATTCTGTATCTCTCGCCTGAAGCAGTAAAATTATCTTTAAATGTACCCAAAAAAATCTGCGTTGTCTTCCTGTTAATACATTTTCTAACCCTGAAATGTATCTTGCGACCCATATAGAGGGTCTCAACACGAGGTTGGGAAACATCTGGTGAAGGATAAGTAACACCCCAAATACTGTTCACAAATCAAAGCAAACGCTTGTCTCAAAGAGTCATTTGCCATCAGTCACTGCAACGCCGTGAGACTTCAAATCAAACTGTACATTTCACATTTACATTCAATTTAACATTTCATATTCCATTCCGTACACTCTTAATGTATATATAATATCCCTTTTCTACTTTTCTAATGCTATTTCATTTCTATTTGAGATGTTTACATTTTGGATTGTTTATTTCTTGGGTTTTAATTTCTCTAATGTAGAATGCCTTGTCTGTTCATGCTGCTGCAACGCAAAAACGTCCCAAATTGGTGTCAATAAAGTACTTCTTATCTTATCTTAGTCCGTGCTGAACTGGGGAAGAGGGCGTTCAGTTACGCTGCTCCTGAAGCTTGGAACCAGCTTCAAATTGAGCTGAAACTCAGAGAGCTGGTCTCATTAAACAGACTAAAAGCGACTCTAAATGACCTTGAAGCCGCTGTGGCTGTAAATGCTTTGGCTAAACTCGGTGTATGACTGTGTTGTGATTGTGTGTTTTAAAATTGTCTGTAACTGTGCTGTTACCATTCTTGGGCCAGGACTCTCTTGAAAAATAGAAATGTGTAATCTCAATGAGACCTATCCTGGTTAAATAAAGGTAAAATAAAACAAATAAAAATAAAAAATAGTAGCGAAAAGTTTAAACTCTGAATCGGACAAACCTTTCTAACAAACGCTCTCCTCACTATCTTGTCATCGAAAGAAGACGAGCCGATCAGTGGAGTTGTGTCCGACAGACGTTCTGGGATGATGTCCCGGAAAGACTCGTACCCAGTGCTAGACTGTTTTGTCCAAGTTGTGTCTGTTTTGGCTGCAGAGTAGGGTGGAGGTTGCTCTCCTTGGTAGGGCGGTGGTAGAGAGGATGCATCATCACCAGAAGCCTGCTGTGTGTCTCTGGATGTGAGGAGGTCTGTTGTATCGGACATGCTGGAGGAAACTGTGGGTCAAACACAGAAGTTCAGTCAAAGAAAAAGGAAACTGATGCAAACATTAGTCAAAAAGGATCAATTCTGCTCAGCAGCTGGAGTGGGAAATGGGAAGTACTTTCTGCTAACATCTATTGTATATCATTTACTCATTAAGTTGTGGAGCTGTTTGATCCGCAGTTCATGTTTTGACCACCTGCAGTAAAGTTAAAAGTATCCTTGTTTGGTGTTAGCGGGCGCCAACACAAGAAAGTAGATAGAGGTCAGAAACAAGAAGCAGCATGGCCAGCATCAGAAAGAAACAGAGAAGAGCTTGACCTGCTTTATTTATCATTCAAAAAGACAGTTGAGAAATTAGGTTGGATTGTATTCCTGTTGAGAGACCTGTGTGTATCTGGATGTGAGGAGGTCTGTTGTATCGGACATGCTGGAGGAAAATTTGGGTCAAACCCAGAAGTTCAGTCAAAGAAAAAGGGAAGTGATGCAAACATTAGTTTCATGGGATGAATTAGGTCAAGCAGATAAACTAGGAAGTTCAAGTCAAAGTCAAGTCAAAGTCAACTTTATTGTCAATCTTTCAGTTTGTGTGTACAGACAGTTACTGTTTTACTTAACTTCTGTATTGTTTTCCAGTCAAATTGCAACTATTGTTAAACTTAGTTTGGTCTAGTAGTACATTTGGGAATTGTTGTTCAGTTTGTGTGGATTCCTGCGCATGTGGGTAATGAGGTAGTGGATCAACTGGCAAAAAATGGATTGAAAGCAAATCAGATTGAATTAACAGTAGCCTACCTATCAGTAGGGCAGAAGTAAAATCATTTACGAAAGTTATTATCAAGCAACAATGGCAAAAGTTATGGGACAGTAACACTAAAGGAAGACATGTATACCAGATACAAAGGGAAGTAGGAATGGAAAGCACTTGGGGCAGTAATAGAAGAGAACAGAACATTATCAGAAGGATACATTTGGTCACTCCGGATTAAACTCATCACTGCATCTGATTGGAAAACATCCAACTGGCAATTGTGATGGTTGCCAACAATCAGAGACAATAAATCATGTATTTTTTAGCTGCCCGGAATATACAAGGCAAAGACTCATTCTGAAAACTGCAATGGAACAACATAACATTAAGGACATGAAATTTCAAGTCAATATTTGCAAGTAACTCAAGAAATGAAATTCACAAACTGATCTTCAAGTTTCTCAAAAACACTGGTCTGAGGAAGGATTTAACTTGAAGATTCAATAAATCAACAGTAGGTGGCGATATTTCCTCACAGGTGTTTAAAAATCCCACCACTGCCACCAATTGTTACAAAGTGAGGTGCAGGTGAAAGAACGATACGCGGAGAGAGGGTTTTCTTGCAAAAATAAACAGGCTTTTTATTCTTAGCCTTCCACATTATTCCACAGAAACAAAAACTGCATGCCTGGTGCTGCGTTCACCAGCAAGGAACAAACACCAAATGCCCCTTTCCCCTCTCTTCCCAACCACATTTATAGGAGACTGCCCGCCTTCCCAATCCAACCTGGCCAATCAGGTCATGGTTCTGAAAGCGGAGTGAAGGGTTAAATACAAAATTAAACACTGTTGTCTACATTTAATAAAATCCTAAAGGCGTAAGTAAATTCATAATTGCATCAACATAAATATTGTACCTTCAAAAACAACAAGGTCTGCTTAAAACGGATAGTTTTTAACCTAATTGACACTCATAAAATCACACATTTCCTGACCAATCACGTCCAAGACTCCGCCTACTCATACGGCACATATAAGGAGTACTTTGGAGGCGTGCTCCCCCTATGAGCAGTGGCACAAAATGGCTTGTGTGTTTTACAGACTGACAAATTAAATGTAAACTGTTTTTATAACTTTAACTGAAATAAAGACAACTCTGAAGAAACATGTACTACCTTTCTTAACAAACAAATAGTTAAGCCAAAATGTTAGTAAGGGAGTGTGTGCGCTTCCTCACATACTTCCTGAATGAAAAGTGAACTATAATATTAGACAAATATTAAGACGTTAAACTTTAAACATCCATGACTTAAACACTTTATCCAGGATAAAAGTGCGTAATGTTACTTTGATCCGGTTACTTAAGTTACCTTGTGGCAGATATTTAAAGGGGACCTATCATGCAAAATGCACTTTTGTAAGTCTTTTATACATTAATATGTGTCCCCGGTGTTCCAGGGAACTCACCAAGTGTCAGAAAACACAACCCTCTCTATTTTCCTCCATACCCAAATCTCTAAAAAAGGGGCTGCAACGGATCTGATACAGACTGATCCAGATTTGAACACTTCTATGACGTCACAGAAGTGGCGCTACGGCTATTGGGCCAACTCTCCACCTATCAGGGGAATGTGGGGTTGGGCCACGGCCGGCCATTGCTGCTCGAAAGCGCTGGAGGTGCTGTAGTACATATGCCAGGCCTGTAAGTGGCGCTGTAGCCTGCCACAAAAGCAGCGAAGAAGACTTCCCGCGCATATGGTAACCATGGTTACCCTTCTGTTTATTCTCCGCTGTGGCTTTTTTTCTCCCTCCCCGAGGCAAGCGTTTGCTCCTCCTGCTTTAATTAAATGCAATCCCTCCCCGTCGAGGCAAGCACTGTAATTCTCTCCGGTTAGTCCACCAGCAGATGACAAACACCCACCTCTCCGCCTCTTCCAAGGAACGAGGGGACCGTGCGGCAGAGTTTCAGTTTCAGTTTCTTTCGCCGGTCAAGATGTCCGTTAAAGTTTCAATCTTCCGGACAAAATTAGAAAAGTGCCGGTCAAAGGTCTTCTTTGTTATTTATTGAGCTTTAAAACAAATGAATAACGACTCTATAGGCCTATAATAATATAATAAAACCATAGACTGTATATATAAATAAAACACGGAGGACGGAGATCTTTTTTTCTCCCCCTCTTGACTTGATCAGAGCACGGCTCCCCTCTCCTGCAGGGGGGCGTGGTCTCACAGAATCAGCCCCGTAGACAGCAAACAGCACATAGAGCGAAATGAGGCATGGCTAAAATGCATGATCTGTTTGGTATTTTGAAAACAGAAACGTATAAATATACCTTATATAGGTATGGCCATACAATATATCATTTAAATATAGCATGATAGGTCCACTTTAAGTAAGCTTTCTTAACGCTAATATGTCAGATTGCTCTGAAGATGGGAGGTGATATTCTATTAATTTTCACGTTCAGACAGTCAGTTGATTTTTGCCGGCCGTCTTTCCTGCAACGGCAGTTTTTCTGTATTTCCTTTCTTTCTGTAATATGACTTGATAGCTTTAAACTCCGTACACTGAGCTTTGATTGGTCAGCAGGCGGTGCTTTCACTGAGTTGATCTCTCCGGACCAGGTTAGCCGCTCAGCATAAGTTACCATGGAGATCTAGCCCGCTAAAAAGAGAACCAGCGTCGTAGGACCGGAAACCCAGAGTTTTCCCTGAAGTTAGCTCGCTAAGCGAAAATCCGGCTTCGTAGTACAGGCCTCTGAGCTGTAGTTATCCCGAGCTTGAATGACACACAGACACCAATCAAGAGCCGCTTTCACACCAAGTACTTTGTCGTACTTAGTTCCCAGCACTTAGTACCCCCATGGAACTAAGAGCAGATCGCGTTCACACCGGAATAAGTTCCCTGAGGGAAGATTACGCAAATTAAGCCGCTGACGTCACTTCTTCTTCTTCTGCTTTGGGTTTACTGGCAGGCCGCAAACAACTTCACGGTGTATACTGCCACCCAAAGTCCCCAGCCGGAAGTCCCCGGAGTTGAGGACTGGCTTCAGAGTAAATCGCCAGAACGCCGACACCTCCTCATCACTCCACCACTCCCATGTTTTTTTTTGTGTTGCCATAAGTTATTCTCTCTCCGTTGGTGCGCGGGGCTAATGCTAATAATGCTAATGCCAGCAAATACAATGGCGGCTTCACAACACTTTTCCGAGTTTTACAGGGCGTGGTTTGCAATTCGCCCAGCCAATCAGAAATTGGAACTTTTTTCTCCCCAGGAAAGTACCACCTCTCTAGCAGGCACTAAAAAGGGGGTAAAAGTTCTCTTTTTGGTTAAAACATTTTTTTTAAAAAGAAAGAAACTAAATGGGTCGTGAAATATACCTTGGCGGCCGTTAATATACCTGGGCGGCCCGCCCAAGTAAAGTCTATGTGTGGGAAACCCTGTATATACATATGATAATTATATATAAATTACAGGTGTGTCTACAGTATTCTTTAAAATATAATACACTGTATTTTGCCATATATACTCATTGTCCTAAGTGTTTTTGTTTTTTAGCTTTAAGGTTATTTGTATAGTTAAATTTACATTTGGTGTAAATACTTGTCTTTAGCATCCCTTTTTAATGCTAAATTGTTTCTTTAAAATACTTATTTTTTATTATCCTTATATATTTCTTTTTTTCTACCTACTTTGCAACTTATTTTTTTAGATTGTTTATGTTCGCACCACCTGATACCAAAGCAAATTCCTAGTATGTGAAAACGTACCTGGCAATAAACTTGATTCTGATTCTGATATGTGACGGTGTTTCTAACCCTGTTCTTGTCTCAAAAGGTCATTGTCCATGGATACAGAAGACAAGATGGAAACTTACAAAAGGTAACACTAAGTAAAAAAATAATGCAGATCTTTATACATGCCACATTGTTAAAATATTTACCGTCCTAAGTTTATTTAAATTGTACATTTAGATTCTCTATAGCAGCGGTTTTCAAAGTGTGAGGCGCGCCTCCCCTGGGGGGCGCCAGAGAGCTTCAGGGGAGGCGCAGCGTGAGAAAAAAATAAAGAGAAACAATGAAATCTAGCTCGTTAACTTCAGCTAACTTTATGCGAGCGGCAACATGGATCGATTTTTAGTGAAGTTACCTAAAGTGAGAGAGGAGACAGCGTCTGGCCAGCCCAGTTGGCAGCTTTGTTTTGAAATAAAAGTTGTGGCTCATCGGACATTTATCAGAGAAAATCCCTGATGTCCGAGTGCAAGTGAATGCAGCACAAGACGCGAGCCTTGTAACCCTGGCGCGAGCGAGGAAATGTGATTGGCGGCGATTTCATTTGAACGGGCGGCAGAAAACGGGAAGCATTCGGACCCAAGTACACGGAAGGAATAAGGTATTTGCGGTCTACAATGACAGAGAAGAGACTGTCAAGTTTGGCTGTGCTCAGCATTGAATCAAAACGCACTAAAGCTTTGGATGTTAATACGTTTGTGAGGCGTTTTGCTGAACAAGATGGTAATCGCCGCATTCAGCTGTAATAGGCATGCCAACTTGATGCTCTGCTCACGGATGACTCGAGCATTAAAAACTGTTAAGATGATGACCTTACGTGTGTACATATATTTTTTTCTTTGTGGGGGTCTGCCCTGAGAAAGTCAAATAAGATGGTGTGTAAAACTACACTGCCCAGACAAAAATAAGTAACCACTTTGATTTAACTAGGCCAGTAGGTAAGGGCATTCCACTGGATAATAATACCCCTGCATTATAGCAACAACAATAATAATAATAATAATAGCAATAATAATTGGGAGGGGGGGCGCGGCTGTTCTTATATTCTCTGAGGGGAGGCTCACCTTCCCACACTTTGAAAACCCCTGCTCTATAGGGTTCAGGTCAGGCCAGTTTGCTGGCCAATCAAGCACAGTCATTCCATGGTCACTAAACCAGGTCTTAGTACTTTTGGCAGTGTGGGCAGGTGCTGCTGGAAAATGAAATCAGCATCTCCATAAAGCTTGTCAGAAGAAGGAAACATGGAGTGCTCTAAAATGTCCTGGTAGACGGCTGCGTTGACTTTGGACTTGATAAAACACAGTGGACCAACACCAGCAGATGACATGGCTCCCCAAATCATCACTGACTGTGGAAACTTCCCACTGGACTTCAAGCAACTTGGACTGTGTGCCTCTCCACTCTTCCTCCAGACTCTGGGACCTTGATTTCCAAATGAAATGCAAAATGTACTTGCATCTGAAAAGAGGACTTTGGACCACTGAGCAATCAACCATTTATTTTTCTCCTTAGCCCAGGTAAGACGCTTCTGATGTTGCCTCTGGTTCAGGAGTGGCTTGACACAAGGAATGCGACAGTTGTAGCCCATGTCCTGGATACGTCTGTGCGTGGTGGCTCTTGATGCACTGACTCCAGCCTCAGTCCACTCCTTGTGAAGCTCCCCCACATGTTTGAATGGCCTTTGCTTGACAATCCTCTCAGGTCTGCGGTTATCCCTGTTGCTTGTGCACCTTTTCCTACCACACTTTTTCTTTCCACTCAACTTTCTATGAATATGCTTGGATACAGCACTCTGTGAACAGCCAGCTTCTTTAGCAATGACCTTTTGAGGCTTACCCTGTCAATGACTGTCTTCTGGACAACTGTCAAGTCAGCAGTCTTCCCCATGATTGTGAAGCCTACTGAACCAGATTGAGAGACCATTTAAAGGCTCAGGAAACCTTCGCAGGAGTTTTTAGTTCATTAGCTGATTAGAATGTGACACCGTGAGTCTACAATATTGAACTTTTTCACAATATTCACATTTTCTGAGATACTGATTTTTGTGTTTTCATTAGCTGTAAGCCGTAATAATCAAGATTAAAACAAATAAAGCCTTGAAATATTTCACTTTGTGTGTAATGAATCCATATAATATGAGTTTCACTTTTTGAATTGAATTAATGAAATAAATTAACTTTTCCACGATATTCTAATTTATTGAGATGCACCTGTATATATAAATAATCAATTTATGTTAAATAATGTTTTTATCTGTTATATGGTTATGTAAATGTGTTTTTATGGTTATATAAATCGTGTAGCCATTGATTGATTGAAGTTAAATGCATACATTTTATGAATTGTCAAATTACTATGTATTGAAATTAACATTTGTAAATACTTAGTAGCAGCTCTTCTTCAGACTACATTTATTTTTAAATTAAATATTCTCTGATGTTTTTTTGTTCTTCCAGATTCATTCAAGAGGGAAAAGATGTTGCCAGACAAGGCGACATGAACCAAGCGCTGACGTTTTTCAAACTGGCGTACAAAATTCACCAGAGTCAAGAACTTGAAAGCCGGATAAAGACAATTGAAGAACTTCTTGCTCAGAATGACTCAGAGGAAGAAGATGAAGAGTTTGTGAATGTTAACGGCAGCGGCTTAATGCTTTTCAAAGAGTTGTATGACAAGCTTTATGACTACCAAATAAATGGAGTCGCCTTCTTGTACAGTCTCTGCAGAGATGGACGTAAAGGTGGAATCTTGGCAGATGACATGGGCCTTGGTAAAACCATCCAGGTGATATCATTCCTCTCAGGCATGTATGACAACGAGCTGGCTAAGCACACACTGCTGGTCATGCCAACTTCTCTCATCACAAACTGGACCAAGGAGTTTGCCAAATGGACTCCTGGCATGAGGGTGAAGGAGTTTCACGGATCGAGCAAGGAGAGGACCAGGAATTTGGAGAACATTCAGAGGACAAGTGGTGTTATCATCACCACGTACTCTATGCTTATGAATAACTGGCAGCAATTGTCATCTTACAATGGCAAAGAGTTCACATGGGACTACATGATCCTAGATGAGGCACACAAGATAAAATCCTCAACTACCAAAACAGCCAAAAGTGCCTACGCCATTCCTTCAAAAAACAGAGTTCTCCTAACTGGCACTCCAGTCCAAAACAACCTGAGTGAATTGTGGGCTCTCTTTAACTTTGCTTGCCATGGGAGTCTCTTAGGCACAGCTAGAACCTTCAAAACGGAGTATGAGAACCCAATCACCCGGGCCAGAGAGAAGGACACCACTCCAGGGGAAAAGGCCCTCGGGTCTCGAATGTCTGAGAACCTCATGGCCATAATCAAACCCTACTTCCTCCGCAGGACAAAAGCCGAAGTGCAGAAAAACAATAAGAAAGTCCAACTTCCTTGTAAAGAGGAATATTCAGAGACCAAGGATGGCAAAGTCCAAAATATTCCAAAAGACTCTGGCGCAGTCATGCCAACACTGACTAGAAAGAACGACTTAATTGTCTGGACTTACCTTAGTCCTGTTCAGGAAGATATTTACAGGCAGTTCCTTTCACTTGACCACATCAAGGAGCTGCTCATGACAACCAGATCACCTCTAGCTGAACTGAACATAATAAAAAAGTTGTGCGACCATCCAAGACTGCTCTCTGCTGCAGCCATAGCCAAGTTAGGCTTAGAAGAAAGTACAGCTCTAGGTCAGCAGAACAATAACATGGAGACAGACACATGCACCATCGCCAACATTCCAGACGAGACCTTAATATCTGAGTCAGGGAAGCTCGTCTTTCTGTTTGCACTTCTCCAAAGGCTCAGAGAAGAAGGTCACCGCACGCTTGTCTATGCTCAATACAGGAAAGTGCTCGACATCATCGAGCGCATCCTGGGCAACAGAGGCTTCAAAGTATTGAGATTGGATGGCACAATAATTCAGCTTGCAGAGAGAGAGAGGCTAATCACTGAGTTCCAGACAGACAAAAGCTACTCTGTCTTCCTCCTGACCACCCAGGTTGGAGGGGTTGGTATCACTTTGACGGCAGCAAACCGAGTCGTGATCTACGATCCTAGCTGGAACCCAGCAACAGACGCCCAGGCTGTTGACAGGGCTTATCGCATTGGGCAGAGCAAAAATGTTGTAGTTTACAGACTGATCACCTGCGGCACAGTAGAGGAGAAGATCTACAGAAGGCAGGTCTTCAAAGACTCTCTCATTAGGCAAAATACCGGGGACAAGAAAAACCCTTTTAGGTACTTCAGCAAGCAGGAGTTGAAAGAGCTCTTCCTCCTCGAGGACACAAGGTCCTCATCCACTCAGCTGCAACTTCAATCCCTGCACTCCAGACACCGAAGGACAGACGCTGAACTGGACGAACACATTGCCCAACTCCACACCATGGAGATGTTTGGGATCTCTGACCATGACCTCATGTTTTCCCTCGATGTAAACCACGATGATGACCCTGAAGACCAAGAGGCCCATCACTACATTGAAGGGAGAGTGCAGAAGGCCCAGGAGCTGATGAAGGCTGAGTCAGAGTTACAGATGCAGATGGCAGAAAGTTTGACATCAAACACAGAACCAGCCTGGCTCAGACAACCAGCGGACAACCACATCAGAGAGTGGACTCATGAGAAAAAACCAAGAAATCCAAAACCAAGTCCTTCCCATCCACAGCATGATAGTAACTCTAACGGGTCACCAGTCGTGATTGAGTTGGACCAGTCTGGTTCTGATGAGGGGGACGGCCAACAGAATCTGAGAGGCCATGTTGTTGATCTTATTGCAGATGAGGGTATGTCAGAAGAACATCCTGTCGTAGAAGTAAGCCAGGACAAGCTTGTTGAGCAGAACCTTTATTCTCCAAAACACGTGTCTGTTAAACAGAAGAGGAGTTACTTGGTAGCCGATGAATCCTCCTCTCCGGAGGTGATTGAAGAGTCTCTGGTGGTCTCGGTTACCAGTGATGCTGAATTAAGTGAAATGGCAGATGCCTCCAATCAAAAACTAAGAGACGAGGTATCTCTGTGTGGAGCTGCTAATGATTCGGCAAGTGACGGCAGCATGGCCTACGTTACAGCAGCTGATGAAGACGAACAACTTTCAAACGAAACTTCACACTCAAGAAACGTTTCCAAGACGGACTTGGGCCTCCCACATTTAACAGCCCTGCAGAATAAAAGACTTTCTGTCTTGCAAGCTTCCACTTCAAGCTTCAAAGCAGACACATCATCCAACGTCAGCACAGGGCTTGATTCCTTTGGAGGCAACTTCAATTTACAGCTTGAAGATAGTGACATGCTCTCAGACCACGATGAACTGGTTAATCTGGAAACTGAAGAAGAGGAGACGGAGCTGCTGTCACAGCTGCAGATGGAGGGGAGTTTTAACATAAATAAATCTCTTTCTGAGAAACAACATAAGAAAGCAGTCAGCCAAAGCTTCAATGGCAACAGCTCTGTAATGGACAATTCAATGGATAATTCCATTGTGACTAAGAAGAAAAAAAGAGCAGCAGTAATTGATGACAGTGATCAAGATGATGTTGATGACAGGAGTCACCTGGACAATTCCTTTCAGGTTCTTGGCGCCTCCACACCTAAATTGGTGTCATCTGTCCGCACTCCTCTTCGGTCAAGAAAGAGCGTCGGAGGCAACACCTCCGTGGCCTCGTGCCGATCCGTCATTCTATCCATCGTCAAAGATATGGAGAATATCAAAGACAACCAAGCAATTACCAGCGAGGAGGAGGAAGAAGAAGATGATGTTTCAGAAAGGCATTCTGACGAAGCAGAAGAGGACCTCATTGGTTCGACTCATGATGAGCTTCAGGTGGAGGAGACCCATGACACAGAGGGCAAGGAGGATGTGGAAGAAGAGGAGGCAGATGTACAAGGAGAGGAGTCCGAACAGGAAATGACCAGCAACATGGAGCAGTCGACCAGCGAGCCCGAGCTAGCCTCCGACGAACAAATGGATCAGTGCACGGCTGATGGAGTCAAATTGAGCAGTAACGGCATCCTGTCCAAGGAGGAGAGCTTCGGAGCCCTGGTCAGGAGAGGGAAGGAGTACCAGAGCAAAGGCAAGCCTGACGACGCATTGAGCTGCTTCCTCAGAGCTATCGACATCCAACCTGGAGATCCTGAAGTTCAGCTCATGACCATCCAACTGTACCGGCAGCTGAGCCAGAGAAGTTAACAAAACAATCCTGATACGTACAAAATAAACCTGACCCTTAAATGATACTGTTAGAATAGACAGTTAGGACAATTTGCACAACAAAACCAACAATGTGTTTGTTTTTAAAGACTTCACACAAGGCAACTATAAAGAGAAATTCAAGTACAAATTATATTTTAAGTTTGAGTTATTGTTATTGTTGCATGTTATTGTCTAACAAGTAACATGTAATGTTTTGCTAGCTGGGTTCAGGATAGCATTTATTGAAAAGCACCTGGTTACATTTGTGAAAGAAAAAATAAAGTATATTTTATTGTAAATCTATTCCGAGTTTATTTCTCATTAACTGTTGATTCATATAATATTTAGTGTCCTGCACTTGTTTCTTCCTAAAAGGGGTAAAATAAAAATGTTGCTAGTAAAGTTGTTTTTCCTATCTAGAAGAAAAATACAGAATATCACTAAACTCATTCTTTAACAGACTATATCCATCAATTTAATATAACCGTTGATTTAAAAAAAAAAAAAACTATTTTGTAACTTTGTATAAAGTGTATCTTCCTGAAAGAGCTGAAATGAATATTTCCTAGTAAAGTTGTTTCTAACGGCATGTTCTTTTCTTTGGGTTGGGACTCGGTCCTTATTTCATTGGTTCAAATTCAGTGATTTATCAAACAACTCAATCTTAAATTATTTCCTGGTTGCAGTAAACCAAAGCAAAATTGGGCATTTGGATAATACAACACATTTAAATATTTTCCTTATTCTATGGCATGCTGTCTAGTGTTTATAAAGCATTTATGATAAAACATCACCCAATTCTATGTCACAGCTTTTAAGGCAACTTCATTCTAACTCAATATTTCAAGTTACAATTCCTTTTCTGGTCAATAGACTGAATTTACAAAAAACGTATCGTATTTTCTTTTCGTTTAAAAAAAGGCAAACATTTTGAATATTTCATTCTGACCTTAGTTAGAACCGAGGAAAAAAGGGAAAATATTATGCTTCATCTTCATGAGTACAAAATAGCAGGAGCAAATGTCAACGTAATCTGAATGAATAATAGAATATTTAAAGGATTCAATTATATTTGTTATCTTGTTGAAAGTACCACTAAATTCTACAATGAAGCAGAGTTAACACCAAGATATTTGCTTTTATGTCTCACACAGAACAAGTAAAGAATAAATAATAGAGACTAATAAAAAGACATACCTTTTGTGGAAGATTACTGTTGTTTTTGACACCACACCTTGCTGTGAGAGGAGCACATCCAAAAAGAAACGTGTTGACTTGTGATCGCTTGGACTTGTTTTACCCAGCTGGGAGAGTTTCACTTCCTGACAGCGTGAATTGGAAAAAAAAAAGAACTCCTGTCTGTGAGGAAATAGGAAACTCCACCGTTGCTTCACATTTGGCCCGAGGTCTTCAATAGTGGGACTTCCAGGTCACAGCTCAGCACAATATCAAAGATGAGACCATTTAGGACGTATCGCTATCAAATTTGGGAATATTTGACCAACGTTTTTTTTTATTGTCAGCTGTTGCCAGGCAGAAATTAGAATGAAAAGTGTGTAGCTAGTTTTCAGACCTCCCATTGTTGCCATACATCTCAGATGTTCTCAAAGAATTCCAAATGAAAGTGAAACTAAATGGCAATTCAGGCACACACCATGACATCAAGTCAAATTCCTCGTACGTGTGAACTGACCTGGCAATAAACCCGATTCTGATTCTGATTCTGAAATCAGGTATTGTTTTTCCAAATGTACACAGCATTAAGAGCAAGGCTTTTTGTTTTTGAGATATGACGTTTTTAAAATAACAGATTACAAAACAACATCCTACCATCAGGTCCACTCAGTAGATAAACTGCAACTTTAAATGGTAAGAGAAGTTTTCAAGAATTAGCAGATGTTTAATATCCCATTTTGTCTTGTCCATTTTAAATCTGTGCTAAAATGTTAAGTCCAAAAGTGAAATAGAATTGCTAATTACCTTTTTTTTTTAAGAGATCTTAAATGTAAATAATGTTATTATTCTTTGTATCTTTTTAACCCTTGTGTTGTGTTCGAAAGCTGTTACCGTTCATGGTGTTCGCGGTTCAATTTTGACCCATGATTTATTTCAATCCAAAAACACAAAAAGAAAATGACTATCATCCAGTATTGTATTAACTATCATAACTAACTTATTATGCATTCATAACCGTACAATTCTGTTGTAATTTTATTTTATGGCCCCAAAACACATTACGGCACACGTTCAGGTTCAAGTGTTAGTGTACATATTCTTTGTGAAAGGTCGAGTTCCCGTGGGGGGAGGGGGGGCAGAGGGCGGGGAGACCAGGTGCATGTTGCGAAAAATGATTGTTACAGTTGATGAAGGGGGCGGGGGAGGGGTGTCTAAAATCAAAGATGAATCTTGATTAGGCCAAATTTGACCCCGAGTCACCCAAAACAATGCTGCTGGGTCATGAAGCCTTGTTTTCTGATTAAAAAAAACTAACGCGTAGTTATAATATAATTTTAACTTGAAACGGGTCACGCGGGAGACCCGAACACAACATAAGGGTTAAGGGACAATATAGAATATTGAGCTTGAACAATTTAGAGTTACATTTTTTATAATCTTTATTTCAGCGTCTATTCTGTAGTAGAACGTGCAAGAACCCAAACATGATCGCGTCCACGGTCAGAATCAGTCTCACGCCGTACCAGATGGTGAAATCATAAGTCTGCAAACAAAGGCATAAATGAGTATGTTGAATTAATTAATTATTTTAAGGAGAAGTAAAACATTATTTAATCAGAATAAGAAAATGACATTAAAGAAAACAATAATCACAGACATAACCTGTTTATCTGTCTATGTACATTTACATTTATATTCAATTTAACATTTAATATTCCATTCCGTACAGACTTAATGTATATATAATATCCTGCTTTAAATGTTCTTACTGTACATTTCTATTTCAACATGTATATTTTCTACTTTTTTTAATGCTATTTTATTTCAATTTGAGATGTTTACATTTTGGATTGTTTATTTCTTGGGTTTTAATTTCTCTATATCAGCGGTTCCCAACCTTTTTCAACTCAGGGCCCACTTAAGAATCAAAACAATTTTCGCGGCCCACATTCAACCATAAACAATACGGTGGCTAATTAAAGTTCTGATTCAAGTCAATTCAGAACATGTGACACGTTGTAAATCCAGTAGTACAGACCGCTGTGAAGGACTGTAATGACCGTTACTAAGGAGGATCGAGAAAAAGAAAGCAAAAGAGGTTAAAAAAAATAAAATTCTTAATAATGAAAATGTTTCCACACAAATCATAATGTTTTGCAAAGTATTTTTGGCGGCAAATATTGAATTTACATTTACACCCTTTAATATTTTATTTGGGCTTTTAGATGAAGACCGCACACAGTTAATAAATACGACTATTCTTCTGGCTAAAATACATATTTGTAAAAGTCAATCAAGGAGTAATCTTAATTGAAGGTGTTCGAAGAGTAGATTAAAAATACAATTTCTTTTAGAAAAAATTGTTGCCACAAAAAATCAAAGGGTGGCTCGACACGCCATGAAATGCAATAATTAGCTCTAACGTGTATTTGGCGGCCCACTTGCAATGCCTTCGCGGACCACTAGGGGGCTCACAGGTTGGGAACCGCTGCTCTAATGTACAATGCCTTGTCTTTTTATGCTGCTGCAATGCAAAAACGTCCCAAATTGGGATCAATAAAGTAAATTATCAATAAATAATTTAATTATAATAAAAAAAATTATAATCAGAACAAGAAAATTACATTAAAGAAAACAATAATCACAGACATAACCTGTTTATCCGTCTATGAAAATGCGTCACTAAAATACATTTTATAATCCTGACAAATTGCACAGCCCACCCACACAGCACAGAATATATCCTTATGCATATGAGTTTTTTTACTTCACATCTATAAAACCTTTGGTTGTTTATTGTTACATCATTCAGTTTTACAGCTTCATCCTGCCAGCATGAATCTTACAGCACACAATTTAAAACTCCTCATAAATATGGTTCGTCTTAAAAGCTTTAATTTTTAAAATGATACGCAAGGCTGCACATCCTTTTGTTTATAATAAACACAGAACATGATGTCTGTATACAGCAGGGGTGTCCAAACTACGGCCTGGGGGCCAAATGCGGCCCGTGGACCATTTTGAATCGGCCCTCAGCAAATTCTGAAAGTATAATGGAATATGGCCCACAAATGAAACTTGTGCTTGTCTTGTATTGTACTTCTTAAATATATATGTAAACATATATTACACAGTAGTATTCATGTGTTAATAAGCCCACTTTTTAAATAATTTCAGTCAATTACATTTTAAAACATTTCCTAACAAATCTAACTTGATAAGAAAAAAGCCCAATAACTTATTTGTAGAACAGGCGTGAAATAGACCCTTCACATTTCCCCTAATAATAAGCAATCTGAGGCTTCTGTTTTAAGGGATGAGCTGCCAACATAATAAATGAAACCCCATGGAGAGCTGTGTGCTGTTTTGTTTCTTAAAGCATATTCAAGTAACAAGCATAATTTACCTACATTTGATTGAGTTTGCTGACTTAAAACGTAGCCTATGAGGCAAAATACCTCTAGTGAGTGGCCCAGCCCTTCGTATATTTTTCTGTATGCGGCCCTCGGTGAAAAAAGTTTGGACACCCCTGGTTTACAGGAAGCATTTTGAAAAGGTGCGCTTTGGTTGTCTCACCTGTGCAGAGAAGGCAATGATGGCAGCAGTGATGGTCAGCATGGCTCCGATAGTGACGATGACATCGGATGTACTGTGGAAGCAGGCGATGGTTCCCAACACGTACGCCAAGCTAAAGGTGACAAAACCCTGCAGGCACAACATTCACTTTATTAAACATCTCAAATATCTTCTGAAAAATCTTTTTGGTTGCATAGTTTAAAGATCTCCTATCATGCTATTTTTAGGCATATATTATGGGTCTCAGATATATACAAATATATAAAAAACATGTCTATGATGTGTTTAGCTCAAAATACCAAACATCACATATAACTTATGGCGCATTTCCACTACACGGCCTCGCTCGGCCTCGCTCGGTATGGCTAGGCCTCGTTAGGACTGGCTCACTTTATGGCGCATTTCCATTACAGTTTAGGAACTGGGGTAGTATCTATAGTAACGCAGTGTAGGCGGAGCCGTGACGTCATCTTCAATGAGAACCCCAGAAAAACAACACAGCGGTTAGCTGTTAGCACTCAGAGCTCACAGCTCGTCATATCTGTTCAGAAACTAGACAAAAGTTAAACAAGTACAAACCACAGACTGCCTGTTTCATGGCGAATACATTCGCTGCTTTATTTATGTCTGTATAGGCCGTTGTTGTGAGTGTGGACGGTCGGAGCATATACTGCGTTAGCTTAGCCAATCTCCATTTAGAAAACACGCATTTTAAAAGGTTTTTCGCCTGCCGTCTGTCTGCAGACTTGTCAAAGCATTAATTCATGGTTTTTACTAACCGGTATCAGTATGTTGTTACTTCGGCATCATTTTGAAACGTGTATTACAATTAAATCACGGTCAAATATGTCCATCTTGTTGTAGTTGTAGCCCCTTTGCCAGCAATTCTCTCTCTAGTTTAGCATACTCAGCCCGACTCAGCCTCGTTGTTCCTGGCCCTAGAACCACGATTTTATGGGGCCAGAAAAACTGTGAATTAGGACCCGCCGGCCGGTACTAGGCCAAGTGGAAACGCAACCAAAGACGGGCCGCTGACGTCACAGCTCTCTTAAACGGGGCTCCGCACTGTAGTGGAACCGCGCCAATAGACATCCCTCACATCCCTCTATTCCAGCCCTGTTAGAGAATGGCTGACTCTCTGCTGGCCCCGCCCCCTTTTGAGCACCAGGCACACGTTCTGTGACGAGCTGTCTGTCTGCTCTGCTCAGATACAGCTAAATGCTGCCGTGATGAAACGCCATATCATGTTCAAAACCACATCAAGGATTATTTCTGAAACAGTATGGAGCTCAAATGTTTTTTTTCTTGCGGGTTTACCACAAGGTGAGTTCATTTTTTTATATCCTGCTTTTTTACACAAACTCTCTCCAGTACAGGTTAGCTCTGAGTGTTAGCGATGCTTGCTAATGTAAACAAAGACCATTATTACGTCAAAAACACGTCAGGCATTGTTTCTGATAGTGATGTTTCTGAGGCCCTTACACACCAGGCCGATATCGGCCGTCTTGCGTTGTTGGGCGAAAACGGGTTCCTTGTCGCCCAAATTCAATTTGGTGTGTCCCGAACCCTCGGCCGTGACACGCCTTATTTGGCCTTTCACGGTCGACACCCGGCCGATTCAACATGTTGAATCGGCCGGGTGTTGGACACAAGCTATCGGGCCAAGAAACCACTCTGATCAGCTGTTCAGCTAGCAAATGAGAAGCGAAACGGAAGTGAGGGACGTAAACAAACGATTTAAGGCACAAGACAGCAGCTAAACACCAGCAGGTGATACTTAAAGACATCAAACATAGCCCTTAAATGTCCTCTCTTACCTCCCACACATAGCAGGGACATCTCTGATATCGGCGGGAGCGTCCCCGGCTGTCCTCTGCTGAGAGCTCCGTGATTTGTTTGGTCAAGTCCGGTTTTTCATCTCATCGTAAATTTAGCAAGAAGTGGCCATTATTACATTGCTGACTCAATAAACTACACACCCGCCAGAACACTGCGATCATCAGATGCAGGTCTATTAACTGTGATTTTATAGTATGTCTGCACTTTATGTGCTCATTTCATCATGCATGTATTTTTATATTCTAAAACATGTTTTCGATGGACGAGAGTGAAAATGGAACGGGACCCGCCGCTATTTGTTTGTATATCAGTCTGTTCTTCTTCTCTGTCTTCCGGTTGTTGCCTATTTTGAATGACGAATACACACTACCGCCGGCTGCTGGTAAGGAGAGTTATTGACACTCACGCATGCGCAGTTCGTACGTGCTCGGCTGTAGTAAAGCGGTGTATTTCAGTGTACACACGGCCAAGACGCAGGAGAACTCGTCGATGGATCTGTCGGTGTCGGATGTCGGCGAGTTCTCTGGTGACTGCCTGGTGTGTAGGGGGCTGAGCAACACATTCTGACTCCCAACTCGTCACATATTGACGATCGGTCAGGGCCCCTTCACGTCACCATATTACGCACTGGGTACCCCTCGAGCGTCAGTTGTCAACGGGCAGGGCGTCCCATAGCAACCTGGTCTCACCAAAATACGTGAAATGAACACAACTCCTTAACACAGCATTACGTGGTGGGGAGTGGACACACATTTCTGCAACGTCCCACAGTGAGCTTAATGTTGTTTTCTACTCTATAAAACGTTTTTAAAATCTACTTTATGATGGAGGTATTCCCTATCTTTATTCAAGAGCGTGTTCTTTCAATTTGAGAGCATAATTTATTGATTTCACGTTCAGATTTTGTATTTCTTTCAGTCAAACCCTGTCCTTGCCGCTTAGATTTGATATTTATCAGAGCCAAATTACGTGTAAAGAGAGGTTCAATCATTACTACATTTAAGTCTTTCCATAAAAGCGATATTTACTGAGCAGTAATACGCTTAGGCGCAGATAGCCTAGTTGACAAGAATATTTAATATTTCAGGAAGTTTGACCTCAGCTGTTACACAATATATATTTCCTTTTACCTGCAAACTCATGATTAACTGTCCTTGCAGCCCATTATTAAATGTTAAATTAAATCTGTGACAGTATCTATATTGTGTGAAATGTGTTACGCTCTTTTATTTGTAACACACCAGTCCCAGCATGTTCCACGGGTGACGCTGCCTGATGTCTCGGCTGAAGCTGAGGGCGCTGGTGGCCGCGATGAAGATGATGAGGGAGATGAAGAAGAAGTCGTTCTGCTCCACATCACCTCCTCTTGTGATGAACACACACACCACACTGAAGGTGAACAGCGCCTGGACAGTGAAGATGCTGAACACCTGCAGGGAAAGATGAATAAACAAACTTCATTACTACATTTTTGGGTAAAACAGCTATAATTTTGACATTGTAGGTTAAAGAAATAGACTGTCCAAGCATTCACAAAAATGAGCAGAGGATAACACACTGGTTGGATATCACACTTTCCAGATGCAGTTCGTTTTTTTAATTAGCTCTCTAGAAACTTTAGTGCTTTAATGTGCTTTGCAGGGTCCAATAGCCCGGGTGGTCTAATGCATTGATCCCCTTTAACCTTAGAAACCTCTTGCATGAGAATAAACTAGTAAATGAACATAGTAAATATTGGTCAAACACTAGTTTGATTCACAATCGCTGAAAACAGGAAGAAAAACAATTAGAAACAAATATATTCTTTTTGTAAATGAACCCATCATATGTTCATATACTTAATAGCATTACAAAGATTTAGTTCAAGATCAATCCGAACTGTCATGATGATGTCAGACAATTTTAATAACCTTAAAAACAAGAACCTGTAGCTCTACCTGCTTACCTAATCAATTATTTGTATCAGGGTGATGTTATGCCTCATATGATTTACTGTTTTAGCTCGGATTTCTGTAAAAGAGAGGTTCCTAACCCCTGAAAACAAATCAATGTCTGTGAACGCCTTTTTTTAAACTAGTTACATATGTCCTTAAAGGTAGGGTAGGTAAGTTTGAGAAACCGGCTCGAGATACACTTTTTGTTATATTCCATGGAATGCTCTTAACATCCCGATAGCAATGAATATCTTAAGTGCTTTGACAAAAAATCCATAAAAAAATATCATCTGTGGAAGCTGTAGTACTGGAAAAAGCACGACCAATAATTTGAGCCGGCCCGGCTAAAATAACTGGATGGCCTACCTGCCTGTCAGCCTTCCATCTGTGCACAAACTTATCTCGTGCCCTCATTGGTCATGTGCGCGTTCGTGTGTGTTGGAGGAGGGGCTCTGTAAGGAAGTGGCACATTTTTTCCGGTTGTGTATTTTCAAATTCTAGCGATCTCGAGCTGGCTTCTCCAAAATTACCTACCCCACCTTTAAGTATTATTTCCTTTTCAGATGATTTATTTTAATCGTGATTTGAGTCTCAACAAGGTAATTCAGTTGGATTTACAGCGTAAAGGCGTGTGTCATTGATTTACAGTTTAAAGGACAAACTCTGAAAGAAATACACAATGTTGTGTTGTAAATATATACTTTCATATCCTGTAAGTAATCTCCCCTTAGAATGGGAAGTCGGACAAACCTTTCTAACAAACGTTCCCCTCACTATCTTGTCATCGAAAGAAGACGAGGCGATCAGTAGAGTTGTGTCCGACAGACCTTCTGGGATGATGTCCCGGAAAGACTCGTGCCCAGTGCTAGACTGTTTGGTGCAGGTTGTGTCTGTTTTGGCTACAGGGTGCATTTTCGGGTCTGCAGAGTAGGGTGGAGGTTGCTCTCCTTGGTAGGGCGGTGGTAGAGAGGATGCATCATCACCAGGAGCCTGCTGTGTGTCTCTGGATGTGAGGAGGTCTGTTGTATCGGACATGCTGGAGGAAACTGTGGGTCAAACACAGAAGTTCAGTCAAAGAAAAGGGAAACTGATGCAAACATTAGTCAAAAAGGATCAATTCTGCTCAGCAGCTGGAGTGGGAAATGGGAAGTACTTTCTGCTAACATCTATTGTATATCATTTACTCATTAAGTTGTGGAGCTGTTTGATCCGCAGTTCATGTTTTGACCACCTGCAGTAAAGTTAAAAGTATCCTTGTTTGGTGTTAGCGGGCGCCAACACAAGAAAGTAGATAGAGGTCAGAAACAAGAAGCAGCATGGCCAGCATCAGAAAGAAACAGAGAAAAGCTTGACCTGCTTTATTTATCATTCAAAAAGACAGTTGAGAAATTAGGTTGGATTTTATTCCTGTCGAGACAATAAATATCAAAGAAGATCTGTTTGAAGTGAATGTGCTTTAAATAAATATAAAGAGGCAGGCAGCAGCTTGAGCAGGGCAACAAGGTGGCTCAGAGAGAGCAGGTCGTTCAACATCAGCATGGCCAAAAAGAGATGATAAAACAGGAACAACTCAAATAAATAACAAATTATGATCTCCCAGAATGCAAAGTATAAAAATGAGCTTTATCCAAGGCTTGTTTGTCGTGGTAAAGTGTTCAACCTTTAGCTGGTGAATGCTGCTGAACAAGAAATGGGGGGGGGAAACCCAGCATGTATATCAGCAGGAAATACAAATAGATGAATGGAAAACATTCAGGCTTTTACAGAATACAGTTGAGAGGAAAGGCTTATTTGTTTTGCATGTGATGTCTCAGTCAAATCAGGTTTGGCATCAGGAGTGATCAACCGTTTCCCTGGATTCTCATCTGCCGTTTACTGTGTATGAAGCAGCACTTTCAGTTGAGCGTAGGAAAGCTGTTGTACTATTTCTGAGTATTTTTGATGAACTGTACTGCCTTTAACAATCATTTGCAAAAAACAAAACGTTGAATGCAATATGCCAATGTCCAAAGATAGGGCGAATTGTGGGTGAAATATGTGCATAAAATGGGCAAAAATCTTCCAGTTACAGAACAGTAAAAGCTGTCAGGCAACACAAAGCTAGCTTCCAATTATCTTAGATTGTATCAATGTTGGAGGAGACCAATAAAAGCCTTGAACCTTGGAAATAAACATACCATACAAGATCTTCCACACAAACGAGCACACCAAATGTTACAGAAAACGTAATTTACTGCTGAACAAAAAAAAAAATACACTGAGTTTTAATTATCCATTGTTGTAGTTTTACTTAATATACCTGTTTCTTTTTTTACGTATAACATAAACCATAAAACCCAATGTACCCACAGTGGTATCTATCAATAAAGTCATTTATTTTTCTGGCATGCGTTATGAGTCGTCTATAACGGAAACTACAGCTATGAGATATTTAAAACATGTTAAAGCAATTCAAGTCAAAAAAGCAGTATCTGCATGCGTAGATAATAGTAGGAATAGTGGCTGGGATTCTTTAACCAAATAATGTTTGTTTAAAATCTATTCACACAGAATGATATTAAATAATACACAACAGAGAGTGCTTACCTGTTGGGTTATAGATGTGTCTGACACCTGACTGTGCTGTGAGAGGCGGAGCTAACACAGAAAGAAAACCTCATATTGTGATGGGTGTCTTTATATCAGCATGTGGTGTAGGGTTACAGTTCCTGGAGTGAAGTTTTAAAAAATAAAACTTTTATCGGAAATTGCAAAGTCCTTCTTTGATTGAAAGTAGGTCAGACGTTGTAAAAGAGGCGGTCACTTTGTGGCAGCTCAGTAAAAAAAATGCATGTATCTTGTTTGAGAATATTTGTCCTGAAAATGTTTGGCGTCCGTTTTTGCTCCCTTATCTTTAACTATTAAAAGGAAACAAAATCACAAATAAATAAATAAACAGGCTATATACGACTTTAAACATATAATGCAAAAATGTAGAGATAAAACAATGTTTAAATATTCACGGAGTTAAAATGAATGATTATTTTTGTTATATTCTATCGTTTCAGTTACATTCAAGATTAATTAAATGTGAGTTTTTCTTTGGTCATACATCACCCTGAATATCTTTGGACTGCTGGACAAAAAGAGCAATGTGTGATTTCCTTTTGTTTGATATTTTATCTAATAAAAATGTTGAAAAATAATTTGCAGATTTATCTATAATGAAAAGTAAAAATTGCAGCTCTTATCGGATTTGCAAAAAAAAAAAAAAAAGCCGTTTCTTTTAACGAATAAAGATCTAAACTGTCAGTGTTAAGTGCCAAAAGTTTATCGGAATAAATACAAATAATCATTTTATAATGTGTAATTTAAATTCTCATTATAATAAAAAGTTTAATGTCTCACAGAAAGGGACAAACAACCACAAACGCATCATTGAAAACACTTAAAAAACACAAAACCGACGTTCACAAAACATCTCACACATATTTATTGTATAAAATACATATAAAAACAATTTCTGAGACATACAAAAGATAGGAGCTTAGAAACAGTATATTGAACAGACAAAGACCAAGCCATTTTCTTGAATTGCATTAAATATTTACAATTTAATAAATAGAATTTCAATTTGTTTCGTTATACCAGAGTAAAGGCAGATTGTCCATATCTTCGGGGTGCAGTTGCCGCTGTGGTGACTCTTCGAAAACATTGGGGGCAATAGTGCCCTGATTTAAAACCAAAAGATTCGGGGACATTTATACAAAAGACCGTCCTTTGTTGGAGCTATTTAGCACACACACAACGTTTAGTTAGCATTGGTAAAGATTGAGGTATTGCACCACACAGCTTAGAGGGGGTAAGAAAGTAAATGAGTGATGTGGGGTTTTCAGATTGTCTTTTTATCTTTGTCAACAACCCAAACACCACCACCAAACTCCTGCAAGCAAACACACACACACACACACGCATCCCTCCCAGCCAAAGTATACAACGTCATAACTTATCACCACAACAAATGTAACGTCTAATGATCAATGCACCTCGTCTTCAACACACTCTCACACAATGCCCCCAAATACACAGACAGACTTTTGGCATTATTTTCTTTCTATTCTCAGATACAAAAAGTTAGAATGGCTGCCCTCTAGTGGCCGGACAAGTTGTAGCACCTCAGACTGCAGAACACTGGGGAAAAACAAGAGGCTGGGGTGAACAAACTAGCCAGTAGGAAACCTGTGCACCGGGCTGACCTCCAAACTGATCCATACCACTTTTGAGCAGCGATTTAAAACACGTGGTTCAGGCAGGCAAAGCAATCGATTCATGTTGTGTGTTCTCAACCCAATGTTAGACAGCATCTGTTGAGCAGCCTTTACTGCGGGGCTTCAGTTCAGCACTCAAAAACACCACAAATACCTGCTTGCACAAAGAAACCCTTCGCCAGGCAAAGGCAATCAACACACGCACACAATGCAAAGGAAAGCCATTTAACACAGAGCAATAATTATGTGATGATATAATATGTAAAATCCTAAAAAAAGATAGGGGGCCAGGGGGGGGGGGGGGAGTTATGTAATAATTTACCATCAGCTGTCCAATAGCCTCCAGTGTTGGGGAGAGAGGCAGATGCCACATGGTGTAAATATGCCCCAAAAATACATCCCTCAATCCGTCCGTCCTCTTTATCCCTGGCATGAGTTTAACCAGATGGCAAAACGTCGTTGATCCAAAAATCCGGACAGTGGTTGCGAATGAGGAGGAAGAAGAAGAGGGGATTGTGGGAGGAAAAAAACACTAAACCGCATTCAAAGTACAACGGGACCACATGAGACACGTTGCGTACCAATGCCACGTGTAACGGCTGTTGGCCAGCTTCATTGGAATACAAAATTATCATAAAAAAAGAAAGGGTAACCCGCTTGACCAAGCATACTTTAGGCAATTTACAGTAAACACACACAGACAAAATCACACTCTTGAATACACACTCATGCTCAGAACATTTCCTGTCCCTGGTCATCATTTGAACACACAAACATACACACTCACACAACCTTATCCCAGACTTTGTGAAAAAAATTAAAATGAATCAGCCTTGAAGGACAAAAGTGCTCAAATTGGTGCCGACACCAGCGCTTCTACGACCCCATGGAATACCTACAACCCTTTCCTCAACACTCAGCAAGTAGCAGCACGTTAACCTCGGCGCTGACCAACCACCTACAAAAAAACTGACCTACTTAGAAAAACGATTTGCCCCCAAACTTCCCCTGAAATGTTTACAGGTAATAGAAAAGAGAATACACCTATTAACGGCAGCACCCATTCACCAAAATCAAGCCCTCGACCTCCAGCTGGTTAAAAATAAAGCAACGTTTACGCTTTTGGTGTGAGGTTGGTTCATTTGGGGTTAGCCCGAGGAAAGAAAAACATTCATCCAATGTATGACATGGAACAATACTCTTTTTGCAAAATACTTAATAAAAAGGACCAATCGCGTTTGGAGGGAGAGAAAAATACATGGGAGAAAATCCACGGTCAAATCTTACGTGTTCCTCCCTAAAGTTCACGATCACTCCGGGCAATTTCCATCGTACTGGGATAGGTTTTTTTATATATATACTGTATATATTTATATATATATAAGCTCCGTTGATTCAAACCAAGTCTGTAAAATAGAAAGCGAAACTCCTCCACTTGTATTTCAACAAAATGGCCTCGACCAAGTTCAAATGGACCGATCCAAACGGAGAAGCTTCTTCTTGGGATCGTCTGTTCTCCAATCAAATTTGTGTTTGCGTGGGAGAAGAACAGTGGGTTTTTATTCGTCCGATTACACATTTTTATTGGGATTTTATTGGGATTCAGTGTAGTCTCCTGTAAGGGCGGAAAAAGAAAGGGTGAAGATTAGACAAAATAATGCCTGTAACAGCATGTATATTTCTGTATGAAAATCGTGTCGAATAGATCCTTAGCGGGATAGACATATTTGTTATCAGATAGTTCATGATTTCAAACCAATTTAAGACAATTTTTTTCAAGGTTAGGGTCAGGGTTACAATTTGTGTTTAGACATTTTACTTTAAGAACTTTGGCTTCCTTTGTTTCATGGAACAAAAATGTCAGATTTCCTTGAGCAAGCCATCAAAAAAAAGGAGCATTTGGTATAAAAAAAAAAAAAGACAATATTGAAAAGTTTGCTAATTGCATATCCTGGTTTTTAGGTAAATCTCACACGTACATACCTGAGTCGGTTGGTCACTGTGCAGAAAACATGTGACCCCGGAGTCAATCGAAGGGGTGTTCAGGGCAGCAGGGCTTCACCTTGGACCAGGAGTCAATGCAGCTACAGGGAGAGAGGAGAAAAAAAAGAGTCATTATATTTTTTTATTAGCTGATGTAATTGTTGCTAAACCTCTCCGCCTGGTTTTTGGTTGTGGCGTATCCCAAAAGGCTTAATCCACTTACTGACAGTGTGGGAACCAGACTAAAAGTAATCAGTGCAGAGGGCTGTGAGTATGTTTGATGGCTCTCTGACTCGTTAAATGCAACAGGACCAAAGAAAAGTAGCATTCCCCATCACAAATATAGAGATGAAACAACTATTCTATATTTGAGTATTTAATAAGAAACTTTTTGGATATTACATTGACATACATTTATTTAATTAAACTTTTCAAATAAAATGCAAGACTGCACAAGTTACAGCTCAGCAATTTATTTATCTTGCGTCACATTTAAAAGAAGTATGTTTGGGTTTTAGACTGCGAGTCAAATTATCTTGAGCTTTAGGAAATTGTGACGCCCTTTATGCACTTTTTCCAGATTCTTTTAAGACCAGATGATTCACCGACTATGTGAGAGAAAAGTCACAGATGGTCTCCTTGCAGCCCTGGCTATACTAATATATGGGTTGTTAAAAATAACGTTCCTTCTGTACACTTTGTGAACATGAACTGTATGCTCATTTTGAACACCGTCATCTTTTAGTTTTTGAAAATTCCAGGCTCTTTCCAAATCCCTACTCTCTAGTGGGAGGACCAGCGTGTCACAGCCAAACAGCCACACCTAGCGGCACACGGCTAAAAGCTTTATCCGAGTAGAACGTCTTTTAAAAAGGTGCCCTATTACGCTCATTTCAGGTTCATATTTGTATGTTGTGCCTCTACTGTGACATGTCTCCATGCTTTAATGTTCAAAAAGCTCTTTATTTTTCTCATACTGCCCTCTTTTCACCCTCTGTCTGAAACCAGAGCCCAGTCTGCTCCGATTGGTTAGCTGGCCGGCTCTGTTGTGATTGGTCAACCTCTTAGTCTAATGGGTGGGGCATCTCTATCATGTTCAATGTGTTGGAGCGCTAGCTAATAGAATCAAAATTGTTACATGGTGATGTCACTATGTAGCGGAAGTAAACGCAGGAGTCAAATGGAGGCGTTTCAGGCAAGGGGGGGGGGGGGGGGGGGGCTTTCAAGACCGTTAACATGCACAAAAACCTAAACAACACACTACAGGAAAAGGAAAACCAGAAAAGCATAATAAGGCCTCTTTAAAGTATACTGTCTCTCTGCTGGTTATCTGTCAGCTAAACACCATGTGTGCGTTTAATGTTGTCAATGTCGTTATCAGAATGTTCATTTCAAATTTAAAAAAAAGCATTTCAAACGGTTGAACCCACAAAGATGGAAAAAAAAGAGCAGACAGGATCTTCACTGTGATGAATGAACTAATCTTGGAAAATTACAAGTCTCAGCAAGTCCCGTCTCACACTGAGCTAAATTAAGGGAAACCGTTTCCCCTTTCAAAGTTGGGAAAAAACGTATCTGGAACATAACCGTGTGCTTTGAAATGATTAGGATGTGAGTCTTTAACAACCTCAGGGTTATTTCCTGATAGTAGAAGTTTCAAAGCGCTGACAAAGTACTAATTAGGTCTAATTCAAATGTAATGATGATGGCGTTATTGAAAGCACCATTGGCTAATGTATTTTACTTGTAAAATAAGAAGAAAGAAACACACTGCTGATCTTTTCCTGAGACAAAGTAAAAAAGATCTTGTGTAGTACTCATCCATTTTATCCCATGTTAAAATATTAAGTTTTAATGACAATAACTCAGAAGTAAAACCATCAGATCCTGGAAAAGGACAATAGACCTCTCGCAGAAATGTGAAGTGATACATGCACTAGTACAGAAAAACGTTTGCTTCCTTATTTAAGAGAATCATTACCCCAAGTTACCACATTTTTCCAGATCTGGAAATAGCCATAGGCACAACGTTGTTTTTAATCTCACTAGCGGAATTTGCATTTTTCAACCCGTCTCTCTGCATTTTATTATAATGCAAATATATCAACTGAACTTTGTTACCTCTTATGGTAGACGCAGAGGCAGGCCAGTCTGGCGATGGTCTCTCCCTGCATCAGATCCTCCAAACAGATGGAGCACTCTCCGCTGTCTTTACTGAGCACATCCGCTGTACATACACACACACACACACACACAGCAACTGTAAGTGTTTACAGAGCTTTAAAAATCACAGGCTTTGTGCCATTTTGGGGATATATGATACTTACTATTGTATGGTAGGGGAGGAGACGTGAGGCAGCTCAGCAGGTGATCCTCGATCCGACCCCCAGGGAAAGGCTTGGAGCAGAAAGGACAGCGGATATCTGTGCAGAGCGGAGACACAGTACAGCTGAGATTAACACGCTGTGTCACAGCAGCGAGACCTAAATGATAGAGGATGTGCACATCATGTTGCACACTGAAGCTATGTTTGGACATCTAGATTACACTCTTGGCAAACCAAAGAACCACAAGCAGTCATCCTTAGAGATCCGGAGACAGTGTGGATGATGTGACTTTGAGTATAACTGACTCCACAATAGTTTGGAAACTTTATTCGACTGCATGCACCGAACAAAACAGTGACTCGGGCTGAGTGAACGGGACAGACAGTGTGCCTCGCTCGCTGCTCTGAATTCCCCTCCTCCATCTATGAGCTGCTGCCAGCATGTGAAGTTGTGACCCATTTCCCTACTCTTGCTAGAGGGCTGTCCTGGGAAACCCACCATACTTTTGTGTTTTGGCACCGCAACAGCCCCATCTCTGTGTCATCGACTTCCAAATGCAGGCCAGAGCTGTGTATTGGCAAACATTTGGCAATATGATATGTGTCTTATGGTACAGGGGTTATGATTCAGCAGTACTGCAAGAACACCGATATTTTGTCATTGCTAAAAATATATTTTAGGAAAACTGCGTATTATTAAACAACATGTACTATATGCATAAATGTAGGTTTAAAAATATACTTTTGGTATGCAATCACAACAGTGGGATCTGCATTTATCACAGTCCCTGTAACATCAAACATCACAGTACTTTGAGAGGCCACACATCTTAAAATGTTTTAATAATGTATTAACTGGATGAACTATTTATTATAAATCAACACTTTGTTTTAGAGAATCAATACAGCATCACAAAACATTATTTAATGTTGCAATAATTAATATTTTGTTAAACCCCTACGCAAACAAAGGGTGCTTTTTCAATTCCCCTACACCGCTTCCCATTTTTAATGCACTTAAACCACACGTTGGTCAGTTACTCAATGTTTTTAACTTGCACGCTGCAGGATTTGAAAGAGCATGTTTTCACCAGTTCCAGTTTTACGCCACAGCTCTGTTTCTTACAATGAGGTCTCTGATGATTGTAGTCAGTAAGCACGGGAAAAGAGATTATCTGTTCAGGAATGTAAATTCCCCAAATAATCCATTTTAATTTCAGACTGGGGTGAGTGAAAGCTGCACTGGAAACAATTTGATTCATAACTCATTGTGTAAATGTCTCTGAGTTGGTGTAATATTGTTTTCGAGATATTTTCTTATAAAAAGGCATTTCTGACTTTATATTGCTGTTGTGGCTGCTTAAAGTTAACAATGAATACACCCACCTCCTACTCAGCCATCATATCCATATTACTATAATTTTCTCATCTTCACCCACTCATGTCTTCAGTGAAATAGCAGCTGATTTAAGGAAGCATCAACAGTTATACCCCGCATTTTATATGTTGAGGTATTGTGTAATTTAACACATTTATAAGTTCCATGTAATCCACGTATGATAGCTGTCTTAAAATGTAAAAACATGGTGCATCACTTCTGATGGAGACCAGCCAAGTATGAAGGCAGGTGTTATTTATGCGACACAAATAATAACAGGACATGAATAGAAAATACTAGTGACCTGACATAATGTGTGGAGGATTATAACCCTTTACTGTCATAGTGTGTGCTGTGTGTCTGGGAAGGAAATCCACTGGCCCGTTTTTATGGAAGATAATAAAACAATCAATACAACAAAAATGTCACATGCTGATAATATCGTGTTTCAAATGAAAATGTTGAATATATATAAACAAATATCATCATCTGACCTGATTTTTATTAGAATCCGGTTTTTGGCCATTAGGTTTACACATTCAAATATTTGTTGTGGTGTGAATGTTGCCACCAATGTCCATTACCTATTTTTAAATCTGCACAGCTCTCCATTTTGAATATAGTATATTATTTGTATTTGACTGTACTCAGTTTCTCACATAATTATATTGTGTTCAAATATTGTCTTTAATTTGTCACAATAGTCTACAAATAGTATTTTTTTAAATAGCTTTTAATAGTCTTTGTAAGCACCATTTAGACCAAAGCAAATTCCTCGTTTGTGTAAACCTAATTGGTAGTAAAACCTATTCTGATTCTGATACATAACACAATGAGAGAAATTAAGTTGTACTAAGAAAAGGAACCACACAGACTATAACACCTCTTGTTAAATACCAACTATGTGCAATATGATATTGCACATAGTTAGCAGCCATGTTTTTAACGGCATTATATATATTGCCAATGTGCAATATATATAATGCCGTTCAAAACTGTGCAATATATACCTGGCTGCCAAATCCCCAGAACTGTTACAGGGTGTGTCTTTTTGTAAAATGTGTAACTTTTTTATTATAATTTCTTTTTGTATCTTTAGTACTTTTTTATGCCTGCTTTAGGTAACATGAAGTTGTCTTTGGCTCTTTTTCTGCTGTAACAATGTAAATGTCCCCTCTGTGGGATTAATAAAAGGTATTCTGATTCTGATACATAAACACAATGAGAGAAATTAAGTTGTACTAAGAAAAGGAACAAAAAGTAAGTGTGAATGAACTCACTGCCATGGCGGTTGTTAACCCGGTAGAGGCCGATCCACGCCTCGGACACCGGCCGCTGGTGGGAGCCTCGGACCCGGGCAGACCTCGCTCCCACACTGCGGACGGAAGAGTGCCTATTCCCGGGCAGCCGATCGGAAAAAGTGCGGTGGGGTGTGCGGCCTGTCTCCTCTCCTGACGGATGCTCAGCCACCACGGCGGGCTCCGGGCTTATATCCCCGTCCTCCTCGGGTTTCCCGTCGCTGTGGTGGTCCTCCGCCGGGCTCACACCGGAGGACGGGGTGCTGCTGTGGAGGAGGTCTGCGGGGCTTCTGTCCGCGCTGGCCCCCCCATGCTGGTCCGAGTCGCTGCCCTCCTCCGACCGGCTCCGGTTGGCCTCCGTTTCCTCGAAGCTCCCAGAGAAGTCGACCATGAGACTGGTGGGCCTGGTGCAGCGGGGTCGTCGGTAGGAATCCCGCTTCGTGCCATCTTTCCCAAACGCAGGGGGAACCGGGTCTTCCTGGAGGCGACTTGCTCTCGTCCCCATCTCTCCTCAGCGAGCTAATTCAGCTGCGGCTAGCCGAGCTGCTTCCTCAAAGCGAACCACCACCGAACAAGATGGGGGGGGCGAGTTAACCTCGAAACGACCCTTAAACTGACAGATATTCGTCTTGGGATTTTAAATAATAATAACAACTGCCTGGCAACTGAATCAACAAAGATGATAGATGTAGTTCTGTGTTCCTTCTCTCGCCTGAGTTTGTCCTCTCCACATTTTCCTTTCTTTTTTGACGTGCCCCGTTCTCTCGCTGCTGCAGCGGAAATAGAGAGTTCTCGCTTCCTCCTTTGCGCACTACACACACAGTTACGGTAGCGTCATCATGTCACCCAAATATTATCTTATCTAACAATAAAACACGTTTTAAATGTTTATGTTTTCAATGTGGTATAGATTTATAGTAAGTGTGTTTTTTCCCAGAGCAATCCCGTATTTATAGGTCTTTATATTCAATAATTTGAGGGTAGGCAGTGGGCACCCATACGTGCGCTATTACGGTAAAAAATAAAAAAAGGTACACAATAGTTTCGTCCAATCAGCGCTCTCAATTATATTATATATTTGGCATAGGCTATGTGTTCATTTTCTTTGTACAAATTAATTCTTCTCATTGTTTTTATGTACGCACCATTTAAACCAAAGCAAATTATTTGTTTTTTGTACTTCGCACGTTCGCTTCTTCCTGTGCGCTGTAGACAAGACATTACGGTAGTGTCATCATGTCACTTAAACATTATCTTACCTCATAATTAAAAATGTTTAGTTATTAATATTCTGATATTTGATTTTATTTATAGTAAGTGGTATTTTTTCCAGAGCAATCCCGTCTTCATGCGTTTTTTTATTCCATTATTTGAGGGTAGGCATTGATACAGGCGTTATTACGGTAAAGAAATTCGACCAATCAGCGCTCTCAATACAACTACGTCTCAGAGGCAGCTGCTCGGATGTGATCATGTCCAGTAAACCAGTCATTTAAGCTTTCTATGCTTCAGAAATTCACTGTCAGCTTACAGTAATATTAAACGGTGACAGTATACACAAGAAGATACGTTTGTCTGGGGAGTTGACATTCAGTTTTTCCCGGTGAGTTTCTGCTTTAAGTCTGGGTGTGTTTACGCTTACCACCACGCCTATTAAATCTCTTCCTGTATACAAAAAAGTAGGCCTGTAGGAACAATGTTGACTAATAATGTTATGTATTGCACTTAAAAGCATTGGCTGTCTGGATATTGCAGTAGCGATATGGTTTTCTTTCTGATAGTTACATGCCTGGTTTCTACGCAGTTTAAGTGTCTTTATACTTTTTATGAATATATTTACAACAGTACTTTACTAACTTAGCTCTTGAACAACCTGAAACTTCTTGGTATTTATGTTTTATTTATACATGCCCATGGCCATGGAGTCTTATGAAACTCTTGGGCTTTCTGCTGATTGTTTCCAGACTTTGTCCCCTTTTCTTTATCAATGCATTCAGTGGCACAACACACCCTAAACTGCAGTAGTACAAACCTTGTTCAAACAGTGGAAGGAATGCTGCTGAGTTGCTTCTTTCAGGACTTAATGTACTGTAGGATTGGGAGGGTTTGTGTTTGTAACAGCCTTTGACCCTCTGATTGATTTCTTTGCAGGTATGAAGGGGCTGACTTTGCATCAGACAAATGTCGCCCAAGGAGAGCAGCAGCAGGCCACATGTGGGCAGAGTTTGTCCTCCAACTACGCTCCTCCAAATCTGGAGAATAAGCTACTGGCCTCCACACTGATGCCCAAACCTTCCTCTCTCCAGTCCTCCTTCCTGTCTTCCACTTCCTCCTCCCTTCTCTCCCCCTCTTCCTTCTCGCCTTCCTTCACCTCTCCTCTCCTCAGCACCGAGAACAAGCTCCTTACTGGCCATTCGTTCGGCCTCTCTTTCCCCCTCACCTCCTCTACATCTCTCCGTAATGACTCTCTGCTCTCAAAATCCCTGGCAAGCAGCGCTCTGCCTAAATGCTTTGCTCCTTCATTCCTCCCTCCTCCTCTGGGTGGAGAACCGAGCAGGGAGGATGGAGGTGATGAAGCCACGGAGGAAATATCGGAAGTGACGCAGTCCTCTTCGGAAGACTCAAGTGTGGTACATGAGATATTCTTCATTTATTTTACTTCTGTGTTTCATTAGTCTTAGCATAAAATGAAAGTACCTTGTATGCTCGTTGACAACATTGTTGATGCATCCCATTGAGCGGTATTCTTGTTTTGACATGTGTCTCCACATCTGCAGTATTCTGAGGAAGACAATGTTTTGTCTGAAGAACAAGAGGTAGAAGATGATGGGACAGCCATGGAAATACCTGTTCTTGGAATAGGGTTGGACAGCCAGGAGCTTGAACAAACTCTGGTCATCAAACAGGAGAAATTTGCTGAGATTGATAGAGCAAAGGAACATATTGAAGAGGAGCTGAAAGATAACAAGGTAGGAGGACATCATATAAATGTTGCACATAGCATACCTGTGTGCTTATTTGATATGTTTATCTATGTGACTTTAACTCTGCAGAGAGATATTTCATTGTCTTTCTATCCGTTCCTCAGTATCTCCTGCTGAACCTGGTGTGTTGCTCGCTGCTGAATAAGAGCAAGGCTCCGGGTCAGAAGGACTGGGACTCAGAGGAGAGCGTCTGGACCAAGATCAAAAACCTGGCCAAGGACATTTCTGACTCTGACCCCCAGTTTCTTCTCAAGGTGTGAATGCATGTCTGTCTGTGTGGGTGTGTGCAGGGTGTAGCGGCCAAAATCATATAGAACTAAAACAGATAATTAACTTAAAATAATCCAGCCGCTGAGGCACTAGTTAGCGGATTTTACGCAGGGCAATGATCATCCAAGTCCAGACAAGAACCTCCATTTGTGCATTTTATTCCATTAACAAAGTACAATGAACAGGTTTCCTATATCTTTCTTCCTTAAGCCTTTCCTATGGCTTTCCTTTGTGTATGTACTGTATCCCAAGGCATCTTTATTTCTTTATTTGGTTATCATGGTAACAAATCAAGGAAATCAACCCAGAATAACACGCAAGAAATGTTTAGAAATGCAACACTTTATAGAAATAGAAGAAGATTTTGTTCATGCTTTGATTTTTATTGGGTATTTACATTTGGAGTGATCAATATGACAGTAAGAAAAATGCAACACGACTTAAGAACAAAATATCACGGGCTACTCTGAAATATGTATGTACTTTTTGATTTAAAGTTATTTCATATTCAAACCGTTGAGATACTGGTTCAGTATCTTGTTCTTTCAAGTGATTCACTTTTTCCCAAAAGCTGTCAAAAAAGTTAGATAAACGTTTGGGACAATATGCCATCAACAATTTCAAATCCTTGCTTTTTACCTGGTGGAAAACACAAACACAAGTTTTAAACACATTTCTTTGGTTGGTGAGGCTTTGTTGCTGTCTGCCAGCCTTATCTTTTCAATCAGTATCTCCTTGTAAAACCTCCTCGATGTGTTCAAAGTACACCACAGCACAGCAGCTTGAATGGAACATCCCATAATGTATTTTATGGTTAACCAACATCATTTCCAATATGTGTTTTTTTAGATTAGTGCAACAGAATACATTAACCTCTACATTACCACAGATCCTTTAACGTAGTTATTAATGGTTGTCATAGTTGGGTTTTTAACTCTTGCTTTTGATCCTGAGTTAATTAAATGTACGTAAATGTTCTCGTTGTAATTATTTTTTTGTTTACATATTTTTCTACATGTTATACTATTTTTTAATAGCATTAAAAATAGTAGAATATTTGTTCCTTTTCTTTGTACAACTTTATTTCTCTCATTGTGTTTATGTACGCACCATTTACAACAAAGCAAATTATTTGTGTGTAAACCCTATTTGATTCTGATCAGATTTAAAAAAAATCTATTCAACATTTTAATTTGTAACACGATATTATCACTATGTGCCATATTTGTTGTATTATCTTCCTTAAAACAGGCCAGTGAAAGTAATTCCAAGACAGACAGCACACAATATGACGGTAAAGGGCTATAATTCTTCCCAATAGTCAAGTATAATGTGGTGTTCTTGCTTTTATCATTCAGGTGGCAGTCTACACCCGTCAGGAGTTGAACATCCGCATCACAGCGAACTTCTTATTGGCTCTGGCCGCCAATCAGCCCTCCACCAAGCCTCATGTCCGCAGATACTTCTGTGCTGCCGTACAGCTGCCCTCTGATTGGCTGGAAGTAGTCAGGATCTACAGTACAGTAAGTCTTAGTGACTGTTTACTGTTTGGTGGGATCTGGATGTGTCAGTTCTGTGAAATCTCACCACCATGTTTGTCCGTCTCCAGTGCTTCAGCCACTCCCTGCCGATGTGCCTGAAGAAGGGGATGGCTGACAAGTTCAAGCAGTTCAACGAGTATCAGCTGGCCAAATACAACACCCGCAAACACCGCTGTAAACACAACCGCAAGAAGAAGAACGTTAAGGTACAGAAGTATTCATTCTGGTCTGTTTTCATTCAGTTCAATATGAAAACTAAGGTTTAACCAAACTAAACTCAACTTATGTCAGTATAATTGTGTCTCTGCTTTCACTGTGGTAAAAAACAAAGCAGGACACCCTCACACTTTTTACCACCTCACACCTTATGCATATTTATTGTTGTTGTATAAAACAGTTTTATTTTAACTTCTCTATGTTTATATAAGTTATTTAAATGTATTTTGTTCTAAAATGGAGCAGCTGATACATAATCCAATTTCCCCCTAGGAATAAATACAGTATTACTCATTTAGAATCTCCTTCTAAAAAAAGATTGAAACTTCATGTGGTTTTCTATTATAGTGCAATGGACTAATTTCTCTTAATTAACACTCAGTGCCTTAAATATCCTCTTCATCAATCCATGGTTTGTTCTACGTATCTTTGATTTCCAGAAACCGACTACTCAGCAGATGAAAAAGTGGGCGAACTTGCTCAGAGCAGATACTTCCCTGCTGGAGAAGATTGTAAGTCAATGTTCAGTACTTTTCTATTGTGCCACTAGTGTGTTGGATGTTTTACACTTGTGAGTTACTTAAGTGTCTTCTTCAAGGAATACTTCACCCACAAACTGACCATTTGTAAACCAATTACACATATTTCTTGAAGAAAAACAAGATTACAAAACAAGAGTACAAAACCAGACTACAAAAATTGAGAAAAGTCGTGATGAATTGAACTAAAGGAAGGTTGCGTTTAACAACAGCAAAACATATATTAAAAAAAACACATTTGTCGTATGCTCATTACTTCTTAAACACATGCATTTGCTCTTGAACCTTACTATTTTAAACAATTTTGCATAACGCGCTTGAACAGACACGCTACTCATCTGTGGGAATACATATTCAAAAGTATGTTTTTTTCTAAAATTGAGGAATAGTGAGCATATCTTTTAGTAAATGAGACTTGGATCATACAGTACACGTTGTGTTAAGTTTGTAAACTGATGTTTTGATATAGTTTTCTTTTGTTTAACATGCCCCCCATTTACTTAAATTGATCAAGACTTTTTCATTGTTAATTGATCGTGTATTCACTGTGGAGTCATGATTTAAAAAAATGTTTTTCTTTAAGCATTCAATAATCTTTTCCTATGAGAAGCATTTCTTTAAGTCATTTTAGAAGTGGGGGTTATCTTGATGTAGGTATTTTCAGTTCACATACTTTGCTGCAGATATCGGTTGAGTAGAGATTGTTCAATTAAAACTTTTTATAAAATGATTTATTCTAAACATCAAGACCCATCTTCTTAGTGTTTTAGGGCGAACCTTACCACATGGGTAACTCTGTTTTATCCTTGTTTGTGTGTGCGCAGTTGAATGTAAAGGACGGCAAAGCGGTGGTGGATAAAAAGCAGAGTGAGTTCAGTATAAAGAAGATGATCAAGAAGCTTCACATTAAGGAACCGGCTGAATATGTTATGGCCATTCTGGGGAAAAAGTAAGACACACAAACACATACACACTGATGACTCACATAGTTACTCCTACATTAGTATCATTCATTACATTTGTTAAAACCCATTGTAAAATACTTATTAGCAGACACTTAAAGTGTACAGTATTATGAAAAATGTGTATATAAAGGTATATTTGAAATCCTACAGTATCATATAAATGCGCAATAGAGGGGTTAAATGAGGAGGGGAGAAAAAGGGGGAATGGGTAAGATTTTGTCTTAGGCCTTTTCTTGTAAAAACTTGTCCTGCTTTCACTTTAAAAGGTGATGTGGTTGTGTCGGTTTCAGGTATCCTGCGGATGCCAATATATTCAACCGCAGTGGAATAAAGGGCTCGTGGGACAGGGAGAAAGCCGGGAAGCGAATGAAGCTCAAAGAGCCGGAGACGTGGGAACGGCTGCTCAGCCGGGAGGGGAACAAGGCCGCCACCTGGGAGAAACTCATAGGTACTCACACACACACACACACACACACACACACACACACACACACACACCACACACACACACACACACACACACACACACACACACACACACACACACACACACACACACACACACACACACACACACACACACACACACACAACACACACACACACACACACACACACCCACACACACACACACACACACACACACACACACACACACACACACACACACACACACACACACACACACACACACACACACACACACACACACACACACCACACACACACACACACACACACACACACACACACACACACACACACACACACACACACACACACACACACACACATTCTGTTTTTATCTTACCTTACTCCATTTAAATGTATATAGTTAAATTCCTCATTTGTCTTGCACTGTTGTGTCCCTTACACAATTACATTTTATACATTTGTATTTCTCAATTATATGATAGGTAGCATTGTAGTAGTAGTAGTAGTAGTGTGTGACTTAATATTTTCTTTGCCAAAACTACACTGTAGCTATCTTGCATGTGTCTATAAAGCCCTTGAATGTAACTGGGTTTGAATATAATTAAATGAGAATTTAAAGCTGTATCTATGCATTTGAAACACACACATATATGCATACAGCACAGATATATATTATCCAACATGTCTATCATCACACTGATGAATAATGTCTCTACTGTGCAGACAATAAGTCTGTTCCCTTCATGGCCATGCTGAGGAACCTGAGGAACATGATCACAGCAGGCATCAGTGAGTCTCATCACAAGAAGATCCTCAGCAGACTGACCAATAAGGTGAGATCCAACAACATGATCAAAATCACTTAGTAAAAGGTCAAAGAAAATGGTGTTATTCAAACTGATGACTAGTTTTAGGTAGTTTTTGTGTTTTTCAGTTGCTTGTTATGTTTCTTTTGTAATTATATTTGAGTTGTCTCAGCAACCGTTATGTTTCCAATGTGTTTACAGAAAGCAGTCATTCAGAGCCGTCAGTTTCCCATCAGATTCCTCGCTGCGTACAAAGTCATCATGGAGATGAATTCTTTGGGTGAGATACATGTACTCAAGTCTTTACTGAAAGTCATTTTTGTACTACTGCTTTTTTATGGCAACATTTTTAAGACATGGCACCACATTCCACCTTACACACTACAGGAAAACCACAACTTTAATGAAGTTTAGCTCTGACATGCTGCAACACATACAGTACAGAACTTTCACTTATTCCTCTTTGCCTCTCTTTCCTCTACCCAAAGCATCAGAGAAAGCAATCCCACCCGTTAAAGAGATCCTGAAGGGCATCCTGAAAAAGATTCCCAAGAGCAAACGCTTTGAGAGTCAGGACTGGGACACGACTCCGAAGAGCCGGCTGAGGGTGACGCTTGGAGTGCCGTTTATCTATCGACTATACAAAATGAAGAAGGAGCAGCTCCTGAAGGCCAAGTAAGGAAATGTCTTTACGTTTTTCTACGATGATTTCCTAATGTATTAAATGTTATATTTAAACGTATAATTGTTTCTGTGGCTGATACCAACACTAGGAAAGATATTTCAGTACTAGTCAGCAGCATTTAAACATTTTAAAGGAAATTAAAAGTGCACATTTGTTAAAAGAATGTAAGGGAGTACTAAGAAAAACAAAATAATTATAATTCCTGTGTAAAATGCAAAATCAAACCTTTATAGTAGTCAATAATTCAATTATATTTGGTCAGAGTTTAGGTTATTGATTCCTCTCTGATAATCAATCAAGTCAAAAAACAACCTTTTTAAAAGAAAGTGTGCACAGTTTCTTGCTGAGATTGAACATGTGTTTCTTACATCAGTTAACAAAGACATCAAAGACAATTTGAGGTCTGCGTGCATTAAAAGCAAAAGTATATCCAGTTTTATATGAAAGCTCTCTCTGTGTCTGTGCATCCAGTCAGAGTCGGGTAACTCTGGCTCTGTTGGACCGGTACCGTAAAGCTCTGGAAACGGCGGTCCAGATCTCCTGTCGTTTCAACGTGCCTCCGCTGCCCGGACGGACCCTCATCCTCCTGTCCTGTGACATACCGGAAGATCGTGAATGGCATGAGAAACCGGACTTCTGCCTCCCAGAGGAAGAAGAAGAAGAGGAGAAGGAGGAAGAAGAAGAGGAAAAGGAGGAGGAAGAAGAAGAGGAAGAACAAAGGCACAGAAGGAGAAGGAGGGAGAAACCTCCGGTTGACAAACTGACTGCTTCTGTGAGTTTTCTTCTGATTAGCAGTAACACGTATACTGACATTATGCATTACATGAATGCGTATTATGCAAACAATATCTTGTTTTTCATTTATTTTATTTAAGTTTTGCCAGTTAGAATCGGAGGAGGAAACCCACAACCCTCAGAATATTTTGCACATTTGTACAGAAGCTACCTCTCTTAATATATTCACAGCTTTCCACTTTTCATAAGAATACTGTACACATTTTTATTGTATTATTCTGAGTATTTTTCCATAGTATACTGTACATAGTTTTTTGGTATATCTATATTTAATGTAAATAATGGTCCAGATGTTAATGTTATAATAGTTTTTTTTAAATATTATATATCATTTTTTTGTGTTTTTCTTACAATATATCTTCTTAAACTGTGTTTATGTATGCACCATATTCCTTGTATTTGTAAACCTACTTGGCAGTAAACCTGTATCTGTTTCTGATTTCTGAAATGTATATTTAAAAACCCTCCCGTAGTGAATTCACTTGTTTTTTTATTATCAATCTCTTCCCTTTTTTGCTCTCAGGTTATGGAGACGGCAACTTTGCTCTCTCTGATGATCGGCAGCAGTGCTGAGCACAGTCAGATCACTCTGGTTAGTCATTATGGCTTCAAGGAAGTCGAGCTGAAGTCCGATGTTCTTCTGGATAATGTCAGGAGTGTGATAAAGCAAAGAAAGGTGAGGACTTTTTCTCTATTGCATCATTCTTAGGTGTGATGTGAATAAGTTAAACAAAGGAAATAACTATACAGTGCTACATACAACTGAAATATATCCTTTTAAAATAAAGATGAGCTGTGTTGTGGAGGAAGTTTTTATTCATTGTAATGTGCCTTTAATAATGATTACTTCTCTTTAACAGGCATTAATAGATATGCCATATGAAGAAAAGGAGACATATACCATCAGCAAAATGATTCTCAAAAACAATAAGGTTAGTGGATATGTAAATAATATGTATTAACATGTTGTATGTACATAAAACCAAACTTTTAGAAGTTGTTGTGGTGTTGCAAATACACAGTACTGTCTTCATAGTAGATGCATACATGTGCTTTTAAAAATGTACAGAGCTGCATGTCCTAAAGTCTGAAAATGCTTGCACTGTGGCTCTGCAGCTTAATGATACTTGCTGAGCCATTACCTGCGTTAAGGCAGTTTGGATCAAAAGTGAAAGAACCCTGGCTTTTTTGTGATCCTGGATCTCCCATGCTTTTTCTATCTCAGGTGGACAACATCATAGTGCTGTGTGACAGCTGGATGAGTACGGATTTAAAGTGGGCCATCGAAAGCTACAGGAACGAAATAAACAACAAAGCTCTCATTGTGGAAATCTTATTGACAGAGCGGTAATACTCGACTTTCCTGCAGTAGCTGCTAGTACTCATATATCTCACATACAGTATTGTGAAGCTGTAGTTGCATTCACAACAATCACAGTTGGACCTTTAACGTGTACCAATTCCATTTTATAACAACATTCTTCAGCATAAGGTCATCCTGCATATATGTTTGTGTGCTTCTTTTTTTATATCTTGTATTTTCCACTTGCAGAGAGTCAGAGTTCAGCCCTGAAAGAAACTATGTGAAGCTGGCAGGCTTCAGTGAACAAATACTGAGGTAAAATCTCTTGTAGCCCTTTTCTATTCACAAAAACAATTCAATAACTCTTGACTGTATGAATGTTAGAAGGCAAACTCTTGGCTTTCTGGTTATAACGGTAAAAACTATTTTACCAAAGTTGAGAGAAGATCAGCAGTCAGGGTAATTTAGGAATGGCTCACTATTTTAAGGCAACTAAAAACCACTTACCAGTAGGCTACCTCAAAGCAAAAACTGAAATGTTAAAAATGGTCTGGCACGTAATCCAGAGTAAAACGACAAAGTGTAATTTTTCCCATCATTTTGTAAGATTTGTGAAACAAGAAACAGTTATTAATGAGCTTTAAAAGTTCTGAAAGGTAGACTTATTTGAAACGGAGCAACGCTGGTTCCCTCCATCTTCAGTCTTTATGCTAAGCTAAGCTAACTAGCTGCTGGCTGTAGCTTTATCCTACCAACCTGAACGTGTTATTGCAGTTCTAATAAATCTCTCCCCAAAAAGACAATAACACTTTATGTTTAACTTCTTTTAACCTATTATTGATCGTTATGTTTAACTTTCTTTAACAACCAGGTTTGTGGCAGAACGAGGATCATCCAGGCTGCTGGAACATGTGGAGCATTTAGACAAAGTGTACAACGTCCCACCACCAGAGGGAGCTAAAGGCCCTCAGATCGCAGACAACGTCGTCCAAATACCAGCCAGCCCCAAGTCAAGGTCAATGTTCTCATTTGGGTCAAAAAGAAAATATAACCAGTTTTATATTTAACATTGAAGGCCAGTAGACATTGCCCTTTCCTGCCTTTTTCCTCACTAGTTTTACTACTTCCTCTGTCATCTTTAAAATTGGAGCAGCAACACTATCTATACTTATATGTAACCTACATGCATGTCCCATTTTATGTTTGCCGCACCAGAAATCTAAAGGGGTTTTCTCATTCCCTATTAAGTGTCTTTAAATGCGTAGAAGCAAATTTGGCAAAGAACCAAATCTGAGCAATAACGTTCATCAATATATTATAGATCTCAGATATATACAAAACATGTCTCTGAAGTGTTTTGCTCCAAACACCAAACAGATCATTGCAGCATCCCATAATCCCCTCTGTTTCAGCCCTGTTTCCAAAGTGCTGATTCTCTGTCTGTTACTTTAGATGAAAATAAGGAGCCCCTCCCCACGCCCCTCTGAGAGATATTTGGTTAAAAAGAACACTGGTGTTCTAGGAGGAGATCCAGGTGATAAGGTGGGGGGGGGGGGGGGTTACCTTGGTTGGTGATTGGCTAATGGTTACACAAGCCAAAAAAATCGTGATGACATCATAAAGTGGCCAAAATCTGATCAGCTCATTTTCAGACAGGTTTTTATATAAATGGATCAGGACAAAAAGAGAGAGAATCTTTTTTGCTGAAACTTTCAGAATCTTTTTACACAGAGGGGACACATGTTTATGTATAAAAGACATGAAAACGTGGATTTTTCATAATAGGTGACCTTCAAAGTTATTTTCTAATTTCCTATGAATCTTCTTTTCGCAGGTGGCGAGGTGTGCGTGTGTTTATCTCCTCCACCTTCAGAGACATGCACACCGAGCGCGACATCTTGGTGCGCAGCGTGTTCCCGGAGCTGCGGCGGCGCGCGGCGTCACACTGCCTCTACCTGCAGGAGGTGGAGCTGCGCTGGGGGGTGACGGAGGAGGAGTCGGACCGCGCCGCCCAGCTGTGCCTGTCGGAGGTCTGTCGCTGCCAGATGATGGTAGCTATTCTGGGGGAGAGGTACGGCCTGGTGCCCCCAAAACCCGTCCTCCCCGACCTGCCGCAGCACCGCTGGGTAAGACTTGTGATATGACATGGAGATAAATAATTAGTATGTGGAGATAGTAGTACAGACTGAGCTCGGTATGTTTATTTAAATGAATTACTGATGCTTCATTCAGGAAGGTGCATTTTTTCCCGAGAAAATTCCTCATACTGCTTCATTTACCAGCGAGCCTTGAGTTTATTTATTTATGGGTTAAAACAGCTTTAAATTCAATTCTTCACATCTTTTAAATAAAATAGAATAAGTTAAGATCAATATAAGTCATTAAAGTTAAACATAGGGAATAAGATAAACAATTGAGACTGGATGAAGAAATATTAACTACTGTAATCCCAATCTTGATGGCGTTTAAAATAAAGTGTGTTGTGGAACCTGCAGCATCAATTTGTCCAATAAATATAAATACATTTCTTCAGAATCTAGATTATTTAAAAGTGAAATGTCCGCTACTACCATTATTTAATTGTATATTTGTGATTTTGTGATATAGGGTATGACAAATCTGTAATAACAAAAAGCCTGATTTGTTTCTCTGTGTGCAGCTGGCGTCGGCCCCGGCAGATCTGTCCATCACGGAGATGGAGATCCGTCAGTTCGAGGCTCTTTACCCCGACACAGCCCAGCAGAGGATGATGTGCTACTTCAGAGATCCAAACATCAACAAGTAAACCATCACAATCTGTCTAAACACTTGATGACCTCAGAGATGAATCTGCAGTGACGCAACAACAGTACAATTACTATTTCATGTTTGATCTTAGCATTTTTTTGACTATTTTTCATGGCTTTATACCATAAATCAGGCCTTTGTTTCAGCTAGTGGTTGTCTTTGGAGGCAGACAGAATTGCCTAGTGAAAAATGGCTTGTTTTAAACGATTATTATGTCATTATATTTGATAGCCAATACATTGTACAATACACTTTCACTTCATAATGACAGATTAAAGCGAGAAAGTTGTTTATTGCCACTCAAAATGCGGCCATTTAAATTACTTTGGGACCCCTTCCAATTCCAAAAAACCTGAATGAATAGGATGCTTTTGTAAAATATTTGTGAACATATTCAATGCTGTTATACTACACATTCAAGTTATTATGTTTGAATTTACTCTTGGTTGTTTCTCAGATCAGTTCCAGTGGCTTGGAGGTCTGACTTTGTCACTGAATCAAAGGAGGCTGAGTCTAAAATGGCCTCTCTGAAGAAAAGGATCCGGCAGAGTGAAGTCAAGGTCACTGAAAAGTGAGTCATCTCTCTTATACAATAATAATTAAATATACTTTTAGAATACCACTCATCAAGGGCTTTTGTTTTTTAAACTGTTTTTATAACGACTGTGACTTTTCAGTAAAAAGTTGGCATTTTGAAATTCTGAAATGAAACCACTAAAACATCATTTTAACTGTCTTACAATATTCTATTGTTTTTCTGTCATAGTTACTCATGTGAGTGGGGAGGCGTTGTGGATGGGAAACCATATCTGAAAAACCTGGAGGACTTTGGAAAGGCCTTGCTGGAAGATCTGTGGATGGCTATTGTCAAGCAGTTTGTGGAAGTTAGTCAAGAAAGAAGTTTAGTCAGTACTTCTACTTTTACCAGAGTATTTTTAAACATGAGTATCTGTACTTCTACTTGAGTAAAGGATGTGTGTACTTTTGCCATCTCTGGTTAAACTCCACATTATCCTCCATGTGTCAGGAGGATGAGGAGGCGGAGGCTTCGTTGGATGTGAAGGAGCAGGAAGTGCACCAGGGGGCGCTGCAGAGGCAGTTCTTCGGCCGGGCAAAGCTGCTGATGGCGGCCGGGGAGATGGTGGAGCAGAGCCAGACCAAAGGAGGGCTGTTGGTGGTGGAGGGGGGACCTGGAGAGGGAAAAACTGTCTTCATGGTAAACTTCCTAAAACAATTGTCAATCATATAAATCATGTATCATATGATAAAATAGTTTGTACTGAATTTTGTTTCAAATATTTGTATTGAGAAGAAGCATACACGTGTAGGCAATAGTAAAGACTTCTTTGGGGTGGAAATCATGCTTCCCTTTTTCAACATAGAAGACAAACATAACAGCCAACAAGAAATAATAAAGAAAAAACAAAGCATGACAGGAATACCATACTTAATGACATACATAGTGTTTGTACTGAATTTCAAAAATAAATATGATGGCTTGCTTGTTGTCCAAAATATCTTAACGTAGGAGAAACACTAAAATGCTTGATTATTATCACTCAGATAATTATTTTTTTGATATTTCTGCAACTAGCAATTATTTTCCAGCTCTTTTCTAGAATTTTCATAATTATAGTTTTCTTAAAAAAGTGAGAAAGATGACAAATCCGGAACTGTCGAAAAAAGTGAAAAAAAATGTAGAAAAAAATGCCTGCAATTATTTATCAGAATCTCAGATTACATCTAAAAATCCCCCAAAAAATCCTTCTGAAAGCCTAAGGTTACATTTCCATTAATTAAACCAGATTTTTTTTTGTATTCCTTACTTTGTAATAGCCAGAACCAGAGAATTTTCCACATTTCTGCCTGAAAAACTCAACATTATAAACAGATTACTGTGTGTAAATGATCTGCATGGTATAAAGTGTCCATATTAATTTGTCCTTACACAGGCCGCTCTTGCAGACAGCCTCAGGACTGGAGTCAACTCGAGGAAAAACTTCGCCTGTCATGTCATCTCCTACTCTACAGCTGCCAGCCAATCAGCACGCTCCGTGGAAAACCTGCTGCGCTGCCTGGTTCAGGGGTTGAGGAAGATGAAAGATACTGAGGAGGAATCGCCTCTTCCCCATTCTTACAGGTAGAAACATCTTCAATTGTCCCTCAAAAAGTCTACAGGTACGTCTGAACTTTTGGCACTTACAGCTACTGCCTTTCCTTTGTTTTCATCACAGAGATTTGCTGTCTGAATTTGCCTCGAATTTGAGTGACATGAAGAAGAAAAAGCCTCTGGTGCTGCTGGTTGACGGGGCCGATCTGGTCCAGGATGACAGAGGTCAGCTCAGCTCTGAGTGGATCCCACAGCAGCTGCCACAGGTCAGTCACATGGAGGGAAAACTGATGGAAAACATACTATTCTAGTGAACCTACACTAACACTTCCTGCACTAGTGAGGCTTTCCATCCATCCAAAAATACCTAGAGTTTTTTTTAATATATTCGGAGTCCGGTGCCCAACCTTCTCTAGGCTTTTGTTTGGGCATTCTTGATTTAAATCTTTTGAACTTTTCTATAGGTGCAGACAGCTTTGCAGTCTCATGCCCTCTTATGCACAGTACATTGTCATTTACATGCTAATTAAAAAAACAATGGGATTCATTATTATAAAAATATATTTAGGTACATTTCTGCAGGACATTTTCAAGAAAAAATGTAAGAGATAAAGATTTATCAGTTGATATTATCAATTCATCAATCTTTAAACCGTTATTTCACATGAATAGGCCTTAGTTTTGTCACAGTCCATCTTCAAGAAATCTATAGACAACATAACGTTTCTAATATGTTCATTCAATACCGTATGTTTGAATGAAAAATGAAACCATTATCTACACTTGTTGCTTTGTTTATGGTAGATTTTGTAGGTGTTTTTCTGTTGACATTATCTTGTCAGGGTGTTTGTTTGGTGGTGAGCCAAAACTGACGGAAAACATACTATTCTAGTGAATCTACACTAAGACTTCTTGCACTGAACTTGTTACGTTCCAATCCTTCTCTCTTTTGTTGTATTTTAATATCCACATCTGACAATACTAAATGTTAAGCTAGAAAAATACCTCCACCGTATTTTTAAATGCTCAACAAAACCATTATCTATACTTGCTTTGTTTATAGTAGAATTTGTGTTTGTCTGCTTCATTGAAACTCAGATTCTCTATTATCTTGTCAGGGTGTTTGTTTGGTGGTGAGCATCACAACCAAAGCAGCGCTGTTACAAACCCTGGCCAAGAAACGAGGCACAGTGCTGTTTTCCCTCGGCCAGCTCACCATGCCGGACCGCAAGGAGATAGTCCGGAAGGGACTGGACTCCTTCGGGAAGAAACTCAGCGACTCTGCTTTCAACAACCAGGTTTGTCTTATATTGCTGCCATTGATACTCAGAAGTTGGCCCCCCCTGTAATTCAAATCTAATGTAACATCTATTCTTCGTCTGCTCGTCCAGCTCCAGACGCTGATCTCGAAGAAGGGTGCAGTGAGTCCTCTCTACCTGCACCTGGCCTGTGAAGACTTGAGGAACTTTTCCTCCTTTGATAAGGTTTTGTTACTGGAAATTTGTATTTCCACATGTATATTTTCCACATGTATATATATTATCTATCTATCTATCTATCTATCTATCTATCTATCTATCTATCTATCTATCTATCTATCTATCTATCTATCTATCTATCTATCTATCTATCTATCTATCTATCTATCTATCTATCTATCTATCTATCTATCTATCTATCTATCTATCTATCTATCTATCTATCTATCTATCTATCTATCTTTATTCATTCACATCAAGTCAGAGTTGATGTTTTGCGATCCTTGAACATCTGTAGTAAACTGTACAGTTATCTTTCTATTAGTTGCTGACATATTTCAGTGTGGACTGAGCAGGACAATGTTTATATTTAATCCACTGTTACTGATTATGCATTCCTACAAGCAGATGTTTGCTAATGTTTTTACCCTTGACATGTTACCCTGATACCACTTGCTTTATCATACTGTATTTCCTCTCTGTGTGCTCAGTTGACGGAGGGCCTGCAGTACTTGCCTCAGTCTCTGGGCGCGTTGGTGCAGTACAGCCTGGACCGACTCTGCTCGCAGCACAGATGCATGCTGGGACTCCGCTGGGCCCTGGCTGCTCTGACTGTCAGTCCCACAGGTAAGATTAATCAAGTCGTTACATAATTTACATTATTGTTGATCTTTATTGGGTAAATGAATAGATATGTAGAGAAAATGAGATTATACCCAAATTGGTAATTTCATTTTTTGTCATTTGCTGCCTCTCTTCTTCATCAACAGGCCTGAGGGAGAGAGACTTCTACTCTTTACTGAACACATGCAACGACTTATCCTCACAAGACGGAAAGGTCACATGGCAGGAAGTACTGCATCTGTCCAGGAAGCCCAAAGGACGCGTTCCCATGGCGAATTTCACCCTTATAGTGCAGAGTGTACAAAGGTATGAATCCTATGAGCGCAAATACAAATGATTATCCGTCACAAAAATGTCCCCTAGTTGACTCTGATTGCCTTTGAAATTAGTCTCGTAAAGGCTGACACAATGATTACCTTTCCATTTTTCATTACACAAAGCCATAACAGTAAGTGAAGCAGGCTCATTATTTGACTTTAATATCTGGTTACTACAATTTGACGTAATGTAACAGTCTGTAGATTTATGGGTATGAAGGTTTCAAATTAAATAATCTTTTAGACGTAACACGTGTTCACAGCACTGCACATACAGAGAAATGAAAGCACTGCATGTGACCTATCCTCGTATAAGAAGCACTGAGGTGTGGGTAGAACTTTAGAAATCAATCCTAAAGGAGGAAGAGATGTTAAACCTGTTTGAATCTGTATCTGCAGTCTGATTGGTCCGTCTCACTGCTACGACACTGACGACCTGCTGGCTCTGACCAATCCGGAGGTGAGGAAGGCCTTCGAGGACTTTTTACTCCCAATAGACAAATACAAAACCAGAGCTCACCTCGTCCTGGCAGGTAAAGTACACACAGTCGGTTTTAATATTGCCAATATGTTCGGGTAACAGTAACACAGGGGGAAATGTGTTGTCTGGGGATGTAAAATGATTGAAAGAGAAGGATGAAAAGAATAGAAAAAGGTTAGAAAAGTGTCAAAAGAACTATAATTTGATGGGAAGACTAGTGGTAGAGGAATGTGAGAATTTGTAGGGGTATTGCCAAATATCTGGAACAAACTACCAGAAATCTGCAGGTCCGCTGCAACTCTGACTACTTTTAAATCCAGGCTGAAGACTTTCTTTTTGCCGCTGCTTTTAATTGAACTATTCACATCTTACACTGCACCGTAACTGTTATTCATGTATCTTTCTAATGTGTTTTATGCTCTTAATGTCTTTCATTTTTGTAAAGCACTTTGAATTGCCTTGTGTGCAAAAGTGCTATATAAATAAACTTGCTTTGCCTGAATACAGTATACTTATTAAAGGCTGTATCTTGTATTCACTCTTGTATCTCTGTGTCTCTGTGCAGCTCATCTGTGGGCCCTCGCCGACTCTCAGGGCTCAGACTCCTTCCTGCACTGTGAGGCCGACTCTGTCCTGCACCTGCCTGCCTGCCTGGTAAACCACTCGTAACATAAGTTAAATAAAGCATGAGAAATAAATAGGTCTTCTGAAATACAAAATACAAGCACTCTATATATGTCTTCACTATGAACTCTTATCAAAGTGTTTAAATTGAGATTTTATCAGAAATCCTGCACACTGATAATCTTTTTTTGTTCTTTTTACTGAGTGAGTGAGGGTTTCAACCTGGTCAGAAATCCTCCTGAGTTCCACAGTTACTCATATTTACTGTAGATTTAACTGGCTTTTATTTGGCTTTGGTCAGATTCAAAGTGACCAGCTGGAGGCTCTTCATTCCCTGCTCTCCAACTACTACTTCCTGTATGCTAACGTGCGCCACAGCCTCATGCACCACCTCCTGGAGACCTACAGCTTGTATGGTGAGCATGCTTCACAGTACTGTATGATGAATGTGATAACACCTAACTAAGCTCCTTTTTAGATGCGTCACCCTTCAATCCTTTTTTTTTTTTCACAATTCAAAGGTTTTATTGTCATATGCACAAAGCTACAGTGGAGAAATGGCAATGAAATTCTTCTGACCTGAGCTTCTCCAACAATGCAACATATAAAATACAAAATAAAAAGTAGTGCAGAAAGTCTATATACATGTAAATAGAATATGGGATATGTACAAGAACAGAATATGAAATTAAATAATGTAAACTAAGACTCAATTAAATACGGTTTATTGCAGTGATAACTATTTATATAAATTAGTATATTGCAAGATGACAACAGGAATGTTTATCGGGGCTCAGGTGTTTAGCAGTCTAGTGGTTATCCTTCAATTGTGTGAAATGTATCTGAAATAGTTGCATGGGCAGGTTTACTCAGCAAACCTCGCCTTATTAAAAGATAGCTTTACAAAAAATCCTAATGTCTGCATCCTGTGAAATATTTCCTTTCCTGCAGATGACAAGCACAAGTCTGCACCCTCATGTAAGTGCTGGCAAATACATTCATTTTAAAGGTCACCTATTATGCAAAATACACTTTTTCATGTCTCTTCTACATCAACATGTGTCCCCTCTTCTTCATGTCTCTTCTACATCAACATGTGTCCCCTCTGTGTAAAGAGATTCTGAAAGTTTCAGGAAAAAAGATTCTCTCTCTTTTTGTCCTGATCCATTTATATAAAAACCTGTCTGAAAACGAGCTGATTAGATTTTGGCCACTTTATGATGTCATAACGATTGTTTGTCTTGTGTAACCATTAGCCAATCACCAACCAAGGTAACCCCCCCCCCCCACCTTATCACCTGAATCTCCTCCTAGAGCACCATCGTGTTCTTTTTAACCAAATATCTCTCAGAGGGGCATGGGGAGGGGCTCCATATTTTCATCTAAAGTAACAGACAGAGAATCTGCACTTTTGAAACAGGGCTGAAACAGAGGGGATTATGGGATGCTGCAATGATCTGTTTGGTGTTTGGAGCCAAACACTTCGGAGACATGTTTGTATATATCTGAGACCTATAATATATTGATGAAAAACAGTATAATAGGGGACCTTTAAATTCCTGCCAGGTGTTATTTATGAGTTCTTCTTACAAGTTTCTCTTTGTGCTCTCAGTACACTATGAGGGTCGTCTGGAGGACTGCCGGAGTTTCCTGCAGCGTCAGGGCCGGCTCCTCTCCTCCTGGCCGGCTCTGTTCGTTCAGCAGGCCCTCAACGAGCCTTCATATAGCTCCGCTCACACCTGGGCACAAGGCCTGATGGGAAAAGGAGGAGCCCGGGTAGTTGAGTGGCAAAACAACGACCGTAAGATTCATCACGAGACCAGGTAAGCAGGTTGTATTAAAAAAAAAAAAAATTCAAAGTCAACTTTATTGTCAATCTTTCAGTTTGTGTTTACAGACAGAGAGATCGAAATACCGTAATCCCGAATACAAAAATACAATATATATAAAAATATGTATAAAATATGTATATCCTATATATACACAATCAACAGACACATTTATACATATGCACACATTAAGATAAAAGCACAACAATCAATATATACAAAATAACAGTCACTTCAATATCTTTGGGAATGTACATTAGTGCAAGATTGTCCATAGCAGCGTAAAAAGTGTCTGGTGCTGGATTTGAGTGTCTGAGTGTGTGTGGGGTGTTAAAGTCCAGTGGGCAAAGTGGTTAGAAAAAAGTGCTTTAGGATAGTTCCCTTAATTCAATATATGCCGGTGCGGTTTTTCGTAAATCTGTTAAATTCGACCGATTTAATTTTTTTTCATCTTCAGCTATCTTCTATTTTTTGACCTCAGTTTTTGATTAAATATTTATGTGTAGTAATGTGTTGATGGTCTCCTGTGTTTCTTCGCAGTGAGCTGGTGTCAACCTTCTTCTCTGAACCCACCTGTGTGGTGGTGAGCCCGGACGCAGAGCTGATGGTGGTTGGCACTGGAAAGGGAACGCTGCATTTCATCAACACTCAGACCGGACAGGTACAGACCCATTTTCCAGTAGAAAGGTTTTTTTTTTGCCTCCCTTTTAATGTGTCAATGTATTATCACGATGCCCGTTTTTGACTGGATGATTCGTATTTATTGTTTCGTATTGGCAAATGAGTAGAAAACCTAAAAGAAATTATTCATTTTCAGTTAACATTAAATATATTTAAATGGACACAGGAAATCAGAAAATCTGACTACATGTACACTATAGGTACCATGTGGAAAGGCAGAAGGTTAGTATCAGTATTTTATCCTGACATACTGTAGTCAGAGTGACACTCTCCTTGTTTCTTGTTAGTTTTACGCACATGCTAATATGTAAAAAGAAAAGAAAATAGACACTCCAGGAGAAATCTTGTTTGAATGTCTGACAAAAAATACTGTGCAGTTTTCATGCATCTTACTTTAACATCTAATGTGAACTCTCTCTCTTGGCTTTGAACAGGAAGTGAAATCGCTGGTGAGCAGCTGTGACGGCATCTCCAGCTGTGTCTTTTTATTGGACGGACGTCTTGCCACAACCTCCTTTGATGGACGAATAGAGATTTGGGACATCGGGAATGGCTGCAGGTGAGAAGAGAGTTTGAAGAAAATGACAACAAATCCAGGGTTTTTCTTATTTGGAACAGGCTGGTGATTCTTGAATAAACTGTTTCTTCTTCCTGCAGGACTGCTCTCATTGAGGGCCACACTAATGTGATAACAGCTAGTGACCTCACTGCAGACAGGAAGCACCTGGCCACTGTGTCTCTGGACTTCATGCTGAAAGTGAGTCTCAAGAACATCACGTTTAACACGTGTCATTAATTCTGCATTCCTAGAAAACCCATTTCCTGCAGCTAATGGGGATTTGAATATCTATAATGGCATTTAACGCAGTCACATTAAACTGTCAACTTTTATTAAATTGTACCTTTCACAAAAAAAACGATCAATGTTATCTATCCTTAAATATGTGATCAGAATCAGAAACAGGTTTATTACCAGGTAGGTTTACACGTGCGAGGAATTTGAATTAAAAATACAGGTAGAGAACTAGAAAAATATTTAAAACAATATAAAATATAACAGTATTTACATTGCAATGGAATAAAAATGAATAAAATATGGAAAAAAAAATGGCAGTAATAAAAAAAAGCAAACGGATATTGTTGTACATTGTGTGCATTAATGTGTAATAACTGATGTTTTTCTGATTTTGCAGGTGTGGTCCTCTACTAAAGGTAAAGAGGTGGCGGCCCTGCCCAGCTCCAGCCCTCTGAACTGTGTGACCTTTGACCCTGAAGGTCACCTGCTGGCGGCTGGGTGCTGGGATGGGAACGTGATAATGTGGAACTGGCTCCAGAATGAAACTCTCACAGTGAGTTATCAAGATATTTTTTTATGTTAGAAACAAAACAAACAATAATTATAATTATTACAAAGAGAAGCAAAATTAAAAGAACGTTCAAGGTATACAAAAATAAGTTCTCAAATAGTTTCTGTCATGTTCAAAAGGGGCAAGAATAATCTTAAAACCGTTTCTGGTCCTACCCCCTCTAGCGTACATTCTTCATGAAAATCATGGTTTAGGTCATTGTCAAGATATTCCTACAGGGAGCTTAAGTCAGTTTCATGCTCACTAATCCAGGTAGTCTGTTGGGGCTGAAGACAAGTACATTTCATTTTATAATGGAGCAACTGTTACAAAATCTAATTTCCCCTGAAAAAATTAAATATTGTGATTGGGATTATTTCTCTTCTTTGTATTCCCTCAGTCCCTGTGCGGTCACCAGAGCTCAGTGCGCAGCCTCTCCTTCTCCCCCTCCTCCTCCATGCTCTGCTCCGGCTCCATCTCTGGAGAGGTGCGGGTGTGGTCCGTGCCCACCTCCACCTGTGTGGGGTGTTTCCAGGCTCACAGTGGGGCCACGGAGGCCCTCACCTTCCTGGATGAAGGGAGCATGCTGCTGAGCGCCGGCTCCGATCACATGGTGAGGCTGCCCTACTAGAGACCGGAATAATAAACTCTTTCTATTTAAAGGTCACCTATTATGCAAAATACACTTTTTCATGTCTTTTATACATAAACATGTGTCCCCTCTGTGTAAAGAGACTCTGAAAGTTTCAGGAAAAAATATTTGCTCTCTTTTTGTCCTGATCCATTTATATAAAAACCTGTCTGAAAATGAGCTGATCAGATTTTGGCCACTTTATGATGTCATAATGATGTTTTGTCTTGTGTAACCATTAGCCAATCACCAACCAAGGTAACCCCCCCCCCCCCACCTTATCACCTGAATCTCCTCCTAGAGCACCATTGTGTTCTTTTTAACCACATATCTCTCAGAGGGGCGTGGGGAGGGGCTCCTTATTTTCATCTAAAGTAACAGACAGAGAATCAGCACTTTTGAAACAGGGCTGAAACAGAGAGGATTATGGGATGCTGCAATGATCTGTTTGGTGTTTGGAGCCAAACACTTCAGAGACATGTTTGTATATATCTGAGACCTGTAATATATTGATGAAAAACAGTATAATAGGGGACCTTCAAACAAAACACGTTGGAATGCTATTTTTCTGAATATGAAAACACACATATAATAATAATGCAGTCCCTTTTTTTAGGATATGGAGCACACTGTCACTATATTTAAAATAACAATAGCCTCTGTGTCTTCTTGTCCTTCTGTGAAACAGCTGCAGCTCTGGTCAGGAGGACTCGGGCGTTCAGTCGCTGCATTAAAAAGTGATAAAGTAAGCTCCCCTATTTGTCTTGTGTGCCACTTCATGCCATAGTCTGTGTGATTGAACAGTAAGGGCATAATTTAAAGAATGATTGCTGCCAATAAAAAATAAAAAAAGAGAAAAGGTTTATCTTTTTTTGACATACGTACATGCTTTATTTCCCCTCCCAATCGTGTTTCAGTGTGAGCAGGAGCCTCCTCTGAAGAAGATGAAGTCTGCTGCCTCTCAGCCGGCTGCTCTCTGTGTGGCTGTTAACGGGGACTTTGCTGCTGTGGGTTACCACGGAGACGGCATCAAACTCTTCAGTCTTGAGTCAGGTGTGTAAATGAGCAAGGAAGGAAAATAAATACTGAATTATAGTATTTTCTAGATTGAATCACTGTCAATCTGACTATTAAACCAGTTTGTCTATATATATATATATATATATATATATATATATATATATATATTACTTACTTATTTAATTACGTACTTACAGTCAGGGCTGGATGGCAGAGTACATATGGCCCAAATGCATAATACCATTTATTCTCTCTAATTACTTACTTACATACTTACTTACTTGATTACTTACTTACTCACTTACTTACTTATTAACTGACTTACTCACTTACTTCCTTACTAACTTACTAACATACTTACTTACTCACTAACTTACTTAATTACTTACTCACTTACTTAATTACTTACTTGATGACTTACTAACTTACTTACTAACTTACTTACTTACTAACTAACTAACTTACTTAATTACTAACTTACTTACTTACTTTCTTACTTACTTACTTACTTTCTTACTAACTTACTTACATACTTACTTACTCACTTACTTATTCACCAACTTACTTACTTATTTACTTAATTACTTACTTACTAACTTACTTACTTCCTTTCTTACTTACTTACTAACGTTCTTACTTACTTACTTACTCACTTACTAACTTACTTACTAACTTACTTACTTGATTTCTTACTTGCTTACTTACTTACTACCTTACTTACTTACTTGATTACTTACTTACTTACTTACTTACTTACTAACTTACTTACTAACTTACTTACTTACTTGCTTACTTGCTGAACTGGTCGACAAACAAACCATTCCTGTTTCTATCTGAATGTTAGGAGAGAGGATCTGGGACTCGGGGTCCCTGGATGTGTCGGTGCTGTGCCTGCTGTGGGTCGTTCTGGACTCTGAGCAGACCCAACTTGAGCTGCTGCTGTCGGGAGGAAGTGACAAACGTGTGAGGGTCTGGAAGAGAAAGCTGACAGAGGAGGGGCTGCTGGAAGGCCTGGAAATGGTGTCAATGTTTGGTGTAATGGGCGGCATCCTGGCATTCACACAGAACTCCACGAGCCTGGCCACATCCTCAGGTATATTGAAGTGACTGTTATTCTGTTATTTTGTATATATTGATTGTTGTGGTTTTATCTTAATGTGTGCATATGTATAAATGTGTCTTTGATTGTGTATATATAGGATATACATATTTTATATATATTTGTTATTGTATTCGGGATTGTGGGAAACGGTATTTCGATTTCTGTCTGTACACACAAACTGAAAAAGATTGACAATAAAGTTGACTTTGACTAATAATTTATGTTATAATGCTTTCTATAGATAGATACTCTATTTATATATTTTCTACTGTAGATATGTATTTATTAACATTTATTTTATTTTGTATAATATTCTGAACTGATTTACCGCTCTGCTTTCCTTCTAAAATTAGAAAGCTTTCCCATTGCTCTGTGGAAGTTGAGCAATCTGACCTTCGACTGGTCTGACTTAGAGCCTTATGAGGTCCTGAGGGGCCACATTGGGGGGGTCACCTGTCTGGCGTTCAGCCCTGATGGTGGACAGCTACTGTCCGGTGGAAAAGATCAGGTAAAATACTATGTTTGTGTTTAAGTGTTGTAACTAGGCCTGTACCAATAGATCAAAATGCATTCATTTGTTTGCTGAGCAGCCTCTTTTTATTTCTTCCATATCTTCCCATCTGATATTAATATAGTATTTCTACACATTCGCAGTTTCTAACATTATTATTTTTATTATTTATTGTATTTTGTCTTAATTATATTTGTTGAAAAAAGATAAACATTTCTAAAAAGGCAGTCAAGTTTGCTCTACCGAAAAGAGGCAGATCCCATATTATCGAAATATCTTAAGACGTTCATTAAAGAAAGTTGATTAGATTTACAAATAAATGTCAGGACATATTTGGTCAAATGTAGGATTTTGTCCTAAAATATAGAAATGCATTTGACAGAGTAATAGAGACACGTGTCGGGGTAACAGGTATAACTCAGTACTGTTTGTTTCAGGCTCTGATGGTGTGGGACGTGAGCTCGTCTCCTGCTGTCCTCTCTAAGTCGCTCCCTCACTCTCACAAAGACTGGATCACCGGCTGCGTTTGGACTCCAGACTGCGTGGTGAGTCTCCATTTAACCAACCTGAGTTACACGTCTACCCCCAAAAATACAGCTTTTACCTGAGAGTCATGTTTCTACAGTATACACAAAAAAGTACACACAATTAGGTATATTGATGCAATATATGCAAAATAATAGGATGTTTTTAGAAGAGCATTTAAATTATAGGAAACTGCAGTTCAAACTGAAATAAGTGATTAACTTGATCATGTGAATTTAAAACAGATCTAAATCCTCAACATAATTAATAAAGTACCTTCAATATATTCTCTTCAATATACACTTCCTTGTAGAAGACTTGATGTCACCTGTCGTATCTATTGAGTAGTGCTTGGTCTGTCCATAAAGTGCAGTATATTCTTTCAGATAAGCACTTCAAACGACGGGAGGCTTTGTTTATGGGATCTGCAGGCGGGCCAATGTCTCAGAGAAATCTCCTGGAAGAATCCTCTCACATCTGTCTGCTGTCTGGTGAGTCGGTTATACATTTCAGAGAAAAATACAGGATGTGTTGTGTCCTTCTCCCCTTTTTAAAAACCTTTAAGAATTTAAAAGTATGGATGGTTGTGTTGACATGTTGTTTATGTGTGCAGGGCCGGTATGTGATGGCTGGCTGTTCAGAGGGAGCACTACATGTGTGGAACTGGGAAACAAGTACAGAGATCTGCCACATTGCTGCACACAAGCAACGAATTCACCACTGCTCCCTCCTACCAAATACAGGTGAGGCTGCTGGGAAATGAGTACATGTAACCGGTGTCAATAAGCGGTGTCTGCGTTGTGTTGTTGATGGATGAGACCCGAGCCAGCATACAGTCGAGGCGATCTCCGTTTATTCACTGACAATCTGACAATATACAACAAATCAGTCGTTATATTATATTTCTTTTAATACCTGCTTTGTTTTTAAGACAAGAACAAAGAAATCAACCCAGAAGAAATGACTGTTTTGACTGCGTCTGATGATGGCACAGTGCAGCTATGGAAACCACTACAGGTCAGTCAAAATGAATGGGGAAGTGGGTTTTAAAGGGGTTTTCAAAATTAAATCAAACATTTGTCTCATATTATTAAATGTAATGTTTGTCCTGTTCATGCTAATAGTTTTTTTCAAAACATTTCTTGGGTTTATTTTAGATTTATAGCAAAAGTGACTTTTCTTCCTGTTGTGAGCATAATGAAAGAGTGAATAATGTGTGTTTTTTGTGTGACACTGTGTGTTGTTTGTGTGTCCTCTCTCACATGTTGTGTCTTTGTTACAGGTGGAGCACATCAGCACCTTCCAGGGTCACAGCGGTGCGATATGTGGAGTTGTTCCCAAAGAAGGTCACCCAGAATTCCTCACTGTTTCCGAAGACTGCTCATTGAGATGCTGGAAGTGGACAACAGGTAATACTTAATCAGATCAGCGTGACTTTTTATTGTGTCTTTTAAAAAAAAAGTTTTTCAAGTTAAAGATCACATATCAAGCTCATTTTCATGGTTATATTTTATAAATACTGTGACATGTTTCCATGCTTTAATGTTCAAAAAACTGCAGCAACTTCTTTTCACCCTCTGTCTGAAACCAGAGCGCAGTCTGCTCTGATTGGTTAGCTTCCCGGCTCTGTTGTGATTGGTCAACGTCTTAGAGATGTCTCGCGCCTTAGCCTATCACGTCCAATATGTTGGAGCACTAAACCTTAGGAAAACTTCCTAAAGCGTAATGTGGCCAAAAAGAGCGAATAGATCTCTGTAGGAATGAATATATTGAGTGTGTGCGTTTGACCTTCATTTTGAAATCTCCCAAACTGTGTCTCCAGAGAGTCCTCCCTGTCAGCAAGGTCCAGTCTCCGCTGTGTGCTTCTCTCAGAGAGGGGATTTGATTTTTGCTGGTTATGAAACCGGTTTTCTGGAAGTATGGCAGCACAACACTGTGGTGGGCCACAAGCAGGTGAACACATACACAAGAACAAAGGATGTAAGCTGACCGCCTGTTTGTTTGTGTGCCTGTGTTAATCACACTGTGTGTCTGTTTGCATGCATCAGACTTCAGACAGCCCCATCAAAGCGATCTGCTTCATGCCTGATGGACAGTTTGCTGTCAGCTACTTAAAGCCAGCTGTAGACGTGTGGAAGCTGGTGTGGAACCAACAGCACAGCACTGCAAGGTAACAAACATAAGAACAGTCCTACTATCAAGCTACTATACAGGAAATATGTTTAACTTATTTGAATCCGAATTTATTAACAAATTCCCCGAAGAAGTGTACAAAGATATAGGTGTTAAACGTATTTTGAAAATTAAATATGCCAATATTTTTGACCAAATATCTTGATATTGCAAAGATATTCTATACTTGCATAAAAAAGTAGTATTTGTATACCTTGCTAGGCTTTGTATACCTATGTAGTTTTATGTTTTGAGAGCATTTCATCAAACCTAAATCCTGTATGCTTATTTGATCTGAATTTCTTTTTTAAATCACTGACCGAACCTAATTTAGTTTGGCTTCATGCAATTTTGAAAGATTTCTTCCATATATGTTTTGTGTTGTCTGTGTTGATACAGCAGAATAGAAGTGGAAAAAAACAGTAGATGAAAGTGTGAATAAGTCAGTCAAATTAACCTGAAACCTAAATTAATTAACTAATTCCATAGAGACTTAAAAATAACTCAGGTAAGGTGTTTGGAGTTTGTTTCTTTGCACTAACCAGTCCTGCTGTGTCTCTCTCTGCAGCCTGCTGAAGGTCACCACACACACAGTGAAAGACCAGGTGGTCCGTCTCCACTTCTGCACCATCCTGATCGGTGTGTCGGATATTGGATCAATATTTGATGTCACAAAGTCCGGGAGTGAATCGTGGCAACACAAAATCTCTCGGTAACACTATAGACTGGACAATATTTACGAAATAAATTTGAACATGTTTCAATCAATCAATCAATCAATCAATGTTTATTTATATAGCCCAATATTACAAATGTTACATTTGTCTCATTGGACTTCACAGTTTGTACAGAATATGATTTTTTAGGGTTGCTTAAGAGAAACCTCTTAATGAAAATCTTTATCATTATTTCCATTTTTTTTTCTTGTAGTGTGTTAAGGTTAAGGTTAGTTAATTTGTATGGCACATTTTAAGACACAGAGGCAATTCAAAGTGCTTCACATAGGCATTCAACACATACTAATTAAAAACAAAACAAAAAAGAAATGTCATAAAAGCGATAAAATACTGGCTGCAACTAAAAGTGCAATGATGGTTAAAGGAGCTGTGTTTTTTTTTTTACTTTTACACTGAGTTTTTTTATTTTCTCAATCCCCAAATAATAAAAACAGACTTAATAATAACAGACTTATTCATGTGTTTTTTTCCCTTTTTACAGTTTAGAAAACTCAGTCCGGTTTTTGGGGATGATCCGTAACGATGAGAAAAGCATGTGGCTGGTGGGCGAGGAGGACGGAGGACTCAAAGTCGGGTTCTTTGTGAGTTTTGCACTACTGATATTTGAATTACACTTCACATCATATCATAATGAGGCTAAGGAAATGTTTTGTGTGGCCCTAAGATGTATTTGTTAAGTATAAAGTATTGTCAATTTAAAGACATTACCTGGCAATCATTTAAAAAAAACTAAAAAAAGCTAGTAGTTCAATAAAAAATATTTAGATTAGATTAAATCGGATTAGTTTATATACAATTTATTGATGCCAAATTAGGAAATTGTTTGAATTCAGATAAAACCGAAATTTATTAATTACTTATAGGTTGGACAGTTATTTAAATTTGCTGTGCAATTTGTTACAAAATACTTTGATGGATTGAGAGTGTATTTTAAATACTTAAATACATGATATAATATTTGATTTTATTCTCAAATAACACGCATATTCACCCCCAGGTTTTAACTGCAGAAAAATACAATAATCCTGATCACACTTTGTGGCTAAATGCAGCTGCATCACATGACAGCTCCAGTAACGTGCTCACTGTGAACCAGCGAATCTCTTTGTGTTCCCTGGACTGCAGGGTCAGGGTTTACTCAAAGCTTTGTTTAGGTTGTTGTTAGCATTGGGGGGAAGGGGATGGGGGTTGCTTTTCCATTGCTTCTATGTTTTGTATCACACTCAGATCTTAGAAATGTAATTACACCAACTTATTGCTTTATCAACGTGGCCTCACTGTTCTTTGTTCGATTTCATGTGTGATTATGTAAATATGTAAATACACTCAGACCCATATTGAGTCAACAAAATGCCCCAAAGTTTATTTGAACTTTTATTTTATCTTGGTTTCTTTATAGGGTATAGTTACAGACAGTCAAACATTTCCACATTTCTCTATTTTTAATTACTTGTGTTTTTTAAATACATTTTCTTGTGGTTGTATTTTGTATTTTATTTTGATACATTTAATGACCATGTTTCTGATTCAGTAAAAATATACTTTTTGATATATGTGTGCCAATCTCTGAGTACCACATGTTTCATTCATAGAAAATATTGATTGATGTCCTCTCTTTCCTCAGTTCGCCATGGGCCCCGAGTATAGTTTTTACCCATCTTTAGGCACCGTGGATCTATTCACCGATGAAGAGGAGAAGAAGGGGTGCCTGATCACGGCTGGAACTTTGGACAAAGGTACTAACATCTAATTTAAATACTGTTTCCGCTGCCGCTGATACACTCACTCCTACTTTTACATCAAGCATCTTTCTATTTTATATTTGTACTGGCAAGATTTTAAATATGTCAGTTTATATGATGTGCTCTATATGTTTTCAGATTTGGTCGTGTGTGGGGACATAAAAGGCAACATGTGGTTCAACCAGATTTCAGAGGGTTCCTCATGGAGCAGCAGAAAACCTGTAAGAGCTCATCAACTCTGTAGCACACAAATAAACACACCATTCACTTGAATAAGGAAATTATAGTTACAATGTTTACATATAGTTTCAGTGAGCTATTGCAACTACTTTCAACAATGACTGCAACATCGTTTGTTAGTGATCATCATTGACTCGTCACAAAATGTCACAAAATAGTGAAAAAGATTGCCAATCTCAAATTCCTTGAGCCCAAAATGGCAACTACAGAGTCTTGTTTAATCAAACATTAATTCAAAACCCCAAACGTATTTAATGTACCATTTAAAAACAACATAGAAAGGCCACAAATCCCTACAATTGCAAAACTACAAACATCAATTATTTTGGCATTTCTAATCAATAGATTGTTAAAATCTTATCAGAATTGTTGATTAAGATTTGTATTCAAAGATTCCTCACTACTTCAACTATAAACTGCCCTTATTTTTTTTAATCTTTTAAGATATTTTTTGGGCCAGAGAGTGCCTTTATTTTATGGATACAGCATTGAAAGGGGAAGACGCAGGGGATGACATTACCCCTAATTTAAATCTTAGTTAACTACAAGAATAAAAAAAGCATGATTGCCAATAACCAGGCCGGGAAATAAAGCAAACATCAGACCTTATTGGCGGTGACATCACTTTGTATTGTTGTTAATGTGGATGTGTTATCTCCAGGCCCACAGTGACAGGATCAGTGTGTTGAAACTCACTGACTGCAGCATCATCTCAGCCTCCTACGACTGGACGGTGAAGCTGTGGGACAGAAACACCAAGAAACAGGTACGTCAGAGGATTAAAGAACAGTTATGGAAACAAGATTGTTCACACTGAGGAGAATATTTGGACGAGAAGATTGATACCACTCTCATATTCGTGTGTTAAATATGAAGCTACAGCACGAAGACTGAATCAGAATCTGATTGTTTGCTCAGGAGGTTTTCAATTACAATACATCTGGTGTTTGAATATTAAAGGTGTGGCTGCATAAAAATAAGCATAGTAAAAGAAAAGTAAACAAACATACATTTAGAAAGAATGACTATATAAATATCTAAAGAGAATAAAAGAATATAAGAAAAATAATACAGCAAGCCGGCCTTTGTCTACAGTTATAATAAAACATCCAAATACCAATAAAAAGTCTTAAATCTGCATAAAATGGTAACATTTTTTACTTAGATTATTTTAAACTGTCTTCAAATAAATATTAACTTTCCGCTGCCCTTCTCTCTCTCCCTTCAGGTGGGCATGTTTGTGTGTGGAGGTCCGGTCCTGCACTTGGAGTTGAACCCTGAGAAACCCACTGAAATGGTTTGTGGTGACGGACAGGGAAAACTCTACTTCCTCTCGTGGAAGGAATAATACTCAAGATATATGTCATATACTGCATTTAGGAAAACTACTGCAACGCTAGAGCACTAACCAAAGATTGTTTGGGAATGTTTTGCCTACTCTTTGCTTTAATGAAGGTGATTGTGCACTATATAAAGGTTAAATGTTTATTGGAATACTTTATTTATCCTATATAGGGTCATTTATATCACATACAGGGATCTGCATCTATGTAATAGTTGCAAATATATGTTAACATGTGCCTTTAAATTAGATGGAGGAAAAAGCTTGCAAATGTAGCAAAAATAAAAAAAGCCCTTAAAGGTTTTGTCAGGTATCATTTTGTGAAAGTTCCATTAATTATTGTTTGTTTAATTGTTCAAAATAACAATGTGGGATATGAAACACAGAAAAATGACAAATATATTTTCTTTGATGATAAGTTGAATGTTCAAATTGACAGTTTGTCGTTGTTTTGTTGTTGTTTTTGTTTGTAAGGGTTATTTACAGAGTTGTTCTATTAAACAAAAAAGGTGTGGTGACACATTTGTAATTGTCAGATTTGTGTGTAAATCGTGGAATGTAAAAGGAGATGAATCCAAAACTCTGCACTCTGCAAGGGACCGAGTTCAGCTGAGACACCGATGGCAGACATGTAAACACAGCTTATCAGATAATGCTTTTACAGCTCTGTTATCTGCACTCAATTGCTACTGCTGTATTGACGATGGGTCACATTTAGTGCAATAAAACATGTTAAGTAAATAAAGCTTTTCCCACTGCTGCACACTGAATTTGTATGTTTTTGCCATTTAATTAATACAAATTTGAAGCTTAATGGGATACTATTTATTGCATACAAATTTGGCAGTATATTTTATTTAAGATTTTTTTTTATGTTGGTGCAATACTTTTGTACTTAAACATTTCAAGTACTTTACTTAAGTAAAATGTTGAGGTACTTTTCTTGAGTATTTTCATTTTATGCTACTTTGTACTTCTACTCCACTACATTTATTTAATACCTTTAGTTACTTTACAGATTTAGATTAATAATGTGAAATATAATAAACACTTAAATCAGACTTTAGTTATACCTGGAGTAAATTCACAAGCTACCCTGCAGTATACAAAGTCATTAAAACTAGCTGCACATTTACCAGCTTTGATAACACTTTAATTATCAATAATTATAAAACATATCATATATATTATTCTGAAATGGACCAATCTACAGAATGAATATTTTTACTTTTTGTACTTAAAGTATATTTTGATGCTAATACTTTTGTACTTTTACTCGAGTAACATTTTGAATGCAGGACTTTTAATTGTAACAGAGTATTCCTACACTCTGGTACTTCTACTTTTGCTCGAGTACAAGATCTGAGTACTTCTCCCAGCTCTGTCTAAAATACTGTGTTTTGTGTACAGCCATGCGTCATATCCATAGACTGTATAAATGATGTTGGCATATCACGTGTTTTATACAAAGTAACTAAGAAAGTGGGTGTTTATTTATTGTAGTTTAGTACAAAATACAAAAATATTAGCCTCTGAAACATTGAAAGGTAGAAGTAATGTATATAACATAACATGGAAATGCTTATTCAAACACTGCTTAAATGTAGGTTATTTTATATACATATGTATTCCAACACAGCAAGTCAGCAGGGCGGGACATTTTCATTAGCCTTGGGGAAGTCGGAAATATAATTTTCCGAGCAGCACCTGAAAGCAGCATCAGGCTGATGACACATTCCCAGGTGAGACAGACACGCCCTCACCTGAAAGGCAAGACACTGACAGGTCAAAAAAAACAACTGGATTTGCCAGTTTCAGCAATGTCTGCTTTATGAAAACACAAGTCACAAGGATCAGAGGGAAGTCTGTGATCTCCAGCCTCTTTATTTTGTATTGTTATTTTCCCTGCGGAGGGAGGAAAGCGTCTGAGTGAAAACAGCCGACAGAATCAACGCGGGGACGGGCAGCACCAGCTAACTGTGGCCGAGGACTGAATCATTTAAATCAATACCAACATCGATAAACCACCGGGAAAACAAAGGCAGAGTTGGAGCAGCTTCAATGGTGAGTTAACGTTTAAACTCTTCTTTTAAAAGCGGTTAAAGTCCGTCTTTCCGTCAAGTTTCTCTCGGCAAACTGTTGAAAATGTCCGTGAATGTGACGTTAGGTTTGAATAACCGTTGGACATGTCTCTGCTGTTTGACAGGATCGATACGATAACCTCGACCTGGATCTGGAGTGTGAAGGGGGAGGAGGCGTAGCTGTAAGTCACGTTTGATGTTTTGCTGAGTTGTTATATTAGTTGTGAGAGTCAACAGCCATATTTTAGTTGATTTGATCGACCTGACCTCTATCTGTGTGACTGAAACTGTCCACGCAGTGCAGTCCATGAGTACTATGTAAACAGCCGTGTGGGAATGTAGGTAGGCTAATGCTACATTTATACACTTAGTTTGGTGTCACATCTAGCCTACTTTAGTCTCTACTTTTTCCATGTGATGCCACTTTATATCTCTACTCCACTACAAATTGGAAGCCTATATTGTACTTTTACTAGTTGCAGATTCAGATCAATCATACAATATTTTACAGCATATTCTGACATGTTGTTATGGAACAAGCAAGTAGCTAATATTAGCCCAACCTTTTCCAGCTGAAACATAGCCTGTGTTTACACATCACTTACTGTATTCCAATAATATAATTGACATTATTCTGGTATGATCCAGTTTACATAATGACTACTGGTGCTATGCAATATTTTAAATGCAGTACTTTGACTTGTAACCAAGTTAACTTAAGAGAAAGAGTCCTGAGCACTCAATAATACTGTACATACTGTAAAGGGGTATGTGTCCTACACTGTTCAGTCAATATAAATGTAAAGACCTTAAAGCTTGAATCCAGATCTCTAACTTTAAGTCCTTTGTTTGAATGTGTTAATGTTGTCATGTTTGCTTTTTTTATGTGATTGTTAAACAGGAACATCTGATATGAGAAGTTTTCAAAGAGCAGGAAACACAACAATCACCCTTTATTTACTGTCATCAAGCTTTTCAAGTGCAGACATGAAACCAGCTTCAAGTCCGGACTTGAAAACTGGACGTGAAGCTGGACTGCGAGATGTAAACGGGTTAATACAGCCTTTTATCAGAACATTGGCAGCATTTTTTCCAGTTAAAGAGAGACAGATTTATCCTTCTGACTCTCAAATATCAGTTAATGATTCTGTTACTCACTCATACTTCCTAAAACCATAGCAGAGATACGCTTTTTTAACTGTTCAGAATGTTTTACATGCATAAATATGTTTTTGAAGTTTAATTTTCTACCTTTATTCCCTCCTCATGAAGGAAAAAGCGGCGTTATTCGGTGGGATGTTTAAGAAATCCCTCAAGTCATCAGAACCATCTCTCAAAGCACAGGTGATGATAGCATTAACTCAATTTATTTAAAGCAAGATCTAACATCACATTTACCTAATCTAACTATAAAAGCAATACAATTAAGTCGTGAAATTCAGAAATAAACAAACTATTATTATGGATTTACATTATTTGATTCTGCATCATCTCACATAGTTTCCATGCTGCTTTACAGGACAGTTTATCAGTCAGCAGTGAGCTTTCCAAGAGCGACGAGAGTCTGACTGACAGCAGCACCAAGGTCTGTTCCTTTCTTGGGTTATGCATTGTTTTTATTTTCAAACCTTATTTCAGTTTTGAGTAAATATCATTGTGTTTTTACAAATAAGTGATTTATTTTTAAGCACAATCCTTCATATTTCAGGAGAAAGGAGGCGTATTTAAAGGGATGTTTAAGAAGACCAACAAAGCTGCCAAAGAGGAACAGCCACAGGTTGGTTGACTCCTTATTGAACGCACTGTGCTGTTTATATTATTACTTATTTAAAAAGTATAACTAACACTGGGATGATATAAATATTTGACAAAGATTACAAAAAATGTGGTTTAATTAGTTATTGTGTAAGCCATTTAAAAAATAAATAATTTTTGATTTTCAGTTTTTCTCTGTTAAAGGTGGGGTAGGTAAGTTTGAGAAACCGGCTCGAGAAACACTTTCTGTTATATTCCATGGAATGCTCTTAACATCCCGATAGCAATGAATATCTTAAGTGCTTTGACAAAAAATCCATAAAAAATGTCATCTGTGGAAGCCGTGGTACTGTAAAAAGCACGACCAATCATTGTAGCCGGCCCGGCTAAAATAACTGGATGGCCTACCTGCCTGTCAGCCTTCCATCTGTGCACAAACTTATCTCGTGCCCTCATTGGTCATGTGTGCGTTTGTGTGTGTTGGAGGAGGGGCTCTGTAAGGAAGTGGCAGATTTTTTCCGGTTGTGTATTTTCAAATTCTAGCGCACTCGAGCTGGTTTCTCCAAAATTACCTACCCCACCTTTAATATCACTTTATATTAAATATAAAGTTTAGAATGTTGGTCAAAAGCAACAAAAATATATCACCACTAGGCATTTTTTTGTGATAAATGTTGACAAAATTATTAATTTATTAGTTGTAAAATTAGTTGTGAAATTGTATTCCATTTTCTACAGGTCTCCCTGTCAGTACAAAACCCTGAACTGTCCGTCAGCAGTGACAGCTTAACAGACAACAAGCCATCAAAGGTGAGTTTCCTCTCTGCTCCGTCATGTTTCTGGTATCCACACCCAGAATGTTCTCCTTTTTTAGTTTGTAAAACCAAACCTTTCGCTGCACGTTTCTCTTCAGGAAAAATCAGGTGTGTTTGGTGGGAAACTGAAAAGATCTCCTAAACCAGGACATGTCCGCAGGCCCTCACAGGTGAAACACAATCTTCTGTTACAAACCCTGCGCACAGTGGAAAAATACACCTATCAGCTAAAGGCTCAACATGTAATCTTGTGTGTTTCAGGATCTTTTGGAAGACAAGTTTGCAGCCATTGACGACAGTCTGTCAGAAAACACCACAGCTAAGGTCAGTCTCAACAGCCAATTTATTTTAAAAGTCCCATGTCATGCTTTTCCGGTTATTACCCGTCCCCTTGTGTGTTATGAAGGTTTATATGCATGTAAACGGTCTGCAAAGTCACAAACCCTCAAAGTACACCCTGTAGCGAGTAAAACTCTAACACAGAAAAGACCTGTCTATGCTGCCCCAGAACACCTCGTTGGAGATTTCTCATTTTCCATTTTTTTCTTCTGGGAACCAAGTGACGTAACGACGACCCCTCCGTGGATTGGTCCAAATGAACCAATCCGCGGACTTCCTCACACACACACACACACACACACACACTCAATCTTTTCTCAGCTGCAGCTCCGCCGATTTCTCCTCCCTGAGACGGCGGGACGTGGCAAGGCTGTGAGTCGGTGTGTGAGCACACACACAAACTCCCAGCCAGGCTGCGGGTGTGTGTGTGTGTGTGTGTGTGTTCGGGATGGTTTCGCTGTGTCTCGCTTTCTCGCAGATGGCCACTGGGCTCATAGGGAGGGGAGGGCAGGAGCTCCAACAAGCCGTTTAGGACAGAGAGTGAATACACATACTTTACAGAGATGCTGTATGAGAAACCAATGTGATTTTGGAAAATTGCAAAATATAAATCTATTTTAGTAGACCTCAACAATGTAATTATGATCAGTAGAAATGGCCATGACATGGGACCTTTTAATGCAAAAGCACAAGAGGCAATAACATAGCAGAATAAAAAAAAAAACTATAATTAAAAGAAACTGTTAGTCTTGGAAACTTCTGACTTTTTCTCTTCAGGAAAAATCCGGTGTGTTCGGTGGGATCCTGAAACGACATGCCCGGAGGCCATCTCAGGTGAAACAAGATCTTCTATTACACGTCCTGCGCACAGCGATATTTAATCTGAAAAATAGGGATATCAGCTGAAGCCTGCCATGTTGAATATCATGTTGTGTTATTTCTGTGATAGACTGACTGTTCATTTTGTGTCTTTCAGGATCTTCTGGACAATGAGTTCACAGCCAGTACCGACAGTCTGTCTGAAAACACCACAACTAAGGTGAGTTTCATTTCCTGATTTGAATGCAAACATTTTGAAAAACACAAAATGGCTGAAATAAAAGCAAATTAAATATTGAAAAAAAAGTCAGAGATCATAGCTCGAACAATTATTACGAGCTTATTACCTAGCAGAAAATATTCAGCATAAATACAAATGTACAATAAATCCAAAATAACACACTTATAAATGTTAAAGGTAAAACAAAGAACTTCCCCAAAAATACATGATTTGAAATCTAGTGCTTCCTTATTGTTAGCTATCGACAAATGCATAGGTATTCTCATTTAAGCTACATCAGATGTGTAGAGCTCTCCTCATTGGATGGTGAGTTTTAGCAGGGTGTGTGGTTTTGGTGGCTGGAGATTGAACTTGCATGCATCAGCTATTTAGAAGAACTGCTGCCCCAACGTGAGAAGCACTAAATCCCTGCCTGCCCATCTGACAGATCCATAGGTTAAAAAAATATATATATATACGAGTGTGGTAATTAGCATGTGGTTTATTTTCTCCAGGAGACAGGAGGGGTGTTCAGTGGGATGTTTAAAAAATCACCAAAGCCTTCTGCAGCACAATCACAGGTGAGAGCTTGGCCTTTCATTACTCCCCTTTTTACCTGTGCTAAATTAAAAGCAAATTATGAATATATCTGTATTGTTTTTTTTCATTCAGGAGGATTTGTCTGCATCCAGCGAGCTCTCGGGCAGCAAAGACAATCTGTCTGTGAACAGCAACACTAAGGTGTGCTTTGAGAAACCAGAAGAATACTTAATTTCTTCATTAAAGGCACATTTTAAACCATTTTCATGTGACTTTTTCTTTCTCCAGGAGAGCGGAGGGATGTTCAGTGGGATGTTTAAAAAACCACCAAAGCCTTCTGGAGCAAAGACACAATCTCAGGTGAGAGCAGTGCGTCTAAATGATCCCACTGTGCTACATTTTAAGGAGATGATAATAACTTTTGTAACCTTTGTTTCAGGAGGATTTGTCTGCACCCAGCGAGCTGTCAGGCAGCAAAGAAAACCTGTCTGTGAACAGCAACACTAAGGTAAGGACTGCGTCAGCATTTTGTAGAACATAAAGCCTGTTTGCTAAATCACTGCATAAAAGGAAACATGTTACAAACCATTAATATGTGATTTCTTTCTCCAGGAGACAGGAGGGGTGTTCAGTGGGATGTTTAAAAAAACACCAAAGCCTCCTGCAGCAAGGACAGAATCTCAGGTGATACTTTTACATTTTTGTATTTTTACCAGTGTTAAAGGCAAAGCAAGTTATGAATATATTCAGTAATGTATTGTTTTTATTGCGTTCAGGAGGATTTGTCGGCCCCCAGCGAGCTCTCAGGAAGCAAAGACAATCTGTCTGTGAACAGCAACAGTAAGGTGAGCTTTGAGAAAAATGTAGAACTCTATAGCCAAAGAAGGAAGAAAGTGTGTGTATTTCTTGTGTGTATTGTGACAGGTGAGATAAACCTGCATACATCAGCATTTGGATTCTAAATTACTGCATTATGGGCAACATTTAAACCATTTCCATGTGACTTTATTCTTCAGGAGGCAGGAGGGATGTTCAGTGGGATGTTTAGAAAATCGCCAAAGCCTTTTGGGTCGAGGACACAATCTGAGGTGAGCATCTCACTTGTCTTATTTACAGCTAAGGTACATTCTTTGGAGATAATAATAATAATTGGTAATGATATTTCTTCTCAGGAGGATTTGTCTGCCCCCAGCGAGCTCTCAGGCAGCAAAGACAATCTGTCTGTGAACAGCAACACTAAGGTGAGCTTTGAGAAACCAGATGAATACTTTTTTTCATGATGGCCAACGTTTGAACCATTTTCATGTGACCTTTTTACTCCAGGAGACAGGTGGGAAGTTTGGTGGGATGTTTAAAAAGCCACCAAAGCCCTTAGGAAAGAGGACACCATCTCAGGTGAGAGTAGTACTGAAGCTTATTCGCTGAAACACCATGTTACTATAAATCATAAGAACAGGTTTAATATAGATTTATTAATGTGTTTCTTGCCTTCAGGATGATTTGTCTGATCCCAGCGAGCTCTCGGGAAGCAACGGCAATCTTTCAGAGAACACTAAGGTGAGCTTTGTTAAAACTGCATTCACTGCAAGAAAGAAAAATAACAACAAATGTCGTTATATTGAATGTTGGCTTTATTCTTTCTTCAGGAGAAAGGAGGAATCTTCAGTGGAGTGTTCAGAAAGAAAGTTGCCAGATCTCAGTCTAAGGTAAGAAAAGTCAAGTTTGTCAATAAAAAGGTTTTTAAATCCAAAAAATATTAAATGTAGGGAATATTTTTGCAGTCATTTCGTTACACCGTGGATATTTCACTTTGAAATCAAACACTTGAGTACATTTTTCCTCCTGGTTGTTACATTCTGACTGTATGCTTCATCCCTCTGTTCAGGAGGATTTGACCGTGGATAGTGAACTCTCTGCCAGCAGTGACAGTCTCATAGAGAAGCCTTCAAAGGTAAGAGATCAACTTGCACTTAACAGAATACACAGTGAGTGATATGAGGTTTCAACTTTAGCTGCTTTGAATTGTCTGTCAGGGTGGAGCTGCTGCAAAGCTCCTGAAGAATCCTTTCACCTCCTCCTCAGCTCAGGTCATTTCATCTCACACTTAATCCTTCATCAGATATATAACTCTATCAGTCCGTCGATACACTCGGCCATGTTTTGAGTTTAATGACGTGGTAATGTGCATTGTGTTGTGACAGGATAAGGAAAAGACTGAGCACTCGGGAGACTCAAAAGAGAATACATCTACTGCAGAGAAGCCTAAAGCCAAGCAGGTGGGTTGTTACGGCTAGGGATGGGTACCGTTAAGGTTTTAACAGTACTACTACTTTTATCGATACCGCTTATCGATCCGGTCCTTTAACGGTACTTTTGGAGAAAAAAATAAGGTTAACTAACTAAACAAATTGTGAACAAAACTAACATGGCTTTTTATTTAAATAAAATAAATAATATTTCACATCAAAAGAAACAGTGTTTTAACAAATCGTATTAAATAATGTGATGACAGAACTGTAAACAGAATAGCTGAAACTTTAACAACATAAATAACTCAGTTACCTCTAATCATTAACCCATGTTTGTATAATTGAGTTAACTCCGTGTGTTGCTGCTAGCATACATAATACCTGACGTGGAAACGTTACTCGTGGATGGGGCTACAGAGCTACTAGAAAGACAGTTGAACCCGGTGCATTCCTCCGTCTGAATGTGGTGCACTTGTGCTAAATGTTTCTACAAATTGCTTGTGTTACCGCCCTTACATGCTAAACTCTTATTGCACAACGAGCATTGTCCACATCGAGACGGGTAAAGTTTAACCACACCTCGGAGCACGTTCTCTCCGCCATCTCCTCAGTGTGTGTGTGTTGCTGCATGTAGCAGCTGCGTGTGTGTAAACTGCCCCGCCCCCTCGCACACAGACGGGGGAGAGATATCTCTCGTCTGGATTGGAAAGATCGAAAATACAAAAAATAATCATAGACGCATTTTGCTGTCTTTTTGCATATTAGAAACGGAGTTGGCGACACTAAGGCGCCGTTTACACGAGGACAAAACTGCTTGTATCTGCATAGTTTCGCGTGCGTATAGCCCTATTATTTACATGAGGCCGATAGAAACTGACCCCACAAACGATAACGGGTCCCAAGGTGGATAGATTTGCAAACGAAACTCTCTGGGGGGTCAAACGAGTCCGTGTAATCACCTCTATACGAATATTTCCTGAAAAAATAACGATAGCCCCACCTCTCCCCACCTCTCCTGCTCACTGCTGTAGCATTGCCAGTAGCCATCTGTAACGATCAACTATCAAAAATAGCTGTGTTAATTAAACGCACAAGGGGTTCTTGAATTAAATAATATTATAAAAGGCAAACCAGAATTGTTAACGCCCAATATACTCCTTAAACAAAATAAACAGAGTCAGATTTCATGCATTGATCCATTATATTGACAATTTTCCAGCCAAACAACACAACAAAATTAAACAGTCCGCTCTGCGATACACCAAAATTGTCTTTACTGCCTAATCCAGGCCATTATTGTTCATTGCTCCTGCGCCCGTCGGCGGCAAAAAGAGAAATGTTTGTAGGCCTATTCAGGCTATAATCCACACACAAAAAAGGAAACACGAGGACCGGCGTGTCCCAGAGGAGAGATCTCACCCGGTGTTAGTAGAGAATATCTCTCTTTCTGAGCGCGTCCTCTCCACGGAGACGTGCTTCTTGGTCGGTCGATGCAATATCCACAGATTCGGTTTCTTTCAGTTAACTTCCCCGTTGCATTTATCCATATATTTACATGCTGAGGAAATGACTATATCCCGCTGAATACCAGCAATCGCCACACACACTTCCTCCTGTCAGTAGCTACTGCTAGTGCTACTGCTACTGACCATGCTACAGATATTAGTGCAAAATCTACAGCTCCTCTACCACAACCATCAGCAACAAGTGGACATGGAGAATTACATGAACTACATGTTGCTAAATCCACCGCGGGGCATAAACAGAAGGGTAGCCATGGCAACATTGCTGCGGGGCTGCTCCGGAGTCTTCTTCGCTGCTTTTGGTGTATTTTGTGGCGGAAGTTACAGCGCCACTTACAGTCCCGGCATATGTACTACAGCGTTTCCAGCGGTCTCGTTTGAACAGACACGTTAAATGAAACAAATGCATGTGAACGGAAGACTTTTTTGAATACGCATACTGTGCATAAACGCAAACGTTCCTGTGTGCACAACGCCTAAAACTGCAATATAATGTTTGTGTAGCAATAATACATATGACATATATTTTTCACATGTCTCCAGTACCGATAAAAAGACAGATAACGTCGGAGCTTAACGGTACCACGGTCTTTAATAATTCAGCCCCGGGGCCCGTTAATACCGGGGCTCGGTACCCATCCCTACTCATGTAGTACTGAACACGTTACATAAACGTGCCGGGCGGCGCGGTCCCGTGGGTTGGATCCGCGTTCATAATGCCCAGGAAAATAACTCTCAGAATAACGTTATTAGCACATTTTACAACTTGAGGACCGAATGTTTTTAATAAGGGCTATACAAATGTTCATACTGGGTAATTTATTTAGTTTAAAAAAAATTATCCAACGATTTACAGACGTCTCTTTCCCAATGTTATTCAATGGGAAAAAGTATTTCCGGGCCCAGCGACTGATACAGAAGTGTAGTACCGCCGTTTGGCCACAATGAATATTTTCCTCAGCGTCCGGCGCACTTCCTAGGGGCTTGGTCTCCCCAGACCCGAACACCAAATTATACACTTGTAGAGACCTTCAGACGTGGCAAGAATTGTCAAAATCTGTTTGGTAGTCTTTATATAGCTGTTGTGATATCATGAAGCCTTGTTCCGATAAAAAAAACTAGAGCGTAGTTATTATATCATTTTAACTTGAAACGGGTCACGGGAGACCCGAACACAACATAAGGGTTAAAGCTTAAAATAATATACATCTGTTTTTAATTTCAATGAATCCCCATACGATGTGATGCTGGTTACAATCGCATTAATACTACCATTGTTTATATTGAGTTATATATTATATCGACTAAACTTGCTCAATCTGCAGGAGAAGGAATCCGACTCTGACAGTGAGGAGATGTTGGACAATGAAGAGAGCCAGCCCAGTCACAAACAGGTTTGTAAGAATTTTCAATGTGTAATTTGTAAGTATGTATCAGCAATTCACTCTCTGCACTGGAAAAAATGCTGCTCCAAAAACAAGTTAAACAATAATGAAAACAAGGTGTTTTCACTTGAAATAAGTGCAAAAGTCTGCCAATAGAACAAGTGAGAATTAGCTTGGTAAGATTTCTTGAAATAAGATGGGATATTTAGATAAATCAGGTCTTGTAATTAGCTGGAGAACTCATTTTGAACTATATTTGACCAGAATCAGGAAATGTTGTGTTACAAAATAAGCCGCAAATGCTCAAAAGTGTTCTGTTTTCCGATGTTAGTTGGTGATTTTCTAATAAATATGTAAAAAAACATGTGTTTCATCTGAGATACAATTCAAAATAAGATGTTTTGACTTAACAAGATGATGCATTGTCTAAAAACAAGAGCCTATATCTCACTGCAGTGTTACTTCTGAAGTTACTATGTCTTATATCAAGTGTAACGACATATTCTGACTAGATATTAGACAAATATACTGGGCAAGATTTTGAGTTTTTGTAGTGTGGATGTGGTTCTTATTTTATGTTTATTTGTCTCTATCTTTGTGTTTTGTTTCATAATCAGAGTAAATTTGCTGGGGCCATGGAGAAGCTGAATCCTTTTAGATCTGCAAACAAAGTAAGGACATTTTGGATTGGAATCTTTTAGTAGTGCTTTCTTTTATCTTAGAGTACCGTCTTCATCATTCATGTGATTTTCTTAAAATATCTACTTCTGTCTTGTTTCCACAGAATGAAAAGCAGTCGAGCTCAGATGAGGAGGATCCACCTGCGAGCAGCGAGAAGTCCTCAGGCCACAAACAGGTGCTCTGACATTCACTTGTTCCTGTTATTTAGCAAACTGGTGACACTTATTCTAACGTGTTATTTTTGTTCAGTGGACACTTGCCTCATTGAGGGGGAGAAAAGCAACAACTTTTTATTCAGCTGTTATTTATCAAGACGAAGATTAACATGTGTGCGGATACAGACCACAGTCCTCTAATGCGTTCAGGGGTCTAGTGCTCTTCCACCACTTGTGTGCGTATTTGTGTGTCAATGGGTGGATGAAAGGCTTTGGTCGCGTAGCATTCTACCCACGGTCGAACTTAGCTTGTCTTGCCTGGGCTTGTTGAGAATGTCTTACTGTACCTTTAGTAAATATCACAGGGAACAGCTTCACATATCTGTAATCAGCTTGTTGTGCTCACTTGTTTTGCACAAGCCAGGCACACATTGTGTTTCTGTTGCTGTTTTGTTTGCAGTGATCATGTATGGTCAATATCCTCAAAATGGCTTTTCAATAGTCATAAAATGAACTATTTAAAATAGGGCTGTGCGATTATGGCAAAAATCATAATCACGATTATTTTTGGTCAATAATTGATATCACAATTATTAAAAACGATTATCCATTTACTTTGAAAACATCCATTTATTGAAAAAAGAAATTGAACAATATGTTTTTAACAGTTGATTACCCTGAACTTTAAAGGTGGGGTAGGTAAGTTTGAGAAACCGGCTCGAGATACACTTTTTGTTATATTCCATGGAATGCTCTTAACATCCCGATAGCAATGAATATCTGAAGTGCTTTGACAAAAAATCCATTAAAAAATGTCATCTGTGGAAGCCGTAGTACTGTACAAAGCACGACCAATCATTTTAGCCGGCCCGGCTAAAATAACTGGATGGCCTACCTGCCTGTCAGCCTTCCATCTGTGCACAAACTTATCTCGTGCCCTCATTGGTCATGTGCGCGTTCGTGTGTGTTGGAGGAGGGGCTCTGTAAGGAAGTGGCAGATTTTTTCCGGTTGTGTATTTTCAAATTCTAGCGCACTCGAGCTGGTTTCTCCAAAATTACCTACCCCACCTTTAAGTATAATTCAACTGAAAACCAATAAAAAAAAAAATAATTACATTTTTTTTTTTTTTTTAATAAAAGTAATAATAGTTTTATTTCGATTACGTTGTTTTCGTAATCGTTGCAAGCCAAAATCGTAATCGAGATTAAAATACGATTAATTGCACAGCCCTAATTTAAAACTAGAAGCTCAGTTAGCTGTTAGCCTCTGAACATCTGTCTGTTACCCGTGGTTGTAACAGAAAAGGCTAATAATGCTAACGTGCCAGTTTTTTTTACAAAACAACCATATTTAAGAAATGCAGTAATTAGCTACAAAATTACATTTGGTAGCACATGATGATTATTTAAAGAATTCCTACAATGTTTTATACTTTATAGTAAGAAACATTGAATAGAAAATCAAGAAAATTACAACAATAACAAAGATCTTTAAAATGAACTAAGACGCAATCACACAAAGCAGGACATTTCAAAGTTAAGAAATCGATTGATCGACATATACACAGTTACGAATATATATCTTGAATGCTGTAATCTTATTTTGGCCAATTTATCAGCCTAAAAGCAGATCCAAGTGTTAAATGTTGATGTCCTTCACTCTCAGGCTGGAGTCATGTCCAAACTGAATATATTCCGCTCTACACATAAAGTAACTATGCTGCTGCTGGTGGTGTTTGGTCATGGTGCGGTGTGTGGAGGGAGATAGACCTGATCCTGATGGTTTTATAAGGGCTCAGAACAGTCTCATAATACACACATGCACACAGAAGGATTCACACTTGTATTTCATGATCCACACTTGTGTTTGTCAATGCACACACAAATGTGTTCCGTTTCATATACATGTAAATAAAATCCAAATACAGAAAAAAGTTTTACATATGTATTTTTGATCCTCACATATTTGTTTTCCGTTTAAAACCGCTGCACCTACAAACACAACCCGCTTTCTGTGCATGGATCGCTGTGCATTCGTGTGTGGGTTTTTTGAGACTCCCCTGACGGTCACCCGATTCGTACTTGTAATTTTTTCTATCTATAGCCAATCAGATGTCTCCTCAATTCTAAGCCAATCACATGAGCGCGCCCCCACGAGGGTAGATTTCTTGCGTTCATGACGTAGCGCTTCATGTACGCATTTTGCGCTGTCCGGAGCTGACCGGTCCATGGAGCCTGCCTGCAGGCGCTAATCTCAGGACACTTCCACTCTCAGTACATTGCCACTTTCCGAGCAGGAAATGCACGCAAATACAAGCCTTTATATTATTAAGGTACACAGTGCCACTTTCTGAACCATTAATGAATGCTTGTGTACACAAAAACGGCAGGCAAAACCGTTTTAAATGTGCGTTTCCTGTATGGCGAATACAGCTGCTTTATTTATGTCTGTATGAAGTTGTTGTGAGTGTGGAGGGAGCAGCTACAGGTTAGCTTAGCCTAATCGATCAGTGCACTACGAAGCCAGTGCTAGACAGTGAACTGTCAACGGGGGAGCCCCGCCGGTCATTATCGGCCGATATTCGCTCTTAATAGTTTGATCGGTGCTCTCTATAAAGGCCGATCAGGAGAGCTGGATCTGATCGATATGGACATAAACGCGAGTGAAGTTTTAGCGAGCTGCATGAGAAACTGACGGGCTGTCAGGAGAGAGGAAAAGAGATGATCCTTACTCCCGTGTTATTAGCCATATCCGGTCATAGTCCGGTAATTACCTGCTAACGGAAACTCTGCTACACAATTCTTCTTCTTCTTCTTCTTCTTCTTCTTATTATTATTATTGAAACATGACCGGTAAGTTTCAAATTTGTCCGGTAAAATAAATTCTGTCCGCGGAAACCCTGCTCCGGACAGCGCACAATGCGTATATGAAGTGTCATGACTCATGAACGCAATAAATCATACCCTCGTGGGGACGCGCTCATCTGATTGGCTTAGAATGAAGGAGACATCTGATTGGCTATAGATAGAAAAAATTACAAGTACGAATCGGGTGACCCTCAGGGGAGTCTCAAAAAACCCACACACGAATGCACAGCGATCCATGCACAGAAAGCGGGTTGTGTTTGTAGGTGCAGCGGTTTTAAACGGAAAACAAATATGTGAGGATCAAAAATACATATGTAAAACTTTTTTCTGTATTTGGATTTTATTTACATGTATATGAAACGGAACACATTTGTGTGTGCACTGCTTTGACAAACACAAGTGTGGATCATGAAATACAAGTGTGAATCCTTCTGTGTGCATGTGTGTATTATGAGACTGTTCTGAGCCCATAGTTTTAGGTGACAGGGAGTCACTGACGGGAAAATGATGGTGGATTTAATGGACCTTACCAATGATTTTGTATGTTGAACCGTATTTACTACAGAATACTTTACATCCCAATTCTTTAATTTATTAAATGTTTTGAATAGATTTTAGGGTGTATTATTTCTCCGGCAATCACCGTTTTCCATTGATTTTTCTTCAATACGAAAAACAACAGTCAGTTCTTTGCAGTTTTGGCAAAAATAAATACAGATTTGATGTCCCAAGTTTACGAATTCCGCAGTTTGCTTTCCATGCAATACAGAAATAAATAGAAAACCAATGGCTGCCTGAAACAGTGGAAAAAATACATCTGAAAATCAGTACCTTGTATGTAGTTAAAGGGTTAAACATACAAAAGATATCTGGTATGGTCCTTGAGTTATCTGATTTTGGCTGATCCAGTTTAATATGTAATATTTAATGTGGTTTTTTTATTAGAAAAACACTGAAGAAGACACACAGGAGAATGAGAAGCCAGGGGAAGAGAAGCCGAAACCGGTCAGTCTAATTTTTGCATCACTCATGAGTCATCAGTGACCACATTTTGTTGAATTTGCAAATGTTATTATATTCTTAGTCTGTACTTTAAACTGATTTCTAGTAACTGCACACTTTTTATTTTATTTTATTCATTTTTTAGCATTATTTTGTAATCTGCCATATGTCTAATGTTGGGACTGTTCGGTCGTGTTTGTGTAATGTGATAAACACATGTTTAAAAAAGTGAGGATGTTATATTTTATACACACACACACACACACACACACACACACACACACACACACACACACACACACACACACACACACACACACACACACACACACACACACACACACACACACACACACACACACACACACACACAGCTGATCAAATTTAGTCAAAAAAACGTCCCTCCTCCGGACCTCCACCACATCCTCGTCATCGTCTTACTTCCCTTTAAATCCTGCCTGCCTGTGCTCCTGCCCCCCCACACTGTGTGTGTGACTGTGTGTGTGACACTGTGTGTGACACTGTGTATGTGTGTGTCCTTGTCAGGTCAAAAGCAACATGATCCAGCGAGAGAGAAAGGAAAGAAGTGAAACTCCAACGGTCCCACCCAGACCATCTAAGGAGGTTTGTAAACTCAGGGGCTTTTGGTCCAAGGGCAAACATTCGTTATGATATCCCGTTTGCTACATTGTGTTCTCTCCACAGGAAATGAAGAGGACATCCATATACGACGAAGGAAATGAGGACGATCAGGTACAGTACTTTCTTTCTGCTTCCACAGTTTGAATTTCATATATCTCTTAGAACGCAAGTTAAATCACTTACTTTAATTATTTTATAACCAATAAGACCATCCAGTAAAGCAGGCAGCAAGCTTGAAGGTTACATATTATGCTTTGAGTTCCTTCCTTGCTCTACAAAGAAAGAACAGTGTGTCACTCTCAGTTTTAAAAATATGTTGTCCTCTACAGGACAACAAGGACATGATCTCCAGATCTGCCAGATTGTCAGAGGAGGTATTTAAGGCTTCAGTGTTCAGGGAATAAATAATAACTCAACGAGATGAAGTTATCCCTAGCCGTAACAACCCACCTGCTTGGCTTTAGGCTTCTCTGCAGTAGATGTATTCTCATTTGAGTCTCCTGAGTGCTCAGTCTTTTCCTTATCCTGTCACAACACAATGCACATTACCACGTCATTAAACTCAAAACATGGCCGAGTGTATCGACGGACTGATAGAGTTATATATCTGATGAAGGATTAAGTGTGAGATGAAATAACCTGAGCTGAGGAGGAGGTGAAAGGATTCTTCAGGATCTTTGCTGCAGCTCCACCCTGACAGACAATTCAAAGCAGCTAGCAGTGTGTGTGTGTGTGTGTGTTTGGAGCTGAGCTGTATCCTTCCTGTGGTTAAGTAAACTATTCTGGTTTCATTTCAGGAACCGAATAAAACATCTGCGAGACAAAAGCAGAAGAGCAACCATCAGGTACCGACATGTACACAGAACAAGATATTGATATTGTTTTGGAGCAGAAAGATACAACGTTGATGTTATCAGTGTTCTCAGTGTGCGGTTTGGAGCAAATCATAATCCAGTATGCAACTTGAATAAGTTTGAAGACTCATCTACAGTGGTTGACAGATGTTATGTCCTGTATGAAACTTGAAAAGATCAGATTCTCACTTCTACTTCTTCTTATTGATTGTCGAAACTAAATAAAAAGATTTTTGATTTGAATAAGTTTGAAGAGAAAACTTGAAACCTTCAGTGTACATACCCTTAAATCAACAGCAGTTCTAACTGTTTTTGTGTGTCCCAAAACATGGCTGGAAACAAATAATTATTCTAAAACTGTTTCAAGTGATTCCTCCCTAACCCTGAACAGATGGAATACAATGTCATTTCTAGTCTTAAACTTTGGCTGTCAACGGCCAACAATAGTATTTGTTTTCACAAGCCTCTTTCAAACTAAACAAAACAAATATTTTGCTGAAACCTCCTGTAAGTTAAATCAAATGTAATGAGTTTGTTTTTTTCCGGCAGAGCCAATCAGACGATGAAGGCCTCATGGATGGATCTGCAGGAGCCAGAGAGGAAGAAAGCAAAGCAGTGAGTTTATCTCTTCATCATCACACTGTTTTCATTCCTAATCCTTAGTATAGTCCTTAAGCTCAGAAACCTGTATTATGACCTGTAGTATGTACCGTATGTATTTGTGAGTGTGAGAATGTGTAATGAACTCCAGATGGCTGCTACATTCAGGTGAAAACAACAGACAGTGTTTGCTGCAGGTGCCTTTTTTGAGTTCCAGTTCCTGCTTCCTTTTTATCTTTTCTTTCATGCAATGCAAATAACATCTGGCACCAGCTATTGTTAGCGGGAGTTTTACAAAAGCTTGCGGTTATCGTCAGTCACGAGGCAATGTAATCCCAACCCTACAGTTTTCATTTCTCCTAAACCCAGCCTGATACAGTTGGCAAGAAACTTTGGGATATTGATAGACTATCATGTTTAAATCAGAGTACTTGACTGCATGCTATGTTTGATTTGCTGTAAACTAAATATATACTTACATGTGTGTGTGTGTGAGGAAGAAACGGACACATGAATTAGTTACAGAGGTCTTTTTGAACCGTAGCACACATTAGGTCTGCAGGCTGTGGTGAAATGTGGTTCTTCCAGTTGGTGCTTCTCATGTTACTTCACATCACTGTGGCTTTTTCTTTACAGGCCAAGGTGAAAAAACCTAGGCGCCATAATCCATTTATGCAGCGTGCTGGAGCAAAGGTCTTTATTTTTTGATTTGCTCCTAATATAAAGTCTATACTGCCATAAGGACTTGTATATGTTTTGCACTAACTTCAATCTATACAATAAACGGTACCACTTTACAATAAGACTACCCTTATAAAGGGTTTACGAATACTTTGTAATTCATTTATTAATTAGGTTGTGAACACTTCATAAATCATTAATAAGCTTTTACAAGACGAGATAAACAGGGCAACTGTGAACGGTGGCTTGCCAAATAGTGAGCACACATGTATCTGTACTGCTAAGCCTTATTAGAAATGGTAGTAACTCATTAATGTGTTTTACACTTTACAATGAGGCTCCCTTTTGGCAACTGTAAATGTTAGTAACTCGTAAATAAATGGTCATAAAGAGATGCCAAGAAACATCAAGATGGAAGGGGGGGAGGGGGGGGGGGGGGGAGAGAATCAACACGGTGAACAACAGATACCAAGGATGCTGGCTGATGAAGAAGATGAAGTAAGCTAAGGTTTTTATTGCCAGGAATGCACAAATGAATGTAATGGAGTTTTGGCGATTAGGCCCCGTTGTGCGGGAGTATCATTCGGGAGGGGAGAACCGATCCGATGAAACCCCCCGGGGTCTAGACACTGGTGGTGGTGAATGGATAGTTGGGGTCGGTCTGAAGGGGAGTGGCTTAGCTTGACCCTGGATTCAGAGGAACAGGAGGTGAAAAAGGGGTTGGAGGAGGGTTGCGTCGAGTCACCTGAAATGACAGCTGTCGGAGGGGGGAGAGCAGATTTAAAAGGTTTAGCAGAGCGCTATGATAGGCTTGTGAGAATAGAGCGAAGTGATTGGTTAAGCTGGGGAGTGACGCCCCCGATCACTTATTGAGAGGAGAGAGCGAGTAGTAACATAGAAATAGTAAATGGGTTAGTAAAGACGGTCTTCCTGGTTGAACTTGCGCTGAGCTTCATTAGTCATCTTGCCAAATAGTGAGCCTGTGTTGATGTATACGTTAGAACTGGTTTATAAATGGTTCTTAAGGATTAATAAAGTGTTTACAACCTAATTAATAACCTAATTATAAACCCTTTATGAATCCTTTTATAAGGGTAGTCTTATTGTAAGTGGTACCCAATAAACTATACTGAGTCCCTGATGTACTTTATCAAATTGAAAAATGTTTTTTTAATTAGTAAGATTATACGCCACCCTGTTGCTTTCCCCTTGGTACTCATTTATTTCATTTTTAAGTTCACACTTTTTTTCTTTGTTTCTTCAGGCTCAGTCTGATGATGAAGGGCTCGATGAAGAAGAGGATTCTTCACCCAAAGAGGAAACGAAAGATGAAGAGGGCAAGGAAAAAACAGAGGTATTTTAATTAATGTCTTTAATGGAACACTGTTTTAACCCTTAGATGCCCGAGTGACTGGACCCTACACTCTTCCATAAGTGGGTCAAAAAGGACCCGTATTAGAATAATATGTGTTTTTATGCCATTTTTGTCATTTTGGTTAAGAAAAATCACTTGTATAATATTTAGTATTATATTTTGGTTCACACTAGAAATATTTTATATTAAATATTTCACTATTTATAATTTTAGACATTTTTTTTACATTTAAAAAAAAAACAAAACCGTTTTGAGCATATTGATGCAAAGATCTCTATTCTGAGACCCTCACAGTATTCCAGTCCCTTTTCAAAACTCATCTCTTCTCCTCTTGTCTACTCATAGCCCACCCCTCATCAATCCATGCCGGTTGATCAAGTTTGATAGTCCTAACCCTAACCTTCCCTTATATTGTAAAGCGATTTTGAGTCATTGAAAAGCCCTATAAAAATATAATGTATTATTATTATTATACTGACAGGTATCAGATCTTGCTGTGTAAAATAATCTTCCTGAGAGGTGTCACTTGTGATGTAGTCTGTGTGTCCTACAGTGAATGTATTCCTGACAGCAACAGGTGATAAGAATCAAAGGTTCCCATAGGAAATGCATGCGGGTAATTTTTGACCCACTTATGGAAGCTTGGGGTAGTAATACAAAAACTACAATTTCTTAAAATGTAAATTTAAAATGTGAATGGCATGATATCCAAAACATGTTTTTTGAGGAATAGCTGGAATATGAAATGATAAAAAAATGTAATTTCAAAGATACTTCAACAAAACCACCTCACCGGGTCAAAAAAGACCCACTTATGCATGTAAGGGTTAAAAGAATAACAGTTCCTGGTTTGATTATTTTAACCATAGTTATCAGGAACAAATGTTACATTTTACTTGTGCAAGGAATATTCCAGAATGTGATGATGTGCATCTTCCTCATGGTAACACTGAAACTATGATTTTTCTTTTTAGACCAAAGTCAAGAAACCGAAGAAACACAATCCTTTCATGCCAAGTGGCAAGGTAACAATCAATCACATGTTTCCTTACACGTGGATAATACATGTTTGTGTGAACAAAATGACTGAAATGTAATTTAACTAAATCCTTCATTACAAATACTAACAAACCAAGCATAATGCTGCTGTCCGAGCAGTTTCAATTATTAAGGACAACATTTTAGTCTCAGCATCTGCATCCCTCTGTGTCTTCTTTAAGTCAGTGAATCTGTATACATCTGAACTGTGGAGACAATGTGTTTCTGTATGACAGCGCTTGTTATTCTATGATAATTGAGTTAATCATTGTTTGTTAAATGTCAAATTCACAACCTATCAGAAGAATAAAAGGTCTATGCCATTGGATGTTAAAGGTGGGGTAGGTAATTCACTTCAGAAACACTTTTTGTTATATTCCATGGAATGCTCTTAGCATCCCGATAGCAATGAATATATTAAATGCTTTGACAATAAATACATAAAAAATGTAATCTGTGGAAGCCGTGGCGCTGTAAAAAGCTTGATCAATCATCTGAGCCGGCCCGGCTAAAATAACTGGATGGCCTACCTGCCTGTCAGCCTTCCATCTGTGCACAAACTTATCTCGTGCCCTCATTGGTCATGTGCGTGTTCGTGTGTGTTGGAGGAGGGGCTCTGTGAGGAAGTCTGAAGGAAGGGGCAGATTTTTTTCCGGTTGTGTACTTTCAAATTCTAGCGCACTCAAGCTGGTTTCTCCATTCTTACAGTACCTACCTTACCTTTAACTAACAAATTAAATTGAAGCCGTAAAGAACATTTAAATAAAGTCTCCCCTTTGTCTAATAGACACAAAACCATTACTTTAATTATTGCCATGGAAATAGCATGAACACCATTCTCTTAATATATATTCTCTAAAAGGTTATTTTGATGCTGGTGGTGGAGAGCGTTGTCGGACACAAATCTCCACTCAATTATTTAATGTTTTTTTGGTGTATCTCTATGGCTGCTAACTGAAAATGTGCAGTCTTGCCATGTTATGTTGTGAAGAGTAGTAAGTAAGCATAGGTAATAAGAAATCGCAAAAAATATGACCTTATTGGGTTTGTTAGTGTAGCATTAATATTTTAACCAGAGTTAATTATTTCAACTCTGTAACTATTTTTAATTCCTCCAATAAGTTCGATTCTGCTTACGCTGCTTCTTAGAAATTGCTTTGTAGCGGTTTGGACTGCATGGGAATTCATATCTGCCCAAAAGCAAAACTGTATATTGATATAACAAATGCCGTAACTGTGTGTCTTGGGTGTGTTTTCATTTGTTTCAGGGCAAAGGCATTAGGAGGAACGCTCAGGACGGCGCTGTAGGCGAAGGAGAGGTAGTGAAAATGAACTGGATGACACATAAAACTGTGTTTGACGTTTCCTAGTTTCTTTCTCTCCTTCAGTCTGCTCTCACATCACTTTTTAACCTCTTCCCTCCCTCTGTGTCAGTATATTTGTCCACCCAACTGACCATTTTCAGTCTTACTCATCGTGGTTCAGTTCTGCTCCAGTAACCCGACCCCTCCCTGAAAACAACCTCTGTCTTATGTTCGTCTCCAGGGTGTCCACTTAGCTCCCAACAGAGACTATTATAGTCAACATGTGTTTGTTTTTCTACCCTCCACTCTCGACATGACACCCACCTCCACGCAGTGTTTGTGCAGTTCCCTGGTATAGAAGGAGAAGAGATGAGATTAGGTTGCCATGTGCCCAAACTTGTTTCTCTGCTATGCTTCCTTTTTCAAGGTTTCCATGGGCGATTCTTTACTTCTGCAAAAACAAGCTGTGCATTTAGAATTCCTTTTACTATCACTTCCTCCTCTTTATCTGAGCATATACAGCATGAAAAGTGAAACCAAGGATATGAGACGCCTCATAAGTCGGTATTAATTCATTATCTTTACGTTTCTCAGTCTTTCTGTCTCACTCACACACTTCAGCCACACACTAGACCAGGGCTATTCAATTAGTTTGGAATGGGGGCCGGTGGATGAAAATGATCCAAAGCAAGGGGCCGGGAAAAAGATGGCTTGAAATATGAGCAATCATATTAAGAGCTTCAGATACAGTAAATACTACAACAGCATAGTGGAGTGCATATATTGTGTTCAATTCAATCAAACAACATAGCCCCAAGGCCTTTATAGATCTGAATGGCAAGTTCAGAACTCAGTAGGCCTACATGTGAAGCTAATGTAACCATCAACATCATTTCATTTGATTTAATTTAGGTGAAATTATCTAATCATTCACGCAGAGATGCAATCAATGACAGGAGTTGTCACTACAGTAGCTAGTAGGTGGGTTCGAAACCCGAGCCCGCCGAAGTTTTCAGGCAATGTCTTCCCCCCTATCTCTCAATGTAACACCCTCTCTGGAATAAAGGCACTCTGGCCCAAAATCTTAAAAAAAGATTTGTTTACTTTTTAGCATTATACTCAAAGGGCCAGTAAATATCACCCCGGGGCCGGATTTGGCCCGCGGGCCGCCAATTGAATAGCCCTGCACTAGACCCTGACATTTTGTCTTTACGCAAAATCTTGGTGTTAATATATACATTTTAAAAAGTAATATTTCTATTGTTTCAGAATGAAAAAAGAACTTTATTTGACCAGCTGGAAGATTTACGTATTGACCCGTCACAGCCTGAAGACAGACAGGTTGGTTTCTGAAGCAGAATCTGATCTCAACAGTTTGAATAGCAACCGTAGACATGCAAACTCATATACATCTAATGGTGTGTTTCAGGATTTCCAGGGCCTTATGGATTGGTGGAACACCGTGGAGTGTAAGTAACAAATAAAAAGATTTTCAGGGTTTATTCATTGATATGCTGTTATAGCAGCAGGTTAAGGCCCATGCTTCTGGAACTATATGCTCTGGATGTTTTGCTGTTCACATACTTTTGTCCGTTATTGAATATTGCACGATAAGTTAACTTCATTTTTTCTTTCTTACTTTTACCTCCTCAGCCTGGGAGGACACGCCTCAAGAGGATGACATGACTGAAAAACAAGAGGCGAAGTAAGTGATGGCACAAATACATGTTTATATAATATTTCACTTTCTTGTCTTTGATCTTTGAAGGATCTCATTTTGTTTGCACTGCTCGAAAAACGGTCAAAACTTTTTTTTTTTAAATACACAATTTCCCAAAAACATTACCACCTTTACCCCACATCACAAAACTCTGAAGCTTTTTATGTTTGTCTGACATCAACAATGTAGCAAGAAAATGTATTAGACACACCAGAAAAACCTTTTATAGAAATTCTGTGTATTATTGAGAGCTGGATATCTCAAAACTTGGGGAACTAAAACCACTAGTATGTGAATGGAAGATCCACTAGGGGTTTTTGAAATAAACTGTGACCTTGCTCTTTGTAATTCTAAATTGCTCGTCTCAGGGCGTTTGCTGTGACGGCGGACAAGGTGCAGAAGGGAATCCGCGTCTTCAACAAACTGTTCTCGGAGCGGGCTGAGACCCTCTGGCAGCACGTCATCGACCTCAACAGCATCGCAGACGGCCTGGACAAGTTCAACAAGAACACAAAGATCGCCCAAATCACCGGCGGCTCCACCAGCGCCATCGGGGGCGTGGCCACCATCACCGGCCTCGCTCTGGCCCCGGTCACCTTCGGGGTCTCTCTGATTATTACGGCTGTAGGATTGGGTGTTGCTACGGCAGGCGGTCTGACATCAGCAGGCGCCGGCATCTCCAACCAGGTCAACAACTCCCAGGACCGCAAGAAGGTGGAGAAGATCGTGAATGATTATGTGGAGAAGATGGTCGACCTCAACAAGTGCCTGAAATTCATCAAGCAGGGAATCGAGAACATGAAGCGGTTTGACCTGATCAAGATGAAAGAAAACACCTATAACCGAGACTTCCCTGTGCTCAGCAAGAGTATTTATGAAGACGGCGCCATGGCAGGGAAGGCCATCCTCATCAGCGCTAACGAGATCATGCGTGTGGTGCAGATCGCCAACGTGGCGGGAAGCACCGCAGCGAGAGCGGTCCAGATCGCTAGTATGGCCACTGGTGTGCTCACTGGACTCTTTGTAGGCATGGACATCTACTTCGTGGCCAAAGACTCCAAAGAACTGAAGAAAGGGGCCAAGTCCGAGTTTGCCGCCAAAATCAGGGAGGTGGCGACGCAGCTGCACGACGGCCTGGTGGAGCTGAACACGATACGAGAGGAGCTGCAGTGCACCGGGCCAGCAAACGAAGAAGGCACCGACACGGCCCCATTGGACAGTGACAAGAAAGACGACAAACATGACAGTTCAAGTGAAGATGAAATCGACCGCATCAAAAAAGCCATTAAAAAGGACTATGAGAACCGAGAATATGTTTGAAGGCCTGAAACTTTGCTCTGTCATTAGGGGTTCAGATGCAAGCTTCAAACATTCTCAGTTTCCAAGTTCCCCTACAGAACAAGTACTTTGAAGGTACCGGCTTAGCGTCTATTCTATGAGGTGGTTGGTGCACATTGCTTGAAACTGAAGTGTACAATCAGGCCTTTTTCCAATGAGGAAATATACTAGTTTTTAGTTTTGTGTTTTTAAGGATGTGAATTCTTAAAACACACCTGGGAGGAACTGAGGCTCTGCGGTATAAAGTATCTGCTTCTCTGGCTGTGGTGTCAAACTGCCATGTTCTTTTTTTTAAGAAAATGGGATTCAAAGACCAAACTAAATCATGAATTTGGATAGTACACTTTTAGATTTTTAAAGAAATAGGTACAAAGTATTTTTTAGAGACTTTATAAGTTTGCCTTCAAAGTGATTGTTAGAGTTCCATTGAAGTGTGTTGATTCTTTTAGACTTTGCTTATACTCTTACGGGTGCCTTAATTATTTTTAAATTGCCATAGAAATACACTATAATGCAATGGAGTAATAGTCTATCTTTTCTATGTCTATGTTGTTTGTTTTGGTGTCAGGTTAACCCCTCATCCTCTGCTTTAAGTTCTGGATTTAATGTGAGGTGTTTTAACGTATTGATGACTTTTGTCTCATTTTAAAGAATGGGCCAATAAGCTTTGCATCAGATGTTTTTTTTCACAAGAGCTAATAAAACAACAAAATGAACCTCATTAACCTAGCTGTAGCCAACCTTAAACAAATATGTTTTTAGGAAGTCACATGTCAATCAAACTTAGCTGCTAATACTTTTCTTAAATGCAATTAATAGGTTTTATTTTTATATTCAAGCAGGGCATAAATGGAGAATTATGTGTTTTAGAATTATTCATATTTATCCAGTCTAGGATGAATGGGAAATATCGGATTATGCTAACCTAGCTAACGCCACTTGGTCCTTTAGTACTTCGGCTCTTTTTTGTAATGAATGGTTTTTACTCCCTAAACGCCATTATTAAACGTAATTTTTTAGAGTTGGATCATGTATGTCACCCATGTTTTATATTATTGCCAAATCTCCTGAGTCTAAACTAGTCACAATGAAAGCAAGCTAACGTTAGCTTTTTTTCTGTTAGCTAGGCCTCACCTGTCAGTGACTGGGTGATAGTGACTAATCTCTTCATGCAAATCAGTTGCTGTGGAGCCACCTGTTTTATTTGATTGAAGTGTAAACCTTAACTTAGTACCCACTTGACCACTGGTGCAAAATAATGGGAAGATACAGACATAAAATCTGAGGAGAACTTCTATGATGGTGTTCTTTGTTTTTTTTAACAGTCCTGCAGGTTTAACCGTTGTCTTCAGCCATATTTAATGATTTAATGGTTTGGAAAATTATCTCTTACAACTGGAATGACAGTACTCTTCTGAAAATAACTGTTTGCCATTTCCTTTTATTACAGCATTAATCTTTTTAAATGATTTCAAAGTCACGCTCCATTATGTGGTTCATACTGTAAGCTCTGCTGATGTTAGTCCTGTGGTGTGTTTAATTAACTTAATATTTATTTTCTGGGTGGAGTTCATTCGATACTACCTGTACTGTACATGTGCAATATATTGTAGAATCTGTGTAATACTTTTAAATTGACAAATAAAGGTCAGATAAATATGTTTTTGGTCAATCTGTCTCTTTGTTAGTCTATGTGTCAGCAAGCAAACACTTCGTTTTTCCTCTTCTGCTGTGCACTTACTGCATTTCTTATTTGCTCAGTTAAAACCAAGATTAATGTGTTTGTCTAAGTGTCCTGGAGCAATGTTGCTCCTGTGGGGATTGCCCACAGTATTGAGTATGTAAGTCGCTTTGGATAAAAGCTTCTAACAAGTAACATGCAATAATTAGACTGGGGTTAGATTTATTTAGCCACATAGATCAGTCGATTCAAGGCGACAGAAGCAACACATGCCGTTTTGTTAATCGAAATATAGCAGAAACCTCGCCCTGCTTACACTCATTACTACACACAACAGTGACATCACAGCGTGCTGACCCCACCCTGAAGGACACGCTACATCACTGCAGCAGGACGAGGTGATAAACCAGTTTCGGTCTGAAAAAATCTTAATTTGTGTTTAAAGTTGCTCTTTGAATTGAACAGTTTTAAGTTGGTGATTACCACAACGTTCTTGTACACCCTAATGTGATTGTCATTGATAAGCAATCAGGAAATAATAAGCGCAACGCTGTAGTCGTAGTACTATTGCAAATAAAAATAAATGAGACAGCCAGTTTATTGCTTTTTTTGCATTTCCTGAAACAAGAATACTGCTTCACATTGATTTATTTTACAACCCGTATGCTGACATTATATTTCCCTCCTATCATCTTTTTCTTATCGAATTTAATCATGTCGTGTTATTTTATATATTATTTTTAAAAATAAATAATTTAATTAAGCTTGTATTTCTATGTCTACAACTGGACAAGGGTGCTATAGATTTTTTAAAACCAAATAGATCACAAAACAAAAAATATCTTAAATGTTACCAGATTAATCTTGACTATGCCACAAATGTACCAATAAGAGATAAAACAAGATTATAATTGTTTTGCAATTTTAATTAATAAAAAAGAAAATCTTAAAAATCACATTGACATCAAGTGCCTTCCTCTTTCTCCTGATAATTTTTGGAAGTTTCTACATCTTAATTGGATTTCACCTGGTGGTCAATACAGTTAAGTGCACGACCTAGAGAAGACAAACATGTTAATGAAGTTTCACATCTGACCATGCTTATCAAACCAAGCCATGAATCCAAATATAAAGGCAGATGGATATGTTCCAAAAATATCCGTTTAACAATTAAATTAACAAAATAATATTGACATGTAAAATATTGTCGAACTCATTGTTATTTTGTGTCAGTGTTCGTTGTCCTGACAAGACGATGACTACATTTCTATTTTTGGAGCAGCAGTTCGCATCACGCTTGGGTTTTAGTTTCACATGTTGTTGACACCTGTGAAACCGATGAGTCACAGCAACGCGTTTCTTCCGTTTCCACTGACACAGGTAGACTCAAACAGGCCACGCCCACTCCCACGGGTAGACTCAAACAGGCCACGCCCATTCCCAGGTGAGTCGACAGCCCTCACAAAGCCAGAAGCAACATAAAGGTTTCTTACCTCGCATCTTCTCCCACTGCAATAACAGGTGAGATGTAGGTCATTAAATGCTGCCTTTTATGTTTTAAACAAGTATCAGATGGACATTTTGTGAATGAGATGATATATGATATGTGTGGCAGGAAGTCGGTTTATTATCCAACAGGTGATTTCAGTGAGGTTTTGTGGAACAAGAAGCTCAGGGCGTGTTTGGGTTTGTTTAAGATGCTTTGTTCGACCTGTTAGAATTGTTGCCTTTGGGTGGAGTCAGAAATATTTGGATTAGGCTACTTCATGTGGCGATGACTACCGTTGAGAAACATGACAACATAAGGTGGTATTGTGCAGTGGACATGAGGAGTTAAAGGTTGAGAGGATTGAAACTGCATCAACCAGTGACGCTGACAGTGATGTGAATATGATATTTTTTCATATATAAATAATAATGCATGCTTCTGTGCCCTAGGAATGCATTTTTATTTATTTTTTGCACACTTTTTTTTCAACTCAAATTACGAATGCTTTTCCCTAGTGCTATGCTTCTGTAATTTAACATATTTCTATGAACATCAGGATGTTGACACTATAGGGCTGGTTATTCAAACTGAATTAATAGCAGAGCAAATGTGATTTTTTTGTCACTGATACTAGACAGATACCTTTTTTTTGCTAAGTAAGTTTGATAAATAGACTTACCATTATTAAACTCAATTCAACATACATAATGTGTCCCCTGGGAGCTATTTGCAGAGGCACATATGGAGCAATAACAAAAAAAGAAACCCTATACAATTAGAAAGAATATATAAAATAGAACAAATGATAGTTCAAAGCAACCCACAAAATGAAAATGCAGAGCACTTCATGCATTTCATCAATACAATTCCTTAAAAACACCTTCTGGGCAATTTCAGGATGATTTTCAACACTTGAGTTTAGACAAACAAAACAGAACTAATGAGAGAAAAAAGTGAATTAGGTTAAATCGGATGTGACTTCAGATACGGAGGATAAGATTTCTGAGCTTTTTAAGGAGCTCTCGAACGCCTCCTGTGTGCAGATGTGTTTTGTGGGTGTGGTATAGTTTTAGAAACTCCTGGGAATGTTGTGACAGTGAAGGAGCCATCACTGCTCTGCTTTGATGTAACTTAGTAAAAAACTGAACGTAAATGAATTTATAACTGTCTCCAAATCTCCGGTAAGTGAAACCACTCAGTCTGACCTCAACCTGATCCAGTTATTTACAGTTTAAGACGCTTTTAATTAACAATTTACCGTCAGTTTCACTGTTAGCCAACGTTAGCTAAACATTTCCAGCCGGTTAAACTGCAGTTTAAGGAAATGTGTATTAAAGTACTTCTCTAAATGTTTCATACAGAGAGTGAACACTGTCAATATGCCCTGCAATTCTTCCTGTATTCAGTATTGTTATATTTTAACAGAGGTGCACAGTAACTAAGTACTCAAGTATTGTACTTATGTACACATTTGAGGTACTTGTACTTTAGTTTTGAATGAGTATTTTCATTTCTCTACTACTTTTGTCTTTACTTTGGAAGCAAATGTTGTACTTTTTACTCCACTACATTTGTTTGACAGATTTATTTACAAGTTACTTAAAACAAATCTGATTTAGGCACACAATACTTTTGATGTTTGCTTATTTGGTATAGTAATATTAACTGAATTAAGATATTTTCTGTTCAAAAAATATTTCAGTTCCAGGTTCTTGTTAAATATTTAAAATGTAGTTTTTTTTTGGTGGAGAGAGGTCTTTTACTTTCTCTCATTTTCCTAATCGTACTAATACTTAAATACCATTCTAGATGCAGTTCTTTTACGAATCTGAATACTTACACCACTGTATTTGTCTACATTAAAACCAACAACACTACAGTGTAGACATACTCTGTTACAAGTAAAATACCAGTACCTAAAGTACTCATTATGAAGAATGGCCCATTTCAGAAACATTTATATTATATTGCTTTATAAATAAGTGTTTGTCTCTCTGTTTTTTCCAGGTGGAAGTGACACACCTGCACACACCTGTGATATTCCTGTTGGAGTTTACTCTTCATCTCTGTCTGTGTCTCTTCAGGCAGGATGGAGACATGTATGATGAAACCAGAAGTCAAAAAGAAGCCAAACCCAGTAAGATTATTTACATATAACACAAAAGCAAGAACCTAATGCAAAACACAGTGTGAATAATGTCAGATAACATACAACAGATGTAAATCTAACCAATCTTATCATATATATTTCCTGTTTTCTTCTCCGTCTACAGCCGAAGCCTCCTCTCAAGCCTTCAGAGGTACTGTGATATAAACTCAAAGCTTTAATATGCGCTATCACAAAGTTAATCATGCGTTTGCTTTCTTTGTTACCATGCATGTGACTGGGGTTTATATATGTTGACTTTTGGATGGCTTCACATTTCAACGAACTGTCTTCACAGATTAAAAGAATGGAGCAAGAGAAACTACAGAAAGGAACTCCTCTGGTGCCTCAACGACCTGCAGACGCTGTAAGTCCAGACATCTTAGACCAGTAGTGTTTCTCTACAGGTAAAACAAATGTGATGCGATGTAGGGTCCACATTTTTTTAATGTATATATCTTCTGCTCCGCATATTTGGTTTGGCAACATTCCTTAAACATCTGGTAACATTTAAGTAAAATAATCAGTCAGCGTTCCAGTGAAAATGATTTCTTTCCCCTTTTTTAATCACTTTGCCTAAAATATGACAAAACAACACAAGATATGGTTAAACAGATCACAATAAATAAATAGAGATAAATAGATGTGCCCACTCTGTGAGGAAGAAGACAAGGGTTCAATCCATCAAATCCATATATTGTTTTAACACAAAACAGTCACTTGTAAAAATATTAAATAATGATACAAACTGGATTTTATTATTATCCACTGGCAGTTTTCAGCACAACAATATAACTGGACTTTAAATCAGCCTTGAATAAATATTTAAATGAAAATCATAACTTTTCAAGCATTTGTGAGCAGTGTTTTGCATACAACGCTTTCATGTCTTTTACTAGAATCACAAAAGGCAGATGAGAGGTTAGTTTGATTTGCAAAGAGACTCAACAGTTGAAAAAACCGATGTGTGTTTTGTGTGCAGGAACTCGGTCAAACACAATACCGAAAGAGAGGAGCAGCAACAACAAACACTGAGGTATTTAGTGTACTTTTACATGTTGAAGTTTTTGTAGGGCAGAGAAAAATGAACAACACATTGTCAGGGAATAATTCTGTATACATGTTTACCTTTTGCCCTCTGACGCAGATGCAGAGCTATCTCCCTTACGGAGGGGCTGCCCTAGCATGTTGTTGTTGTTACCAGTTTGTGACCGGGCAACTCTCGGTCAGAGATAGTTATTGTTGTGGGACACCTGGAACACATCCTTCTCGGGGTGTAGATGACCCCGAGCCATAAGCGACAACAAATGTGATTCAGTGTCCTCAGCTGTTTAGTCTATCTATTGAGGAATGTTGATTATTACACTCTGAACTAGTTAAAACCTCGAGCTACAGGAGGGGTCTTCAGAATTGGTTGTGGCATCTCAACCGTGTGGTCAAACCGTGGCCCGTGACATGTCTTGTGAATTCTCCGGCCAAAGCTCCAAATAAACCCTCAGTGTTTGCCATCAAAGCTCCAGCTCTCCTCGTGTCTCTCTGAGTCCTGTTTCCAATTGCTTCAGAAGTTTCCCCCACACACATGAATATATTTTAACTAAAAACGTTGTGATGTTAGAGTGGTTATCGCTGATTTGACTCCAGTCTGGGACATTTTGTATTTCCCTTTGTTTGTGTTTCCTCTCTCATCTCTACTGTAACTTCCTTATAATGGCACAAAATAATCTGTACAATAAAATGGAATAAGAAAGGTTAGGTCAGTAAATTAATCATCAGTATAATTATGTATTATGTCGATTCACATGGGAAAAACAAACGTCAAACCATTTATCAAATCAAATCAAATCAAATCAAATCAAGTTTTATTTATATAGCACATTTTTAAACGATTTTTGGTCGAGCCAAAGTGCTGTACATATAATAAAAATACCCTACAGTAAAGACACTTTACAGCAAATACAACAGCACAGTTTGTGCAGAATATCAGTATGAGAAAGACGACACCCTCTGTCCTTAGACCCTCGCATAGTACAAGGAAAAACTTCCGGAGAAAAACCCACAGTTTAAAGGGAAAAATGGGAGAAACCTCATTTATGATTACTATGATGTTGATTTTAACCAATATTCTGCTTTATTTTGCATACATATGCTTTTTGTACCTTGAACGTTTTCTTTTTTTGTCTTTGTTATAATTATTATTATAGGAAAAAAAAAACATATGCTATTTGCATTATTGTCCAGTAATGGTAACTGATCAGTCTGATAGCCTTTTTTCAAAAAACTAAGTGTGTCTTCATATTTTTTCATCCTCATCAGGCGAATGGGAACTCTATACAAACTCCTGTGGTTCCACCCAGACCCACAGAAAAGGTACACAAACACTCCCAATATATAAAAATACAATGCGGTGTTTCTCATATTTAAAACCAAACACAGAAGTGGTAACCTGATACTGTGAGAACATGTGTTGGTTTCATGTCAATAAAGATTATTAGAGTTAATCAGCAACCTTTGGAGCCTGTTCTTCAGTGTGAGAACAGCTAACTGTGAAGAAATGACAACAGGTTTCACAGTTTTTGTGTGTGTGTGTGTGTGTGTGTGTGTGTGTGTGTGTGTGTGTGTGTGTGTGTGTGTGTGTGTGTGTGTGTGTGTGTGTGTGTGTGTGTGTGTGTGTGTGTGTGTGTGTGTGTGTGTGTGTGTGTGTGTGTGTGTGTGTGTGTGGGAACTTAAGGACGCCACCAGATACAGCCAACGCAAGAGGATACAGGCTGGGGACACACAGGTAGAAATCAGTTTAAAGTACAGACTAAGAATATAATAACATTTGCAAATTAACAAATTCAACAATAAAAGCACATCCACAAACAGAACCCCAAATAGATGAACTATATTCAACATTTCCTCTCAGTAGTTTAGTCTTTTCACTTTAACCTTCCATAGCTTCTGCAATGTCCCATTTTTTTTTATAAATTCCAAACTTTTCTGAGTCTGTGTCCCTCCTGTTCCTCATCAGAGCCAACCAGGAGTTAACAAAGAGGAAACCGCCATTAAGCAGGTAATAGAGCCGGAGTAATTATTCTGCAGCTTTGACCTAATTTAAATACAGTGTATATAATATATTCCTCTTTGCTTACATGTTCTTTGTTGTAGACTGATCAGTCGGTCCTGACTGGAATGTTTCGCCGGAGCCAAAAAGAGAAACCGCCTTCGTTCACTGTAAGAAACACACCTGCAGCTCTGCACATATTGTTTATGTGTATTTGTTTGCTTATGATATTGGAAAGGTTTTTGGCTTCACATAATCGTACACTTTTTGTATCCGTTGTGGATGCAATAATGCACAGTAGGTGGTTACTTTAAAAACAACAAAAACATGATGTGAAGCAGTTATCTTGAACCTCGTTGAGTCCATATTTTCTAATACCGGATCACCTTAAAGGCATCATGAGTTTTTTAGTGCGGTTTCTACACTTAAAATTCAAATCTGGCTCCTCGTCCATGGCACAGTGAGGGTAACGGTGCTCTATCTACACTTTGATTTGCTTTAAATTCTGAATTAGTATGGTTAATTTGACAAAGAACAGCCTTCAAATTCAAACAAGAAGCCAGTCAGTTTACCTGTGTTTCGATAATAGAAGTTAAGTGTTGTTTAAGAAAAAATATTGTGGGTATTGTTGGGTTATTTTTGCTTTATTCAGCTATACATAGTGACTTAACAGACATTTTATCAAATTGAAGTCTTGGAGAATATTTCTTTAAATATGTACTTATCTTTCCTCACCATACACTGACTGGAGGACCTATAACTGGGTCATTTAATCAATAAGGTATATGTAGAAAAGAGTAATACAAAGGTTCAAGGTTCTTTATTGTCAAACTAACATAGCTACAGAGTAATTATGTCGTTGAAAATCTTATGTCACAGGCTTCTCCAACAATGCAACATCATAATAATACAGATAGTAAAAGTAATACAAAAAGAAAAATAGTTCTAAAATAAAGTGAGTATGTGGAATAGTGCAGTACGAGTCTATATACAAGTTATTGGAATGATATATATTAGGTATACCACAGTCAAACAGGTTCCTGGTGGAAGACAGGTGTGTACGTGCATGAGACATAAGTGTGTATTCAGACATACAATAGGTGTGTATCAGCATGTATAAGCTGCTGTTGGGATTCTGTACAGTAAGTCATCTCATATTTATCAATCACAGAAGAAAAACATCAAATTAGTGATTCTATTCTGCAGGTATATTGATCAGAAGCTGTTGTGTTTGCCTTTCTTCCTCAGAGTTACGTGGCCCCAGACAAAGAGGAAATCACTGAAGATCTCCCGGCCAAAAAGACCCTTGGCAGCAAATCGGTATGTGTGTTTTGATATGTGTGTTTTGATGTGTGTGTTTTTGTGTTCCCATGTTGATGTCATGCGCTGGTGTGTGACATGTGACTGTGCTTGACAGGCCGGTCTGAAGGGAGTTATGAAAGGGTTACAGATCAAGTCGTCACCGAAGGTATGAAGCACCGTGTGTTTGGTGTTTCCTGCTGGTGGGGGCTGCAGCATTTTATCCATAACAATATCTGTTAATGACCTTTTACATGGAAGTAGCGTGGCTTGTGTCGCCGTGGTGATAATGGTGGTGGTTGAACAGTAACTGCTTGGTGATATTTACCTGGATTGTTTTTAAATTAATGGATATTTGAAAGTGTTGTCTTTGGTTTAAAAGAAGCATTTTGATAACAAATGCTCACACTAACCGGAGTATACCCTGTGAATGATTTGATGAGATTTTTCGATACACCCCTTCTGCCTTTTGTCCTTGTACTTTTTTCGTGGTGTTCTCTCTTGTCTGTTGGTATAAAATAAAACATTTGAGATGATCATATTGTGCTGAAGATTGTTGACTCCTATTAAAGGTCAGCAGAGAGCCGAGTCCAGAACCCAGAAGCGAGGAAGCCGGCTCAGAAAAGGAAGAAAAAAACAAGCCCGAAAGAAATGCCGAAGCTAAACAGGTGAGAGAATAACTGTCTCTTGATTTGTTTCTGGACAATTAACTCAATAGTGGTTAAAAAAATAAAGTTTCAGAGAGTAACAAAGTGAAAACATATCTTTGAAAGTGCTCAAATAAACAATAAACAACTCAGAAATAAAAAAAGAAATGTGCTAACACAAATTAAACCAAACAGTAACATTGTTTCCACGTTTCTCTCTTTTTAAATGTCTACAAGCAAACAGGGAGAACAGATTTCAAAGAAATGTGGACATTAATGTAGCTTTTTGTTAGACAAGTAAACGTTTAATTGTTTTCCACCTTTTGTTTAGGATATCGGAGATAAGATTGCAGGAATGTTCCGCAAAACTCCCAAAGAGAAATCGTCGTCTCCTGCTGTGACGGTAACTTAATCTCTTCTGCTCCTTTTCACATCATAAATGTCACTTTCAGTCTCTCAGTTCCTCTTACTCGTTGTTGTTCTGCCATTTCACCCCCAGGTCCACAAAGCAGACAGTGATCCTGAAGATGAAGAAGAGGAAGAGGAAGAAGCTGAAGATCAGGTATCTTTTTGTTTTGGTATAATCTACACAGTGTCCCTTGGCATAAAGGCCCCTTCACACAGAAACAGACCGTTTACATCAGGGGTGTCAAACTCAAATACACAGTGGGCCAAAATAAAAAAATCGGTACTAGTCGAGGGCCGGACTGGTTCAATGTTTATTGCAAAACTTATTGAAATGAACTTATTGCACATATTAAACCTGGAACTAACAAAGCTTAAATGATTGCCTATAAAAACAACATTAAACTTTAAAGGTCCCATGTCATGCTTTTCTGGTTATTACCCGTCCCCTTGTGTGTTATGTAGCTTTTTATGCATGTAAACGGTCTGCAGAGTCACAAACCCTCAAAGTACACCCTGTAGGGAGTAAAACTCTAACACAGAAAAGATGTGTCTATGCTGCCCCAGAACGCCTCGTTGGAGATTTCTCTTTTTCCATTGTTTACTTCTTGGGTATAGTGACGTATTTCGGGTATAGTGACGTACAGTAACGTAACGGCCGCGGAGCAATCCGCGGACTTCCTCACACACACACATTCGGCAGGACGTTGCGAGGCTCGCTGCTGCGAGGAGCAGGACACTGTGAGCCGGCTCACTGGTGTGGGGTCAGTGAGACAGCGAGACACCGCGGAACTCAGCCTGGGCACACACACAAACTCCCAGCCAGGCTGCGGGTGTGTGTGTGTTTCGGGCTGGGTTTCGCTGTGTCTCGCTGTCTCGCAGACGGCCACTGGGCTCACAGGGAGGGGGGGCAGGAGCTCAAACAAGCCATTTAGGACAGAGAGTGAATACACATACTTTACAGAGATGCTGTATGAGAAACCAATGTGAGTTTGGAAAATTGCACAATATACATTTATTTTAGTAGACCTCAACAATGGAATTATGATCAGTAGAAATGGCCATGACATGGGACCTTTAAATAATCAGTTGCATTCATTTCTTATGGCTCTATCTGCAGCTTTTCCAGAGTCATTTCTTATGATTACATTTTCCCACAGGCCAACAACAGCTTCAACAAAACTATTTCCCTCAAAGAACAAACCAAACATGTCCTGTTGTCTCAAGAAGCAAAGTGCAAGAGGAAACATCCATGTAAACTCAGTGTGCTGCTCTGTGATGCTAGTTCAAGCCAGATACTTGGCATCTCATCTTGGGTGCAAGTTCATCAATGTTTGGGGTCAGGATTGAGTGAAGGTTTGCGTGCAATATACCGGATCTAATAGTAATTAAAAATTATCCTGCGGGCCGAAATTAAATCCACCAAGGGCCTGATTTGGCCCCCTGGCCTTGAGTTTGACACATGTGGTTTACATCATACTCAGTATCTTAAAGGATTGATCAACCGCTGTTATGAAACGAGCTCTCATTTGAAAGATGTGCCTCAAATAGCCAAAGAAATTAGTTAAAAAAAATCTGCATAAACGTATGTGTGTTTATGTTAAAGTCAGGGCTAGAGATTGCTGCCCGTGTTCCTTGGTAGAAGTATGATTTAATAGACATGTAATCCATGTTTAAGAGGACTGCTACATTACATTTTATTTAGCTGACACTTTTATGTTACTTTTTAAACTAACTCTTTCATCTCTGAGATGTTTTTGTGCAGTGTCATTATGATGCTGTAGGTGTGTGTTTGCTTTGTGTATCTGTGTTAATATGATCACGATCAAATGGTTACATTTGTTACAGGAAAAGGGAGGCTTCTTCTCTGGCATCCATAGAAAATCCCACAAAACAACAGACGAGACACCGGCGCAGGTTAGTGACAAAAAATAGCTTCATTCTTAAAAGAAACTACTCAAAAAAAAGTCAATGTTCATATTTTTTATGTTCCTATGATATGACGTTTGGTGTTTCAGGACAGTCTGAGCGTTCACAGCGATCTGTCTGCCAGCAGCGACAGTCTGTCTGAAAACAGCAACAAGGTGAGCAGCTTTGTGAAGGATCACATAAAGTTATCTTTGAATACAGTTTACACACAGACGGCAGATTGTTCTGCATGGCCTCACATTGACCTGACCTTGACAAGAATACATCTTAACTGAGTGTGTGTGTGTGTTTCAGGAAAAAGGAGGAATATTCAGCGGGATGTTCAAGAAGTCTCCCAAACAAACAGACGTTGCTCAAACTGACGAGGTGATGTGGCTCAGAAACTGTTGTATTATGCTAATTAATTTCAACAAGTTAAATTTAAGTTAAGTTAGTTAAATCCCGTGGTCTGATAAACGTATTGAACCAGTTTATTTTGTCTTCTAGGACCGACAGTCTTTACATGACGATCTGTCGGGCAGTAGTGACAATCTGTCTGAAAAATCAAAGGTGAGTTCAGAAGTTTCTTGAAGTGACTGTATTTTATTTTATTCATTATTAAAATGATGTAGACATTTGACTCATGGTGTGAATTAATTTGTCTGAATAGGAAAAAGGAGGGTTTTTCAGCGGGATGCTAAGAAAGTCTCCCAAGGTTTCTAGAGAGGGAACACCTGGACAGGTAACTGAAATGTATTTGCACATAAAAGTAATATTTACTGAAATATGTAGCAGCCTGTTGCTGTAACATCATTTCAGAATGGTATATATAAACATAATAAATGTTCATGGCTGAAATCTAAATTACAGACAAGCTGGTTTTATTTTTTATTTGTTTTAAACGTATTCTTTATTAGTTATTTTCTCACATTCCCCTTTACATCCAATAGTACTCCAATGTAGATGAACAGTTTCTTTAACAAGGGGTCACAACATGTAGAAGGTCTCAAATCCCAAAAATTCAACATGAGAATATGAAAAACATAATGTATAGAAATCAAATCAATAATAACACTGAGAATGTAAATGACACAGGTATAACAAAAATAAAATAAAAGATGGGTTATATATATATAAGGTCATCCTACATATTACAATGATACAGTCCAATATACTTAGGAAAAATATCCATATACCAGAACATTCCAAAAATATTATATTATTTTGGGGTGTCACAGTCCAGTTCCCTTTTTTTAAATTTATTTAATTTAATTTAATTTCAAACCTTTATTTAACCAGATGGTCCCATTGAGATCATGGATATCTTTTTCAAGGGAGACCTGCAGCATATAGGTTCCACATGAAACATAAAACAATAAAGGACATCATACATTATATTTACAGGATACATTTACATAGTTATAGAGATTTACAAATACCCATAGTTTTAACGAGCATTTCATTTAGCCTAGCTTTAAAAACATGCAGAGGAATGAGATTGCTCAGTTTCAATTCTTGCTGTAGATTGTTCCAAGCAAGTGGCGCTGCGCACATAAAAGCTGTCTTACCTAAGACAGTCCTTGCTCTTGGCACATCTAACAAGACTACATCATGCGATCTCAGACAATAGCTGCTTGCAACTCTCTGTGTGATCAGTGAACAGATGTAATACGGGAGTTTACCCAACAAAGCTTTATAAATAAACGTGTACCAATGACTGAGCCTCCGTACAGTAAGTGATGGCAAACCTGCCTTGGCATACAGGGTACAGTGATGTGTAAGTGCTTTACAGTTAGTGACAAATCTCAGTGCGCTGTGATAGGCGGCATCTAACTTGTTCAGGCAATGGGCAGGTGCATTCATATAATGCAGCCTGTATAATCCTTCCATTATTAATAGACAAGCTGCTTTTAAACTATTCTATACATAATAAACACCTGTGAACGTGTCCCTCTGTTCACCTGCATTAACCAGTTTTTGTAACCGGTTACATTGTCCCTGTCGGCACAGGTTGAGTAACATTTTTGTTGTGTTCAGGGTTCAGAGACGTTACACAGCGAGCTCTCTGCCAGCTCTGACAGCCTGTCGGAGAACAAGGTGAGTCTTCATCATCAGATCCTCCCCTCAAACACACACTGAAACCAAATGAGTCACCAGGTAGTCACCACCAACATGAGAAGAAAAAGGTTGAGGCTAAAAGATAAGGAGCTTTGTTATTCTGAATGTAAAGGTCACCTATTATGCAAAATCCACTTTTTCATGTATTTTCTACATCAACATGTCCCCCCCCCCCCTCTGTGGAAAGAGATTCTGAAAATGAGCTGATCAGATTTTGGCCACTTTATGATGTCATAACGATGTTTTGGCTTGTGTAACCATTAGCCAATCAGCAACCAAGGTAACCCCCCCCCCACCACCTTATCACCTGAATCTCCTCCTAGAGCACCATTGTGTTCTTTGTAACCAAATATCTCTCAGAGGGGCGTGGGGAGGGGCTCCTTATTTTCATCTAAAGTAACAGACAGAGAATCAGCACTTTTGAAACAGGGCTGAAACAGAGGGGATTATGGGATGCTGCAATGATCTGTTTGGTGTTTGGAGCCAAACACTTCAGAGACATGTTTTGTATATATCTGAGACCTGTAATATATTGATGAAAAACAGTATAATAGGGGATCTTTTAAAGAACATAAATGCGTTTGCTTTAACATGTGTTCTGCTTCTCTGTAGGAGAAAGGAGGTTTGTTCAGTGGACTCCTCAGAAAGACCCCCAAAACACCCGGAGAGGTACAGCTTCTCAAAGTCAAGGCAGCTTGCATGTAGACACAGACAGTAAACGTCTTATTCTTATACAAATCTGGTTTATTGTTCTTACTACATGGTTTCACCACAACACTTCCTGTTGGTTTGTTTATTGATTTTTATATTTTGCACACAAACCAGCCCATGTCCTGAGACCCAAAGGGATGTCTGTGTGATTATAGATAAAGGCTTAGCTTTTAAAGTGTATGAAAATATACCTCTCCTCTTTCATTACAGGCTCAATGATATATTGCTCTGTCTTTACTCAGAAATAGAGTACTCCTCATCTGACTCGACGACAGACGTTAGAATATTTGTATCTAACGCTTTCTCACACGCTGAGCTGCTCTCTGTTCCTGACAGTTTTCTTGTTTCAGGAGAATCTATCGGCACAGAAAGATCTTTCAGCCAGCAACGACAGTCTGTCTGAAGCGACCAACACTAAGGTCAGTTCACTTGTACAAACGGTCTCAGGCATCAGGGGAAATCTGTCTGTTGGGCTCCAGGAAATTAGTTTAATGAATACAACATGTTAGGGATCTTTATTTGCAGCCCTTCTTATGGCTCAAATCTAATGTGGCAATGATACAGTATGTTCCCTACAGTGTACCTGTTTGTAATACTGATACGTGGTGAATGGAAGAGGACTCAAGACATTGTTACAATATAAATACAAACACATGCTAAAGGGGAAATCAGGCAAGACCACAGACAGTCCAGTTAAGATGTATTTACAGGTCGAGTTTACAAAAATATCAAAAGTATCTACAAATATTAAGAAAATACATCGACCAAGAGTGCATCTTATCGTATTACGGCCCGTCCACACGGCAGCGTTAAAAAAATCTTGGAGGTGGGCGTATCTGAAGCTTGGGGATTTTTTGCGAGCAAGGCACCAACAACCAATCACATGAATCTCCCGCCCCCGACATACGAAGCAAAAAAGCCCGAAGTAAACTGGATATAAACTCCCCAAACAGGCGAAAACATACCACTGTCTCTGCCACCTCCCTCCATGCCTGGCTCCTCCGGTTTATATCCCGGTAGGTAAATAGGGACTGGTCATTTTTTTGGAATATGAGGAAATGACCTGCGGTATGTCTCTCCCAGCATACACGCCGTTTGATTGGCTAGAGCTTGAACTGTCAGATTTGCATATACGGGATTTGATTGGCTGACGCTTCCACCTCAGCTTCAAAAGTTGAACATTGCTCAACTTTGAATCCTGAAAATCCTGAAAATCTCCGCTCGCCTGCCCACAATGCAGTTCGGCGAAAAGTGAGGCAAAGTGACGTCACCCCATTCAAAGTGAATGGGCAGAAGCGTTTCAAGATTTGTTAACGCTGCTGTGTGGACGGTCCGTTACTGAATATGACTCGACAGAAATGTATTTATTTAGTTCTTTTTATTTAATTAGATTTATTGTTTATTTGTATGTTGTTTACTGTATAAATGTACTATATATTTTTTTCTAAAACGTGTCCTTTCGTTCTGATTGGAGTTGTGTGTAATGATTTTTGTAAGTGATTCATATGTTCTATGTGTGGAACAGGTAATGTGAATATAAAGTTTATATACAAATGTCATGTGTGCTTCAGGTGAAAGGAGGTTTCAGTGGATTGTTCAAGCGGTCGTCCACACTTGAAGACAGTGCTGCTGCAGAGGAAGTAAGACGTCTCTGATTTATGAACCCATTCAGGCGTCCCTTTTAATATAGTGCTGTTCCTGTTAGCTGTAAAAGATCCCTGTTAGAAGTATAATGTAAAAATGTCAGAAAGTGTAACAGCTTTTTAATTAGATTTTTTTACTCAGGAAACACAATCAAAAAACGATGAACTCACAGGCAGCAGTGAAGCTCTCAACACTAAGGTAAAAAGATGAATGCTTAATTTAAAAACAGTCCTGAATAACTTAAGGAGAGAGCACTCACTTTTTAACTGTATGTTTCAGGAAAAAGGAGGAATATTTAGTGGAATATTCAAGAAAACTCCTAAATCTGCAGAAGCTGCTCAACCTGAGGAGGTAAAATGTGTTAAATGTTTTAATGAAATGAACATATATTGTATTTAGAATTATGGAGGCATGCTTGGAAGTCTTTTATGATCACTTTAACATTGTTTGGTAACCAAAATGTGTTGCCACTAAGAATGAACTAATGATACATTTCTGTTAAAAATGCAGTAATTATTTTTCTGTCTTAGAATGATGAATTTTGTTGCTCTTTTTACATGAAAATCTGGCAAATGTTTCCCATTATTGTCAAAATGTATGTGTATATTTGTTCAGAAGTATTCTATTTTTTCATTTCTATTAATTTAAGTAATACAAACAGAAATATTTTGTAAAATGGGAAATTATTCGCGACCTCTTCATCAGTAAAAAACAATAATTAAGGCAACTTTATTTAGTATTCCCATATTTTATTAATTTGCTGAGTTTTTAAAACCCTTCACAGGACGAGTCTCCTGACAGCGATCTCTCAGCCAGCACTGAGAATTTATCTGGGAACAAACAGGTCAGAGAGTTACAAATCAATATTGACATGTTTAACTAAATGAAAGTTTACTTAATTAATTCAACACATTTTTCTTGTACATTTCATCAGGAGAAAGGTGGAAAGTTGTTTGGCGTTCTCCTTAAAAAGACTCCCAAAGCGTCTGGAGAAAAGACAGAATCTCCGGTGAATGAGTGTTTTACTGAATATGAAATACTTTTTTAACCTCAAAAACTATTTCACAGGTTTCATAAAACATACATTTCTGTGTTTCAGAAAGGAGAGGCTGAGAAAGAGCTGTCTGCCAGCAATGATGACCTGTCTGAGAATAACACACCTAAGGTGAGCAGTGTAATGCGACAAAAGCTTGTAAATACAATTTTTTCATGTGAGCGTTTACTGACGACCAATCTTATGTTTTAGGAGAAAAATATTTTCAGCAACATGTTTAAGAAGCCACAGAAACCTGCAGAGGGCGCCGCAGCAGACAAGGTACTGTGGTTGGATTATTCAGTTATGAAATGTCAGTTCATGCAGGAGGAAAAGTTCAAATGTACTTTTATTTAGTATTCCTCGATTTTCTTTTTTGTGTTAGCTGACTTTTTGAAAACCCTTTACAGGACGAGTTGCTCGACAGCGATCTCTCTGCCAGCACTGAGAATTTATCTGGGAACAAACAGGTCAGAGAATGAAAAATCAACATCAATATTGATATTCAAGATTAAATTCAAGATTCAAGGCTTTATTATCATGTGCACAGTAGCTACAGTGTACATATGGCAATGATTGTAACCCATTTGCACGTGTTATTGGAAATACTTTATTGACTTCAACACATTGTTTTTATTCTTGTGCGGATCATCAGGAGAAAGGTGGAAAGTTGTTCGGCGGACTCCTTAAAAAGACTCCCAAAGCGTCCGGAGTGAAGGCAGAGACTCTGGTGAGTGTTTACTGAATGTGAAATATCTTTTTGAAACTCCAAAACTATTTCACAGGTTTCATAAAACATACATTTCTGTGTTTCAGGAAGGAGAGGCTAATAAAGAGCTGTCGGCCAGCAATGATGACCTGTCTGAGAATAACACACCTAAGGTGAGAAGTGTAATGCGACAAAAACATGTAAATCAAATGTCTTCATAGATAGTG